GGCTTTTAGCACCAACATGTGATGAAATTTTCTAAACAGAAGAGGTCATTTGGCCTGGGGAGCACAGATACCAACACGTGAAATCATCTCCCCCATTCTTCACCAAAATAAAGCAGGATGGATAAAAAAGTTGTCTGATTTTGTGGTGCCAATGTGGTTTGTGTCATTGCCTCAGCGGTGCAGATGTTTCTGCATGGAGTCTCCTCCCAAGTTCTCTGGTGTCCACCCACACTCCTAAACTTTGCATAAATTAGTGACTGGGATAGCTCATCGTGCGGTCTCCTTTTGTGTTGACCTGAGCAGTTTAATCTAGAAAAGCTTCATTTCCGTGACCGTTTATAGCTCTGAATGGAAGCTCCCACTCACTCCTAAAAGAAGTGGGGGAAAATATCTGAAAAGATGAAGCAGAGTTTTACAGAATGTGAAACTGAGGGACTCATCAGTGACTTACAGAGAAGAGGAAGTGTGTCTTATTTTCTGGTTTTAAATGCGGAAGATCATTTTTAGCTAATGCCAACTAATCCTGTACAGAATATTAAAGCAATTCAAGGTTTTGCTGCAAGTCAGAGGCAAAAGAAATCCGCCTCAGAGCCGTGAGAGGGGGAACCTGTGGTGTGTCAGGTCATTCAGCCCTGAGATGGGAGATGCATGTGCAGATGGAGCCTGACATATTTGCTCCAGCAACCTTTGGAAGCCTAAAGCATAGAGCAGCTGTCATCTGATAGAAGAAAATCTGAATCACTTGGATCTAAAAAACCAAAACGATGCTGTTTCCGGAAACTCTGCGGTTCAGATCGGGCCAGACAGGAAGTCAAACACAAAAGCAGTGTAAAATAATTGGAAACTTTCAAAATAAAAGTCACATGCAGATTTCCATTTTCAGTAGCCAAAGTTGGGCGTCCAGTGGACAGGCTGGGTTACAAATAAAATAAAGCAGCAAAAAAATTCACACATAATTGAAACATTTTGTGAATAAATTGCAAGAGATTTTGTATGAAATTTGCAAATATGTTTGATTTCTCATGTGATCAATAATTCTCACGTGATCAATAATACGTACAGTTGAGTGCATTTTTCAATTAAGCTTAAGCATTTTGTATTGCAACATTTTTTTTTTTGTCTCCAGCTAGTTTCCAGTTTCAGCTCAGGGAGATTCTGGGTCCATTACTAGCTGAGGACTGACCCATTATTAAAGTTAATGTTAATGATTTCTAATATCTGGACAGGTGTAGCATTTCAACTGTTTCCGACCTTTTAGGGATGGATATTTAAAAAAAATCTCCTCCTGGATGGCCGGTTAATCTGAATTAGGAACCAGCTGAAGGGCAGAAACATCTCAACCGAAACCCTGCTGGGATCAGATAAAAGGGCTGAACTCTCCGAGGTGTTTTTTGATGCCTCTGGCAAAGTCTCAGAAAGAAGAAATCCTCGTGTGCAAGTAGCTTGTGAAAAAAATCTGGATTATGTTGTAGGCTTTAGTTTGTATGTAGCACATGTATTAGTTTATTTTAATTATTAATAATTTAATGCTTATTTAGCAGAAAAATGCAAAAAATAATGTGTTTTAGGTCTCCGTTTTTAGATAAAATAGGAAAAGTGTCAACTTAAAATCAATAGTAGGCCAAACTTTGCTACAGTTTAATCATTTATATCTGTTAGTGCAGCCTGTAGTTGTACTGTTTAAAAATGATCTTCTTTAAAAAATCTAGACCAAGGCTGAAGGTGTCACTTCTCCTGTAAACACACACCTTTATTTATTTATTTATTTTTTGCATGAAAAAAATAATTGTTGCACTACTTCTTCACATTCAGCTCCACAGAGAACATTTGTCTGTGCAGAGTCACCCCAGTAGTGGCTGTTGTGTTTTATCCATCATATTGTTGCTGGTTTAACGGCCTCCTTTCCTTTGCATTGAAATCTCCCTCAGATGTAATATTGATGGCGTTGGCTGCCAGCGGAGAAGTGAGACAAGCTTATCTTTTATTCATCAGGCAACATGTGCTGTCTGGTTGCTGGCATTCTGTTTCACCTCGCCGGCATAGCACAGGTTAGTGGAGATGAGGAAGCTTTTATGTGTACACCCAGAATTACGATAAGGCGAGATGTGGAAACTTTTTGTTTGGTGAAATCTGATGTTTTGATGCAGCCTAGAGATCACGTCGTCAGCGTTACGCCTCCACTGAGATGTTAATCATAATCCCATCAGAGTTGTGGATTATGATGGACTCCTTCTCTTCGTCTTGCACGTCAGAAAGTTCAACCAAATGTATTCAGACAGCTGGCATCCTGGTGTTCAGATGCTGCTCGTTTGGAGATCCTCTTAATATTCCACATCAGCGCGCCGAGCTGCAGAGCTGGAAACTCCTTTTATCCGATCCTCTGCCCACTTAGCTACTAATGCAAATGGAAATCGAATCTGCTTTTTAAAGCTCATGAGAACGCGGCGGTTGAGAAATTCATCCATCGTCTGGGGCAAGTGACAAGTACCTGCTGCCTACTTGAATTTACATGTTCTCAAAAGTTTTCAAAGCTGCATGACTCCTTGTCACTCTTCAAAGCTTGGCTCTGATTGGCTGCATGATGTGTTGACATGCAGTCATTGAGCCGCGGTTGTTGGAAACAAATTGTGATGGACTGGTGGCCTGTCCGATGTGTGTCCTCCACTTCACACCAATGACTGCTGGTTGTAGGCACCAGCTCTCAAAGACCCTGAAGACGTATATGTGAGGAAGCCCTAACCCTAACCATGCTGAAAAATGCAATATATTATGCAAAACTAACTTTTGCATCCTTTTGTGCTGCCTTGCAGGTCTCCACTGCCTCCATAAACACTCCAAACATGAAAAAACTTCCATCCATTTCATGTCTGTTTAGTTTTAGGAATTATGTGTCTCTAAACCAAGTTGTTTCAAAAGGTTTGTGTGATTGAAAAACCAGGGACCCCACCACCACCTCCTCATTTCCAGGCTGGAGGAGCAGTGGCTCTACTCTAAGCCTCTACCTGATACCCAAGCTCCTCACCTCCATTGTAGCCAATCAGGGGATGGGTGGGCGTGGCCAAGTGCAGCTTGTTTTCTTAAAGTGAGAGCCCTGAACTGGCTCATTGTGGAAGGTACTAAAAAAGTGCTGAAATCACTTTATTTGAGAGGGATTTAGTGCAGATAACTTCATGAAGATGTTTTGTATAAACTATAGGATTTTCAATTTTTTTAAGTCATAATATGTCTCCTTTAAGGCAAATTTAATGTCAAAATACTTAACACCAGAGTTTGGAACCTGTCTCCAACCCTTCGCAACTGACTTTCGGTCAGTCTAAAAGCATTTTAGGAGGAGTTGGCGACTAAATGTGTGAATATAAAGATGGGAAACAGAACAAATCTGTCAATACATAAGACACTTGTGAAAAAAGGATTTAGAAATGTTCTTGCATTTACAAAAATGTAAATTCTGTGCAGTTCTACATAGAAATTGGCATATCTTGCTGCTATTTTGACTCTCCACCTCGTTGTCAAGTGTGTCAAGTTGGTTTCCGTAAATCAAAGTGCAAATGATCAGGCAATTTTGTGAAGTGAGTGAATTACAAATAAATCCAGGATAAATTTAGACTTGACCTTCTTGCCAAAGTCCAGAATTTGTGTCATTCCAGGTGAAAATTGGTCACCAGCAGTCACGGTCCAGTGAGAGACTGGCTTGAGGCTCTCAATTCCCCTGATCCCAGTTAAATGCATTCAACCTGTGAGCACTTGCTTTGATCAGTCATCTGATAGAGGCTTTAAGTGCATGTTAGGAGTGTGTTCATCCACCTGATGAAAGTTATGAAGCTGTTAATGCTGCACCCACAGAGCATTTGGTTCATTTTAAATGGTAGCACTGAGATAAACAACTCTAGAGTAAACTTTTCCACCTTTTTTCTCCTTTTGTTGCTAAATGGTCTCGTATCTAATGGATATCCGGTGAGCATCTTAAATGGGCCAAATGGGTTTTTCTTTATTCCAGAGTAGGGCTGGATGATATAGAAAAAAAGCGTATTTATTAAAAAAATCATATTGATTGATATCAATAATTATTGAAAGCTATATGAAAAATATCTAATATATTTTCTGTGCATCCCTGACCATCTTAAACCATTACTTTATGATAAAACAAGTTGGTTGCATTACCAGACGTGTTTTTATCGATTCTCTGTTCCAAACCACTGTTGTTTGTTTGTTGCCACACTGGTGAAGCACTTTAACCTTTTTTGGAGACTGTTTCTTCCACTTCTCCTTACTGCAGCATCTTGTTTAAGTCACATTGCCGTCTGTTTAGGTGAGAGGGGAGGGCTTGGTGACGGTGTGCTGGATCTGTGTTTTTGGGCCAATACCGATATGTGTTAAGTTCACTGCTATGGCCGATAACCAATATTTGCCGATGTCAATATATGGGGAGACGGTTGCACAGGAGTTGAATGCTTGCCCCGTAATCGGAAGGTTGCAGGTTCGAGCCCCGCTCAGTTTGTCGCTGTCGTTGTGTCCTTCGGCAAGACACTTAACCCACCTTGCCTGCCTACCTCTCAACATCAGGACCACACAGAATCTAGAGCATTTTAAATCCCTTCTTATGACACACTTTTTTGATTTGGCTTTTAATGCAGGTTGACTTGAGCATCTTAATAGTTATTAACAGTTTTTATTATAAATTATGACTGTTGTGTGCTCATCTTATTTTAGGTTTTTATTGTTGATTTGTTGTACCTTGTACAGCGCTTTGGGTGTAGCTTTGCTGCTGTAAATGCGTTCTATAAATAAAATTGACCTTGACGTTTTGCAAACTTGCCGGCTGACGACACATGCACGATGACAAAAACTCCCAAAAATCAAAAGGCCCATAAGTCAAATGCTGCAGAATCCAAGCAATAATGATCCAAAAACAAGTTTTTTATCACAGTAAAGCTTCATGATGGTGTAAATACAGAAGAACAGCTCCAGACCTAACACCTGGACCTGTTTCTCACCTTCAGACATCGCTGTGGTGGAGATGACGGATGCTTTCCGCCAGCCCTCGCTCTTCTACCATCTGGGAGTCAGAGAAAGCTTCAGCATGGCCAACAACATCATCCTGTACTGTGACACTAACTCTGAATCCCTTCAGTCTCTGCAGGTAAGCCGCCAGAACAGAGCCGTCCTGACCACATCATCCAGATAATCACCCCACACAGGCGCTGATTAAAAACTATATTTAGGCTGTCGGCTTAATGGAAATTTAATTTCATGTGCAAATGCATGAACGATGTGTGTAAGAAGATGGGTTAATGGAGCGTTTAGAGATGGGAGGTCAGCAGCTGGGTTAGAATGGGTGAAAATCAGAAAAATCCTTATTTACCTTCTATTGTAACCTGAAACATGACGTTTCAGCTTCATTTTCAGCGGTTCCTGCACAGGTAACAGATTGGGCTCTAAGGATAATGAGCCAAATTCAGGCTCCAATAAACTCCCTATTGACCCTTTGCACCGACGTCACCTAATCACGTGGGTCCACCATGCTGGATGGCAAAAGCATGTAAACAGTGAGCGACACGATTACTAAACAAAGGGAAAAGTAGAGCCTGAAATTGTTTTTGCGATCAAAACAAAAACAAAACTCCATCAGCATTCCTTCCACTAGTTTTTGCCCAGTTCAGCTATCAGAAGAAGTAACGCATCTAGCAGGGCTCATAGAGAGCGGTATGTTAACTAGCTTACCAACGTTAGCTTACGTTCTCTCTGCAACTGCGGCTTGTTTTGACTACCTTCACTGGAGTTTCTACGGGTGAAAATGGTCCTTTTGCCGTCTAACATGGCGAAGGGGGCGATCACATGCATGGACGTAATTTTCACTTTAGAAGTGGGGGGGACACGGGGGTGGCGGTGGGAGGGGTATCTTTACAGTATGTTCTAATAGGAAACAGGCTTCAACACAAAAGGTTGTTTTCTGCTTGGTCCTAGAGCTCAACCAGTGTCAATTTAATATAAAGTAATATTGTTTTTGGATGGTAAAAAGTGCAGGGGTCAAAACTTGACTTTGGAAAAAGTGGGGGGGACATGTCCCCCCTGTCCCCCCCAAAAATTACGTCCATGATCACATGAGTGGCGTGACGTCATGTGCAAAGGGTCAATATGCTGTATGACTGTGGGAGTGTCCTGCAAAAGAAGTCTGCAGCTGTAAGAACTCATTTCCGGTGGTTATTTACTCTTAAGTGTGCGTCAGCCTTCAATAACGCAAACCTTCCCTGTAGAGGCGTGTCCTAACACAACATTTAAACTTAAGAAACACTCTCCATCCCATTGAATCTGGGTTTGATGACCTAAAACTACTCAAGACGGCTCGAATACAGATTGATTCTCAGTAATCGGGATCATTTGCTCTTCCTGTGGTTTAGTCTTATCTGGAAGGTGGAAACCTGAAATGGAACGCTGCTCTCTATTAGGCTGCAGGTTTTCTTTAAAAAATAGAGGTTTTTTTTTACCGGAACACCAAGATCAAAGGAGCTTTGTCGACTCGATGTACTCATGAGAACACATCGTTTCAGGGGAGCATTTTTCCTGAAGGATTAAACGTTCTCCGTATAGAAGAACACTGTTCTAAGTGTTTAAAATATTTTTAACATTGTAGTTTTTTTTCTTACTGTTTAGTAATTTAGCTTTTGTTTTATTTTTAAACATCTGGTTTGAGCTGCAAATGAAAAAATCCCACTGTGTTTTACTTCCCAGCTGTGGATATCTGTAACACAAAGAAAACGTTTATCTGATGAAGCATAAAAAATAAAAAGCATCCAACCACGATAAGAGCATAACGAGTCCACATCGGGATTTTTCTGATTTTTAAAGCTCAGAGACACGATTCCTGCATGTTTGTCAGGTTTAGTGATGAATCGCTCCTGTAGACACTAAAGAAGGCTGAGGGGGGACATTTCAGCAGTTGTATTAAAATGACAATGTGTAGTTTTTACTATTGATCTCTGTAAATATCAATCAAAATGCAGTTGAAAATTAATTAAATGATGCCCAGTTGTTGAAAAATATTGGTGGCTTTGTAACATATAACCATAAAAATCAGGTCTCAAATACACGGGAGCGGATCCAAGTCTCTGGGCGACGCCATATTAGATGCCATGTTTCCTTCTACGGGAGCCCTTGAGGACTAAATGCATTTACTGATTTGTAACAAACTGTAACAAAATTTCACCAATCATAACATTTACCTCTTCGCTTGGTGCCAGTGATGAAAGGGAGTCTGATGTGTTTGTCATTTTGCTTAAGTTTGCACTCCCCAGGCTTTTGACCCTAATGGGCTTGCTTGCTTGCCTGCAACGATTTAGGTATCTACTGCCCCCTATCGCCAGGAAAAATACACACTGTCACTTTAAGGTGTTAAAAACACCAACGCACAGCAATGATGAGAGGTTCAGTTTCGTTTTTACAACAGTGAGTTAAAACTAACACTAAAGCCTGAGTCATGCTTCTCCGTCTGTGTCAGTGCGGAGACACGCAACGCCATCATCCATCCTTGCGGGCCTGCTGGAGAGCTCCGCAAGGACGGACGGAGTCAAGCTCTCTTTTCGAAACATTCGTCAGTCGAGACGGACAACGCAAGCTTGTGATTGGTCAGGACGCCACTGTCGTCTACACTGCCGCCATTGCGCCCTCAAAAACATAAAGAGAGCCGAGAATAACTAATGGCAGACACGGAGCAGCTTGAAGAATACCTCGCGAAAAAACTCTAAAAACATGAACGTTTAATTCCCCGTGACTGGAGGAGTGAAAAGATGCGCAGCAAGCGTTTTATTTGTGGACAGAAATGACAGGAAACGTGGGTTTAGAGGTGGCGAATGCATGAAGAGGTGGAGGAGGATGAGAGACAAATTTGTCCGTGTTAAAAAGTCTCTTATATACAAAAAACACAATATAAACACACTATCTTGGACCGATACATGAAAGGATACAACAGAACAGCGCTACGCCCTCTGTTGTCCTGCTGGGGAATTGCTTTGCAACACTCCCCAGGAGACGGAGAAGTATGAGGGCAAAACGCTTCCGTCAATCCGTGCGTGTCTGTCCCTTGCGGAGCTGACGGAGGAGCATGAATCAGGCTTAAGGGGTGGAAAAAGCAAGCCAAAACTGCAAAGTCTCTTTTTCTCTTTCTAAAATGTTTTCCTATTGTAAATAATGGATTTTTAAACTGAATATAGAAGAAGGGTTTTATTGCCTTTCAAGATAAAAATCACAAGAAATAAAAAAATATTTATTAAAAATAACAAGATAAAGAAATAAGTAAGATTAAATATAAAAATGACAAATGAAAAAAAGAATACTAATTTTAAACGGGATATAATATGCTAAATTTACCTTTTTAACTGCCTATATAAACACTCCAAACATGAAAAAAAAACATAAGATAATTTTCTGTTAGGTTTTAGGGATTATGTGCCTTAAAAGAGTTGTTTCAAAATTCCCTGTTTGTGATGTCACAAATGGAAAGATTTGCACAGAACCTCGTCTTACCTCTCCAGGCTGGGAGTGCAGCGGCTCTACTCCGAGCCCCTCCCAGATGTCTGAGCTTATCTGCTCCAGTTTATTTTCTTACAGTGACAGAGCCCTGAAACGGCTCATTCTGGAAGGTACTGAAAACGTCAAGAATAAAAACATTTTTGTGAAAGGGATGTTATGCAAAAACTTTCATGTTTTGAATCAATAAAAGAACATTTTTATCTTCAAAAAAGTCAATATGTGTCCTTTTATGAATATTTGACTAGAAGCTGCTATTCTTCATCTCTCTGCTTTAATTTGTCATTGAGAAGAAATTCTCTTTTTAACTTGACAACTGCTTGTGATGTAATAAATTCAGATAATAGGATTATGGTTTTTGTTGTTGTTTGCTTCAACATCAAATTGCCTTCGGGGAGAAAATGTTCTCGTCCGATCTCTAAATCTATTTGTCTCTGCTCTTTTTTTCAGGAGATAATTTGCCAGAAGAACACTGTAAGTACAAAAAGCGCCGTCTCCTCGCCTATTTCCCACATTTCTCACCCGCTGCTCACACATCACACTTATTCTTTGGTGCAAAGAATATGCCGTCTTGCGCATTTGGGGGGCAGAATATCTGTCGCCTTATGCTTCTTTTCTCAGTGTCATAAAGGCTTTCACTTGTGCAGCCCAAAAAATGCTGTTGAGAAACTGTGATAAACATTTTTTTTTTTGTCTTTTCTTTCATTTTTCAAGACGTGTTTTATAAGTCACCGCACAGAGAATTTCACTTGCAAAGAAAACTGGAGTATTCAAAAAAGGTGCTGCCCTAAAACAGAGGAAATCCTGTTCATAACTGACACCAATTGTACTCGAGCTCCTCGGATTCAAAAGATACTGATATAATTCATGGTTTTGCAAGTACTATGCTGTTTATTATATTTATACATGTTTATTTATCTTATTTTACTACTTAAAATAATACGTACACGGCTCTAGGTAATTAGGTGTTGGGGCTACTAATGCATAGGAAATAAAATACACTTAAGTGTAAGTTACAAAGACAAACTAGTACAACACACTTAAAATTATTTACGGGTTACTACTGCTGAAGTATGTACAACTCTGAAATCTAGTTAAGTGAACACATTTTGAAGTACTTTGTACTAGTTTGTTACTATACCTTGTAATTAAGTTTAATCTACTTTGCATTAGCCCCAACTTATAATCATATCTAGAACCGTGTTCTTATCATTTTCAGTGCAATCATTGTGCATGTTTTTTTCAACTAAGCTGAACTAATCAGATTTTACAGTGTGTTTTGGGGACAGATAAAACGCATCATTTAGTGCAAGAAAATCATAAAAAGGGTAATTTCTGAATGTTTTCTGCTGCTTTATTATGGACTATGCATAAATACATAGAGATTGACGTACTATAAAAAATGACAATCTGCATAATTGGCACAATATGCTGCAAACTATAAAGCTCAAAAATAAACCATGAAAATGAATCACACGTCTAAATCCTCATGAGAGCTGACGTAGATGAAGGCCAGCGTTCAGGATGTTCAGGAGTGAGAGGACAGGTTTCGCTCTCCTGAGTGGTTTTCTCAGTGTGGACAGAGTTTCTGCATGAAGCACACTGTTCTCCGACTCCCGCTGCGAGAGGAGAGCTGATTATCACTCTCAGAATCAGAGTGTGATCTCACAGAAGCCACTCGTACACTCTCACTGCCATTTGTTCTCTCCTTCCTGCTCGTATCGACAGACTTAAATGCTCTCTGCACTCCTGCACGAACTCCAAATTAATCCTCAGAGCCTCCAGCCTGCGTTACATCTAGCTGAATCAAAATTAGATTCAGCGATATTGGATATAAACAAAAAAGGATTGCTGTAATTGACTTAACCCTGCAGCTGTTATACAAACGGTTTTATATCATCATGTTTATAGTAGCTGAAGGCACAATTCACACAGGAGTTAAACTGCAGCTGAAAATATTAGTTTTGCTGTTAGATTTAACGTCTAAATTAGCTTGACAATATCCCTAAATTGTGTTTTATTCTTTTTAATACTGTAATGTTTTTCTTATAAAACATTAAGTTGCCAACATCGAGCTCTGGTGTTGCATTTTAGATCATAAAACATAAGAACATATATCACTTTTTTTTCTTATATTACAATGAAATCTACATATTTGGCTGATATAAGGTAAGGGCGGTTAAGCTGCGATCAACATCTAAAACTAAAGAGTCGAATTTCCGCGGGGGTCTGTGTACTCACCATTGCTGAGTATGGATTCAATAAACAGATTTTTTATTCTGAGGTTTTTACTTCCAGAATCTTAATTTTCAAGTTTGTCAGAAATAAAAAGTGTTTTCAGCTGTAAAATAATCTGTCAGATCAGTGCGTCTATTTATAAACGTAAATTTTAAGCTAGTTTTATTTGTTGCTAAAGTGCTAAACACTGAACGGTTCAACAATGCTGTTCACTTGTGTAAAAACAGGCCTAAAAGTGATAATGTCGTGCTATTTATAGTAACACGAGACATCTGCATTATTACCAGACGTAGCATTAGCTGCCTTATGCTAACAGCTGCTGTAGATGCTAACGCGTAAACAGTCATCTCACATAAAGTCATGGAAACCAATTAAAGCTAGAGGTCAAGTAAACATGTGCTTTTTCACATTATCATCGGGCAGGAAGTGATCAGGTTCAGAGTGTGTCACATCTTAAATGATCTGGGTAGAAACGCATCTTGAGCATTATCTGTTCCCAGTCTTTCTTTCTAAATACAGTCTCTCCCTTATGGCAGATTATCAATACCATCTAATCCTTAAAAATCTGTTATGCAGTTAAAGAATTGATTTATCTGCTTATTGAATGACTCCAACATTCTCTCTGCCAACACTTGTTCTTGATCTTCGCAGCTTTTTGAGTGAAATTCATGTTTTTTTGTTTGTTTGTTTTTACCTGCTACATTCTCCAGCTGGTGTATTTGTGCAGTTTGGCACTTAGCTGCTGGTTGTTCAGTGTTTTTAGTCCCAAACAAGTAAACTTGCAGTACAATCAGAGAGCTGAAACCAAAACCAGGCATCGAGCCAGGTTGAGTTATAGATTTAAGCCAGTATCTCATACTGGGCTGCAGTTTATGGCAATGAGGTTCCTAAACAGACAAAGAAATATGTGAAGAATGCAAAATATCTGGACATTAATCATTATTAATTAGTTCTACTACAGTTTTTGCAGCAGTAGCGTTACACAAAAGCAGTAATAACTAATAAACAAAGAACATAGCAGCTTTTTCCACTCTAGATTTTTGCTAAACAGTGTCATAACTGCCATGAAACACCAATCTGGGTACTTAGTTTTCATGCATGGGTCTTTTTGCTGATGCGTATGTGGCAAACTGTGTTTAATGCAGTGTGTTTAACTGCCTACCATCATAATTGAAATCCAGGATATTAGCCGCTAATTTTGTGGATCTAATTACCGTGACTTCCTGCACATTTGTTTCCCCGTGCTACTGCATCCACTGACTTGTTTCTGGAACTGTAGCCCACAGGCACAAACTCGCGTAGCTCACCGAGTGTCACAAGTGTGTTAGCGGCTTATAAACTAGTATAGGTTATAGTCTGGCTCTGCTGAGGTGAGTTGTGTTACTGTGAATCCAGATGGACATGTACAGCGGTGTGAAAAACTATTTGCCCCCCTTCCTGATTTCTTATTCTTTTGCATGTTTGTCACACAAAATGTTTCGGATCATCAAACACATTTAACCATTAGTCAAAGATAACACAAGTAAACACAAAATGCAGTTTTGAAATGATTGTTTTTATTATTTATGGAGAGAACAAAATCCAAACCTACATTGCCCTGTGTGAAAAAGTAATTGCCCCCTGAACCTAATAAAAGGTTGGGCCTCCCTTAGCAGCAATAACTGCAATCAAGCGTTTGCGATAACTTGCTACGAGTCTTTTACAGTGTTCTGGAGGAATTTTGGCCCACTCATCTGTGCAGAATTGTTGTAATTTAGCTTTATTTGAGGGTTTTCAATTCAATTCAATTAAAAAATACTTTATTAATCCCAGAGGGAAATTGATTGCTGTAGTAGCTCAGAATAATAATAATAATAATCAAGTCATCAAAGAGTTATTGTATTTTACAATGGCTGTTGGCAGGAAGGATCTCCACTTTCTAGCATGAACCGCCTTTTGAAGGTCATGCCATAGCATCTCAATAGGATTCAGGTCAGGACTTTGACTAGGTCACTCCAAAGTCTTCATTTTGTTGTTCTTCAGCCATTCAGAGGTGGATTTGCTGGTGTGTTTTGGGTCATTGTCCTGCTGCAGCACCCAAGATTGCGTCAGCTTTAGTTGACGGACAGATGGCCGGACATTCTCCTTCAGGATGTTTTGGTAGACAGTAGAAGTCATGGTTTCATTTATCACAGCAAGCCTTCCAGTTCCTGAAGCAGCAAAACAACCCCAGACCATCATACCACCACCACCATATTTTCCTGTTGGTATGATGTTCTTTGTCTGAAATGCTGTGTTACTTCTACGCCAGATGTAACGGGACATTTGCCTTCCAAAAAGTTCAACTTTTGTCTCATCAGTCCACAAGGTGTTTCCCCAAAAGTCTTGGCAATCATTGAGATGCTTCTTAGCAAAATTGAGACGAGCCCTAATGTTCTTTTTGCTTAACAGTGGTTTGCATCTTGGAAATCTGCCATGCAGGCCATTTTTGCCCAGTCTCTTTCTTCTGGTGGAGTCGTGAACACTGACCTTAATTGAGGCAAGTGAGGCCTGCAGTTCTTTAGAAGTTGTCCTGGGGTCTTTTGTGACCTCTCGGATGAGTTGTCTCTGCGCTCTTGGTGTAATTTTGGTCGGCCGCCCACTCCTGGGAAGGTTCACCACTGTTCCATGTTGTTGCCATTTGTGGATAATGGCTCTCACTGTGGTTCGCTGGAGTCCCAAAGCTTTAGAAATGGCTTTATAACCTTTACCAGACTGATCTCAATTACTTTTATTCTTGAATTTCTTTGGATCTTGGCATGATGTCCAGATTTTGAGGAGCTTTTGGTCTACTTCTCTGTGTCAGGCAGCTCATATTTAAGTGATTTCTTGATTGAAACAGGTGTGGCAGTAATCAGGCTTGGGGGTGGCTACAAAAATTGAACTCAGGTGTGAAACACCACAGTTGGGTTATTTTTTAACAAGGGGGGCAATTACTTTTTCACACAGGGCAATGTAGGTTTGGATTTTGTTCTCTCCCTAAATAATAAAAAACATCATTTCAAAACTGCATTTTGTGTTTACTTGTGTTATCTTTGACTAATGGTTAAATGTGTTTGATGATCAGAAACATTTTGTGTGACAAACATGCAAAAGAATAAGAAATCAGGAAGGGGACAAACAGTTTTTCACACCACTGTACATTATGGGTGACATAACAGATCAGATTAACTGAATCTGTCACATTCTGCAGAGAAGGCATCCATGCATGTTTCCCCTGAGCTAAGGGTTTACCTGTAAATGTCTTGTGCAGGTTAGTGTCAGACTACCTGCAGTTCAGTGAAATATGCAAGAGTCTGTACAAGCAAGCCGACCAGACAGACAGAACATCAGTACTTTGCAACCCCTTGAGCCTGGAAACGGGACTTTGTTTTAGGTCCTCTTTCTCTGCCTCTGCAGCTGCCGGTGTTCTCATAATCCAAAGTTGCACTCTAGGAAGCCGTTGTCTACGGATTATCTTTTCATTGCTTCAACTTTTCTGTCACTTCCTTTTTCAGCTGGCGGTGAACGCAGCAGCAGTGTTTCTTTTTTCCTTTCAAAGGCTTTTTGTGCTAAGAGAAAAACGGGATTGATTTATAAAAACCAGGATGCAGCCGGGTTCCAGCTCAAACACCCTTTAGATGCTCGTGTTGGACACTTTTTTAGTATCCCTTCTTGAAAATAGTTTTTATTGCAGATAACAATAGGTGATTTTCAAGGTCTGCCTTTTAGCTACCTGTGACCAACGCCGCGGTCGGACAACGCTGTGACCTCAGCTGGACAATAATGTGGTGTTGAGACAAATAAAGACACTTTTGGTGCTGTAAAAACTAAACATGACTTTCTCCTGAGTGCCTCAGCTGGAGGCTCCTGGAAAGCAGCCAGACTTTGGGTTTTCCTTTATTTTTTTGTGTGCATTGATCTGGATGATCATGCAGACTGTGTCTTGAGTGCAGCCCCTGACGGGGTTGTTATCACCGAGGCCCTCCCAGCTGCTGCCTGTTTAGACTGGCTCAGTGAGGTTAATACCGCAGAAACACTACTGTCTCTGCAGAAAGATGTCAGATGAAGCTTTAAGGAAACAGCTCAGGCTTCCTCCAGGCAATCTGCCTCCACATCAGCAAAACCCAAACCGGCTATAAAACATTCACTTTTACAGATGGGGAGCTAAAATTTGATGTGACGGTAGCTGAGATTCGTTCCAGTTTCATGTGTTGTGAGATTGTGCATCGTGTTCTTTCAAAGGTTTTACTAAATATGCGTCTTATTTCTGCCCACAGACATGCTCCGCTAACTACACCTTCATCCCTTACATGGTGACGCCCCACAACAAGGTGTACAGCTGCGAGAGCAGCCTGATGAAGGGTCTGACGGAGCTGATGCAGCCGAGCTTTGAGATGCTGCTGGGACCCATCTGCCTGCCGCTGCTGGACCGCTTCATTCAGCTGCTCAAAGTGTCGCAGGCAAACTCCCAGTGAGTGCCTGCACATTCTGGTGTTCCATAACGTTTATCAGAAATACAGAATATGGAACAAACACCACTCACCATCGCGGTCCCTATAGGGATGTTGAATGTGTTTTTTTATTGTTCTGCAAAGAAAGGGAGAAGTGGCTATTTATAGATTTGTTTCATGATGTCAGGAAGGTTTGATTTGTTCAACAGAGACCATAAATAGTAAAGCAAAACTGTAATTCTCTATCGTAAAGCTTTTACTTTCTAAAGGCACATCTCATCAGCCCACCCATCTTCTAAACTAATATTTTGGTTCGGTTCATCAGGATTTTAATTTGCATTGTTATCTTTGCATCACTACAGAAACAGTGTTTAAACATGAGATTAGATATAAATAGTTTTTGTTCCATACTGGGGGAGTATAAAGCCACTTAAGTCAATTATAACCCAGTTAAAGGTTCAAAAGTTCCACTGAAATCCAGGTTGTGCTTACGGAGCTTGTCTGTTAGCATCAGTTAGGTGCTTTTCTGTAACTGTTTGAGGAAACACCTCAACTACAAAAGCATCCAATAAGAGGAAGTCTATTAAAAGCATTTCCTGCTAATGCAGAGTTCCTCTGAAAGTAATCACATCACCATTAAAAAATGGAAAAGACATGCTGCAGGTCTGAGCTGCGTTGATGGTAATACAGTAGGTACTCCTGATGCCACGTGACCTGGTAAAAACAGAAACATTTGCAGGTGTGCTTATTGAAGCATCACTGCGTGCACGCCTCCTCTTTGACTCACACAGAGATCCACATTTGAAAAATAAAAGTCAATTCACATCGTCTCTGTTGCTGGGGTAAAATTTTGAAGCATTCTTGCCAGCAGTTGTTGCTGCAGCCAGTTAGCTCTAGCTCAGATCCGGGAATAGTGACTCAGGATTTGCAGGCAGTGAAGAGAAATGTGTTCTATAAGGAAGGCTTTGTCACCTGGAAACCAGCATGCATAAAGTAATCACAGTAATGTTTTTTTGATCGAAACTCATTTATAGTAAACCAAAAGGTACACGTTGCACGAATAAGCATGGTTAAGTAGAATCTGCAAAGAAATCCGAGACTCATGAATTCCTTTCTTGTTTAACCAATAAAGCACATCTATATAAAAATGTTTCCAAGCACAGAGCCTTGTGGAACTCCACAGCTAGCAGATGTGTAGGGAATATACACGTTTTGACATTAAGAAGAATTTGACCTAAATTAGTAATCTAAACCTATCTAAGAAAAATACTAGTTGTACTAGTTGATGCATTTCTGAGATCTAATGGTATAAGTACAAATTTAACTTGTGGCTATGAGAACATGATGGGTTGTCTTGGGATGTTTCTGTGTTTTTTTTTTTGTGATCAAATCTCAAACTGATTTATATCTGTGCAAATGGTCACAAAAGTGATTTTTAAGTTGAGAGTTTCACACCTATTTTATAACTAGTTAATAACTCTTAATCACACTTTCATTGCAAAGTTTTAACGGAAGCAACTTTAGAAGTGTATTTGTCTTTAAAGAGCAAGTCACCCCCTACCAGATTCTTATTCAACTCCCACTTCCTGTTAGAAAAATGCAACAAATGCTGTTGCCTAGCAGACCGAGAGGGCGGAGCCGCTAACAAATACACACACACACACACACACACACACACACACACACACACACAGGCTCACAACAACATTGTGACATCATATGGTACCAGCTAACGTTTAGGGTACCTCTTAGCCTCTTAGCCAATAGCGATGGCAGATTTAAATTCAAACGCAGTGCAGAGGTTTTACCTGAAAACAGCACAACACTGACAGTTTTAGGCAGAAAATTAAAATCTTAACTAAAATCCACTAAAGTGCAAAACTATTGACTACATGTGTCTGCAGCACGATTAGACACGTATTTATATAGTTTATCAGGAAAAAAAAGTTGATTTGGGGGTGACTTGCTCTTTAAATGTGAATAAGCCGTCAGAATAACCAAAATATCCCTTTATGGCTTTAGCTTCATGAGTTATCATTAAAATAAAGTATGATCAAATCAGACTTTTGTACAACTCTGTAAAGTGAAATAAAATCAATATTTTGAAATGACATCTTTAAAAATCTAAGGAATTTTTTTCTTTTCTGACAGAAAAATAATGTGAAGAAGATACTGAGCAGCACTGAGGAAAAAGATTTACTCTAATGATGGTTGAATGGTTCCTTTAGGAGATGTTAAACCAGTTTTTATCGGGTGGTAATTATAATTTATGATCTTTTTTTAGGAAGTGCTCCCAGTACGTATTACAGCTGAGGTGGATTTTAGGTCAACTCTATATCCAGGCAGATCATCTCTGCTATGATATTGTCTGACATGTATGAATGCATGCTTTCTGTCCTGCAGCCAGTACTTCAGAGAGACGATTCTGAATGAGATCCGTAAGGCTCGGGAGCTTTACACCGGCATGGAGCTGGCTGCCGAGCTGAATCGAATTCAGCAGCGGCTGGACAACGTAGAGTGCCTTTCAGTGGATGTGGTCATCAACCTGCTGCTGACGTACAGAGACATCCAGGTACTTCTGACTGAATCAACCAGGATTTCAGTAAGGCGGTCAACTCAGGTGAACGTTGTTGTGCTTGACCTTAGCAGATGGTGTCGATGTTAAAGAATCTGGCGCCCTTATCCCTTCAGGGGAGTTTTTCTTTTCCCGCAAACCTGAGTCATTTCAGACCACCTGCTGAGAGCTGGTGGCAGGTCTTCTGGACCTTCCACCATTAGCACTTATTGTCCACATCCTCCTGCTTTACCAAGGGCAGTGCACAAGTTCATGAATCATTCATCACAACAGCAGGCATTGAGTATGACCTGAATTATTCAACATGCTGTGGGTATACTGACTATGTAGGCAAGTATAAGATACAGAAAAATGATCAAGAGCTCACTCAATTATAAAAAAAAAAGAGTTTAGCAACATAAGCAGCTCTGCTCCTTAGCTTGATCCGAGTTCTGGTAAAATCTGTGTTTGAGGAGCATTTATGCAGAAAGGCTTCAGTCCCTGTTATTAACGTGTTCTCCACTCACTATTCAGGATTATGAGTCCATTGTGAAGCTGGTTGAAACTCTGGAGAAGCTTCCGACCTTTGATCCCATGGCTCATCCACATGTGAAATTCCACTATGCCTTTGCACTGAACCGGTAAGATGACGACCTTTTCCTTTTTTAAACTTTAACACAAACAAGGACCAATTCTTATACAGTAGTTGTGCTCAGTGGCTCGATTACATTTTTAAAAGGATTTTCAAATACTTTAATGTATAAAATTTACATAATGAAAGCATTTGATCGTTTCTTATTATAATCGGTCACTATGAGGTTTTGATGCCTTCTGAACATGAAAATAGTCTCCTACACCTGTCTCCTGCATTCGTTTCTGATAGAAAATAGACGTTGAAACAATAGGATTAGAAAAGCCTGAAAGATCTACATCACATGGTCACTTTGACTCACCCATATTGGTTCACGACAAGGAAGGCTGTTGCTGGTTTAGCGCCCAGATTCAGGGGATTACGTCTCGGCTAGCAGAAGCTAACTGGTAGCATTAGCAACTCAACCACACAGCCTCTTCAAGGCTTGTGTTATTTGTGGAGAACATTCATGTTGCAGAGCAAACAGTCAGTAGTCATGTTGCTGTTATCCAATCAGAGGTGAGATGTCCAAATATCAGGAAATAAGACTCCAAATCCGGCCATGTTGAAGGTTGATCATGGAACACAGACACTCTGGCGTACCCTAGTGTTCAGAGGTGGTATCGCAACAACGGAAGTAATTTTCCAGCCGTCGGGGATGTAGGTTCACTGCTGACACGTTCCAGCACCATAAATCGTACAGGATACGGACTAATTTCTAAATTGTACAGCAGCATTTACCATTAGAACATCTTGTGGGCTCAGAATTAGCTGCTTGACTTGTCAATTCCGCAATTTTACACAGTCCCAGCCTCGCCGAGCAAACTTTTTAGGGCAACAGGGCCCTCTAGAGGCTGGTAGGTGTAAACAGAAACCCAGTGTCATGCCCATCAAAATGAAATTTTGAGTATGGCCTTCAAGGCATTATTTCCTACTAGAGATTACTACAAATGTATTGATTAAACAAGTGGACCACACCTTCATGATTAAAGTAAGTTTGTTGCACTTTGTGACTGCAGTTCTCCTCTTGGACAGTAGGTGCTGTCAATGAGAAAACAAACTGCTTAACAACTTTATTTTCTTAAATTTATGCCACCCCCAAATCAACTTATTTTTTCTGATAAACTATATAAATGTGTGTCTAATCGTGCTGCAGACACTTGTAGTCAATAGTTTTGCACTTTAGTGCATTTTAGTTAAAATTTTAACATTCTGCCTAAAACTGTCAGTGTTGTGCCGTTTTCAGGTAAAAACTCTGCACTGCATTTGAATTTAACTCTGCCATCGCTATTGGCTAAGAGGTACCCTAGAACGTTAGCTGGTACCATATGATGTCACAAGGTTGTTGTGAGCATGGGTATGTGTGTGTATTTGTTAGCGGCTCCGCCCTCTCGGTCTGCTAGGCAACAGCATTTGTTGCATTTTTCAAACAGGAAGTGGGAGTTGAGTAAGAATCTGGTAGGGGTGACTTGTTCTTTAACATCGTGAGACCAGCTGTGTGGAATGCATTTGCTGCTGATCTGTGTCTGAAACACTCCTGTCCCGGTGGAAAGAGATGTGCTGCTAGGCTCTCAGGGGAAACATGCCTTTTCAGTTATGCGCTGCTTTCTGGTGGAGGAGTTGTCTTACTGACTGTAAAATTCAAACTAACTTTGAGATTTTAAACATAGCGCTCACAATAGTTTCATTAGTTGTTGACGTCCTTGAGCCCCCGCCCTCCAACTCCCAAAGAAAGGTCTTAGAGGACAAAATTGCTGGTGCCGTATTACGCCACAGCTGCTGAAAAGCATAGAAAGTAGGTCAACAATAGAGATCAAGAGCTCCATTATCGATCAGTCAATGAAAGAGGTTGAGATTGGTTGTGATTGGGACCCTGGTTATTATTTATAGTACATAATATAACGTTTTATCTGCAGTTCAAAGGGAGCATCTTTTATTTGTGCGTTTTGTATTTTCTACGTTCAGCGTAAAGTGAACACACTTGTGTACAAGGGGAGGCTAAACTGTGTAAACTATAGAATAATGACAATGAATTCCTAATGAAGGAAAGGGACCTCACCTTGTTATTTCTAGTCATTTTAGTGCTTCTACAAACAGCCATGTATGTGTGGTCAAGTACATGCGGTTTAAAAGGGCATCACTACATATTCTGTTTTACCTTTACAATAAATAACAAAAATGCTGCTTTTTTCTAGTCATTATTAAAATAAGATTCAAAAGTCTCTTTTATTGTAATTCCCAGGTGTTTTTCACCAGTGTGTTTGGTTTGTACAGTAGGGCTGCCGCTCCACACAGATGTACAACACAGAAGGTTTTTGCTGCTGGTTTCAGACCAGCTGCTGTTCTAGTGAACTTCCTGTGGTTTTCATGGTGCAACTGCTTCAATCAGCAAAACAGAGCATGCTGCTCTTTAATTTGGCTGCAGATGTCAACCATATAATCCCAAGAATTCCTTGTGTTCAATGTTGCAGTCAGGAAATCAACAATGAGATGCTTTCTGTGATGAAAAATGCTAATAAAAGCGAAAGAAAAACCTTTCCTATAATCCATGTGCAGAATAAGCTGCAGATATTTTTTGTTGTACTTGATTTAAGCAGAGTAGGATGAGTCACTGATGCTGCTGTGGAAGGAGAGATGTGTGGTCGGATTTGTTCTTGTTCAGGAGAAAATATGCCGCCAAAAGGCAGCAGTGGGAAAGTAATCAGATTGCTTACATAAGTAGAAACGGTAGAAATGTGAAGTATAAAGCACCCCTTGCATGAAAAGCATTAATGTCCACATCTTAATGTGTTTTCTGCATAGAAAGGCTCAGTTTCAGGTAATATGTGGTATCGCATACATTAATAATTTATAATTAACCCTTAATTAAAAAAATATATATATATTTAAGTTGTAGGATTCATTTAAGGTATTTTTACTTTTTCCCCAACAAAATGTTTTAGCTAATTTTGTTGTTCTGCCTTGATGCATTGCTTTCCTGCAGCTTTTTGGCTTAATTTACACTTAAATCCTCCATCTAAAGCAAATCTATGTTCTGCATTGTAACGATAATCTGAAATAATCAGAATTATGTAAATGTGCAGTTCAGTAATTTTTTTAAAATTAAAGAAAGAACAAAGAGTCCGAACTCCTGCAGATGCACACCTTGGTGTATTTTACTGAATGAGTTGCATCCGTGCTGGGATTTCCTGAATGTTTTTAGAATATTTGTGAGGATTATCAGTTTCCTGGCATCTGCAACCCTTCTCAGTTTATTTTTCAGAAAGAGCAAAAAATGTGAGTTGATTTTGGTACGGATTGGTGAACAAATTGAGACCTAATTAAGGCGATTTGTGATTTGTGCATGACAGTCGCACAAAAGTTTGTTTGAAGTCAATCATGGATGAAAATGTGCGTTTTTTCCCCCACGTTGTGCATCTTTTGCTTGTTTAATTACTTAAAATTTGCAGGGGTTTTTTTTGTAAAAATTACTTGAGATTCCTTATAAATTTTTTACATTATTATTTAAACTTCATGATTTATTAGATAATGCATTTAATTTAATAATAGAAAGGCTTTCCAACCTGATGTTTCACTGACTTGTGAATCTGCAGCATTCAGCCCACACAGACCCCTGAGCCTTAAAGAGCAAGTCACCACCAAATCAACTATTTTTTTCTGATAAACTGTATAAATGTGTGTCTAATCATGCTGCAGACACCTGTAGTTAATAGTTTTGCACTTTAGTGCATTTTAGTTAAAATTTAAAATATCTGCCTGAAACTGTCAGTGTTGTGCCGTTGTCAGGTAAAAACTCTTCACTGCATTTGAATTTAAATCTGCCACCGCTATTGGCTAAGAGGTATGCTATGATGTAAACTGGTATATTATGATGTCACAATGTCGTGAGAGTGTGTATTTGTTAGTGGCTCCACCCTCTCGGTCTGCTAGGCAACAGCATTTGTTGCATTTTTCAAACATGAAGTGGGAGTGAAGTACACTTCTTGTAAGGGGTGACTTGCTCTTTAATAAGAGCGTGTAATCATGTCCTGTCCTTAACCGATGTGCCAGGCGCTGGAAGATTCAGTCTCGGGTTTAAAGGTGATAAACGGCGAGCCTTTTCTCAGGTCTTTGTGCTGCTCGTCTGATGGGAGACAGGAAAGAATGTCCTTTATGCCAATGTGCATCATTACTCTGGAGAGCAGGGAGCTGTATGAGAAAAGTGCAGCTCTGCGTGTTCTTCCCTCAGGACAGTCGCCATGGTGATAGCTGTCAGCTGCTGTGTTGTAATTAACCTTCCCACCCTAAAGAGTCGCTGCATTATGTTCATCAGGACTGCTTCTTTGTTTGAATCCACTTCAGGTCCAACAATTTAAGAAACGCTGACTTTAATTTGAAGTCATTTTCTATTTAACCACTTTTCTTTCATTCAGTTGTAAGTTAAGAAAAACAAGTGTGTTTAACGCACGCCATGTATAATACAGTCAAAAGTAAAGAAAATCAATAAAGTGACCAAATTCTTTTTGTTTTTTGAGTAAAGACAAAACATTCTGATTTTTGCAGAAAAATGGAAACGCGTAAAGAAGCTTCGGTTTATAATTGTTTTCATTATTTTTAAATGACTTTTTAAAAATAAATTGTGTTGACTGAAAACAGGTTATTTTCTGACTGCAACACTTTCATGATCTTTCACTAAAAAAACTTATATGATTTGTTTTATTATTGTTGAACTCATGCATAAATATTTAGACTTTCACACTGAGATAAAAACACAATTTAAATTTATTATTTTGTTTTTTATGTATTTTTTACACAGTGAGATCTAAATAATAATATTAATAAAAACAGATTAAATGCAAGCTTCAATAAGGTAAAAGACCAAAATGTGCTCCAACAATTGGCAAGTGCCTTCCGGCTCAGCTCTCGATTTCTCGGTTTTATCTAAATGATAAATGACCCGCACTTGTACAGCGCCTCTCAGAGTAAGGACTCCAAAGCACTTTACACTACAGTGTATCATTCATCCATTCATATACACATTCACACACTGGTGGTGATGAGCTACAATGTAGCCACAGCTGCCCTGGGGCACACTGACATAGGCGAGGCTGCTGAACACAGGCGCCACCTGTCCCTCCGACCACCACCAGCAGGCAAGGTGGGTTAAGTGTCTTGCCCAAGGACACAACAGCAGAATTCTCTGTCTGGAGCTCGGATCGAACCTGCAACCTTCTGATTACTGGACAACCTGCTCAACCTGTTGAGCTACTGCTGCCCCGTCTACGTTCCCACCCTCACCTATATGGTCACGAGCTTTTGGTAGCGACCCAAAGAACAAGATAATGGATACAAGCGGCCGAAGTTATTTGATGAACCAACAACAGTTTGTGGAAATTAATAATATAAAATCCTCTACATATAATATTAGTTGTGGAGTACCACAAGGATCGGTCTTTGGGCTATTACACTTTCTTTTGTACGTTAATGATATTGCTATGGTTTCTAAATTATTCAAGTGCATACTATTTGCAGATGACACTCGCTTATTTTATTCAGGAGAAAATATAAAAGATGTTTTAAATGTAGTTGAAAATGAATTTACAAAAATTAAAATATGGTTTGATATCAATGGGCTTTCTTTAAACATCGAAAAAACTAAGTTTATAGTTTTTTGTAGTAGTAACAAAAGTGCTGATGTATCATTAAATGTCGAAGGAATTGAAATAGAGTAAAAGAAGTTAACTTTTTAAGTGTCATTAATGACGAACATTTATCGTGGAAGTCTCACATAAATGCTATTAAAATGAAAATATCTCGAGCTATTTCAGTACTAAATGAGACGAAGGAATTGTTGAACATAAAAGCTTTGTATATTCTGTATAACTCGCTAATTCTTCCACATCTGACATATTGTATCGAAGTATGGGGAAGTACCTGCAAAACATATACACATTCAATTTTTCTAAAACAGAAAAGAGCGGTGAGAGTTATTAGTGGAAGTGGATACAGGGATCATACGAATCTGATGTTTTCACAACTAGACCTAATGAAATTTGACAAACCAGTAGAATATCATTTATTAAAACTTATGTACAAAGCACATAAAGGAGTTCTACCAATAAATATTCAAAAGAAATTTGTAAAAAGAGAAAGTAATTAAAATCTAAAAGGAACCGATATTTTTAAAAAACCAAGATCCCGATCAGCGATAATGGAAAGATGTATCTCAGTTAAAGGTGTCTATTTATGGAATAGTCTCGACAGTGAAATAAACAATCTAAATCATTTTCTGTATTTAAAAAAAGTGCCAAATGTATCATGATGAAATAATAAGACCTTAAGTAGGCCAATAGACTTGTTTTGTGTTGGGGTGGGGGGTAGGTGAACGACAGGCTTTGAGTTGAACAGCTAATGTCTTGATGTGAAAAGGGGGCAGATATTATAAGTTTTTGCTTCTTTCTGCTCCTTTTCATTCATGATTATTTGTGAACATGAATTGTTTTAATGTAATTTTTATTTGATTGATTGAATGAAATAAACTAAACGAAAATGAGTTTTCTAGAAAGAGTGGCTGGTCTCTCCCTTAGAGATAAGGTGAGAAGCTTTGTCATCTGGGAGGGGCTCGGAGTAGCTCTGCTGCTCCTCCTCATTGAGAGGAGCCAGTTGAGGTGGCTCGGGCATTTGGTTAGGATGCCTCCTGGACACCTCCCTGGTGAGTTTTTCCAGTCTACGTCCAACCGGGAGAAGACCTAAAGAAAGACCCAGGGCACGCTGGAGGGATGATGTCTCTCAGCTGTACTGTTTGGAGGTTATCATCAATAGTTTAGTTCTCATTAAAGAGCAGAAAGAACATTATTTGTAAGTTTCTTACTCAAATAAAACAGATATAGAACTAAGTGTAGCAGAGCTTTCCTAGAACTTGGTGGCTTATGAATGTAATGGATAAAAAAAAATGGTGAAAAGTTGAGAAAGCTAACAAGATAAGATTTTCTAGAAAACTCTGAAAGTTTCATCCGACAGCTCATCATAACAAGTATCTCCCTCATGAGCCTCAGAATAAAAGTAGTTAGAATAAGATCTAATAGTCACAAATATTCATGTCTGGCTCTGTCCTCCAACCTGCTTGCTTCATTATTGCAGACCAATGTCCCAAACAAGTCGGTGTGGAATTTTTTTTTTCAGTCCGACTTTTTGACGTTTGTGTGCAACCGCAGGAGAAACCAGCCAGGCGACAGAAAAAAAGCGCTGGACATCATGCTGCCCATGGTGGAGGGGGAGGAGCAGGTCGCCTCGGACATCTACTGCATGGTGGGACGGATCTATAAGGACACCTTCCTGGAGTCTCACTTCACGGACACGCAGAGCCGGGACAGAGGCACAGTCTGGTGAGAAATCCTTAGATGTCTGTGCCGTTGGGTCCTTCAGATGCTGAGTCACCCAGAAATATTGTCTTTGAAAGGACTTGATGCATAAAAGATGAGATGACTCACTGGATTGTGGCCCCACAGCAGCATCAGTTTACTAGATTAATACTACATTTCCTTATAGCTGTTCTCATGAAGCCAAAACAACTTTTAAATTTCTAAATCTTACTGGCAGGTGGCGGTTTTATGCAAACTCGATGGGCAACATGATGAAAAACTCCCAAGAATTGTCACATTTTCTAGCAATTATGCAAAAATATGAGAAAACCTAGAAAATTGGATGCTTTAAGTAATTGTTGAACTCATTATTTTGGGTAAATGGTAAACGGCCTGTATTTGATACAGGTATTTGATATAGCGCCTTCTAGAGTCCTGGAACCCCCCAAGGCACTTTACAACACAATCAGTCATTCATCCATTCACACACACATTCACACACTGGTGGGGATGAGCTACGATGTAGCCACAGCTGCCCTGGGGCGCACTGACAGAGGCGAGGCTGCCGAGCACTGGCGCCACCGGTCCCTCCGACCACCACCAGCAGGCAAGGTGGGTTAAGTGTCTTGCCCAAGGACACAACGACAGCAACAGACTGAGCGGGGCTTGAACCTGCAACCTTCCGATTATGGGGCAAGCACTTAACTCCTGTGCCACCGTCGCAGGTAGAAAACACTAAAGGAGGTACTGCACATTTTTTCAGGGTAACTTCAGAACTTCTCTATTTAAATGAACTTCCTTGATCTTAAAGTCAGAACAAAATGCTATAATTGTAAAACGCAAATTTATAACACACACACACACACACACTAAAGTGTCACAAGCATCCACGGAGTTTCAGAATTTAAAACCGTATTGTTGAATTTAGTCAGCTTGGGGTGTCTAATGTATAAAAAGTCAGTGCCTTCTCTGACCTGCTGTCCTAGGTGATGAAATGTCCACAGAGAAATGGTTCATTCTGAGAGAAGCTGGTTTTCCACATCATAGGCTTAGACATACCACCTTAAATCTGCATGTCCCAACCCACCTTAACGTCAGCAATGTAGAAATGTAGCCAGTGCTAGCCTGATTTGCTTGTAATGCTAACTCAAGCTACCGCTAGTGCTAGCCTGAGCTACTGCTAGCCTGCTAATGCTAGCGCAGTTGTTGGTTGAGGACACGTGGCGTTCCAGGATTTACTGGGAATATTCAGACTATGGATGACCCATAGTTGTTGAGTAATCGGATACTGAACAGTTTTTAGCTTCAGAAAGCATCATGAAGCCATCGGGGTAAAGCAGCCAATCAGCACACAGCTCATTGATAATATTTACGTCCAGGCTGAGTGGGCAGGGCAAAGCAGTTTTTCTATTGTGGGGCTTTATTATGGGGTTGTTTGGGGACATTTATCGGGGCCCCTGGGACATTTTGAGTCCCAAAATCAGGCGTGTTTCCATTTTCAGAACTTCAGGGTAAATTCTGAGAGGGGGCGACTGACCAGGATATTTGGTGGCCCAGTTTCGATGGCCCCAGCTGTTGTGTTTTCATGAAAAAGTCTGCCCTTTCAGGACTTTGCACAGATGTCAGCATATCACTACTACTTCGGCAGTGTGCGTTGTCACGGATCAGCACCGAAAAGCGTCCACAAATATTAAAAACATTAAAGACGCGGAAAACGGCCCATACAGCAGGCTTGGCGAAGTGGAGACACGCGCATGCTGGGAAGTAACATTCCTAAAGCATCAAGATATACACTGAGCCTCAAAGAGCAGTTTCCATTATAAAGCAACATTGCAAGGAAAAACTAGACCTGACAGAGCTGTGCAGTTCCCTGCACGTTACATATGCAGCTAGGACGTTGTTCAGGTAACTTGCATATTTATAAGTTATAAATATTTGAGAAATTTTGCTCCACAGCAAGAGGGTTGCAGGTTTAAATCCTGGTTGTGTCCTTTCTGCACGGTGCTAGCACATTCCCACATACATGCCTGGGTTGTCTAGGTTAAACTGCAAGTCTCTTGGGATTGAAGCGCCTGCAAAATGAATATGAACGTAATAAGAAGAGTCATCTGATTATCTTCATCTGGAAATTGCAATTAAAATCTTGCATGTTTGGCGACAGAAGATGCTGCTTAGATAATCAAGCTCCCATCTGGCCGGTATTTTCAGTTCCAAGTCAGATCTTGTCTCAGCCCTTTAATAACACTCACGCCTCTTTTCCATGGCAGAACAGATTGGTCATTAAATAAATGAAATTTCTTGTTGTTTGGGGGTACTCACTCTTGCTGTTTGGCATTTTGTGGTCCCAGCTCAATATGTCTGTAATTGGTTTTTCCATCTTGAACTATCAGAATACCGGAGCGTGCTGGGAAGCTGTACATTTTCTGAGATGTTTGGGATTCAGATCGACTCATTTGTTGGGAGAAGTGTGTTTATTACACTTGTGTTTTTCTGTTTTCCTCTCAGGTTTAAAAAGGGGTTTGAGTCCGAGCCAACACTACACTCTGGCATCAACTATGCTGTTTTGCTGCTGGCAGCTGGACACCAGTTTGACTCGTCCATTGAACTTCGCAAAGTGGGTGAGTAGAAAGACTGATGTTTTTATGTATAGCATAATGCTCTATAGTTTATTACAAGGTAATTACTTAAATTAGTCTATCCTCAGAAATAGTTTCATTGGATTAGTCCAATTTATTAAAGCAAAAACATTTTTATATTAAGGCTTATATCTAAAATCTTCATCCATGAAGGCTATATTTTATTTTTGAAAAATGTTGTAACACATGATAATCTAACTTTATTTTATTCTTAATTTTTAATTGAAATGTTGATTACTGACCTTCCATTCAAGGTTTATTTTGCTTCCAGTAAAAATTTTCATGGCTTAAAAAATAAAATAAAAACTAATAAAAATAACATTCTTGAGATCTAAATTCAAACAGTAAAGTGTCATAAAAATGTATTTCATTATTAAAATTAATTTAAAAAATTTACCATGAAGGTAAGCACGCAGCTTGCTTCATCAGACTGTGACCTCCAACTACCACTGGAGCGGTTCGCAGCCGAATGTGAAGCAGCTGGGACGAGAATCGGCTCCTCTAAATCTGAGACCATGGTCTTGAGTTGGAAAGGGGAGAATGCCTTCGGGTCAGGGATGAGGTCCTGCCTCAAGTGGAGGAGTTCAAGTATGTCGGGGTCTTGTTCACGAGTGAGGGAAAGATGGAGCAGGAGCTCAAAATGCAGATTGGTGCTGCGTCTGCAGTGATGAGGGCGTTGTACTGGTCTGTCGTGGTGAAGAGAGAGCTTCGTCTTCCGGCTCAGCTCTCGATTTACGGGTCGATCTACGTTCCTCCCCTCACCTATGGTCACAAGCTTTGGGTAGTGACCAAAAGAACAAGATCACAGATGTAAGCAGCTGAAATGAATTTTCTCCACAGGGTGGCTGGGCTTGGAGTTAGGGTGAGAAGCTAGGTCATCCGGGAGGGGTTCGGAGTAGACCCGCTGCTCCTCCACATCGAGAGGAGCAAGTTGAGGTGGCTCGGGCGTGTGGTCAGGATGCCTCCTGGACACCTCCCTGGTGAGATTTTTCGGGCACATCCAAATGGGAGGAGACCTAATGAAAGACCCAGGACACACTGGGGAGACAAAAGCCTCTTTTATAAGACAGACCATCGCGTCATTACAGAGTGATAAATCCGAATTTGTGGGTCTCGTAAATGCGGCAAGAAGCAAAGGGGAAAGGTGATAAAACTCAATTCTGATGCGCTTAGCCACGAAGTAACATTGCCGCATGAGCCCCTCGCCTCTGGCGGCAAAACGCGTGTCAGCCCTGCTAATCCCTTTGGAGCGACTGTGGGAGGCCCCCCCGCAAAAGAGAGTGGCCGCGTTAGTGACGTATACTGGGTGCCGAGTGCCGGCCGGAAGGGATATAAACACAGATAAACATGGCTTCTCACTAGTATCTTTCAACCACCTACAACATGGCAAACTGGACGGACGCAGAGACCATGGAGCTTTTGGCCGTGCGTGCGGACGAACAGATTAGTCGCCTTTTTACGGGGACGGTGAGAAACAGCCAGCTGTTCGACAGAGTGGTGAAAACACTGGCTGAGCGGGGCGGGGCGTCAAGCGGGAAAAAAAGCAGGTCACATCAAAGTCCTGAAAAAGAAAACGTTTCTTGCGTCTGACGCTGAATGCGCGACCCTGTACGTCACATGCGGGGGGCCGCCCAGCAGCCTCCCTATATCCCATCTTGGTTTGAGAGGTGCCTGATGGCAGTTTATTCTAGCTTAAGCTTTGCTACTATAAATGCCAAAATCCTCCCCAGGGAGCCATGGCAAATCCCGTTTTGCAAAAACTAAGGTCCTGTAAAAACAGCTTATGTCTCTGAGCCGATCAGGGAATGCCTTGGGATTCCCCCAGAGGAGCTGGCTCAAGTGGTTGGGGAGAGGGAAGTCTGGGCCTCTCGGCTTAAGCTGCTGCCCCCATGACCCGACTCTGGAAAATTGGAGGAAAATAGACGGGTAAACCTGGAGCTAGCTTGTTAAGCTATGATGTTAAAATTAAAGCTATAAAATTTGAGAATAGTTGGTGATTAATAACAAAAAACAAGTTTGAGCTCAGAAGTACATGAGAAGTGTCAATCTCTTGTGCTAGTTAAGTGTAGATGGTAAATCATAGATTTTTTAGCATCAGTGTTCAATACCTATACTGTTTGTTAAAAAGATGCAAATATCAATGGCTGCTGGTTTCATTTGCCTTTTAACTGAGCCTGTTTCCACATTTTGACGTCATTTATTTAAAATATGATGACCAGAAAAGCTCACATGTGTGAAATGCACCAGCCTGCAGCTCCCTGAATGAACCCCCTCCACTATTTTGTGCAAGTCTGATATTACTAGAGCTGAGGAAAATAATCAAATAATCGATGCATCGGGATGCAGACATAAACGATTCTGCATCGTAGAAGAGTACGCCATAATTGATTATAGTGGAATGTAGTTTTGTTTTTTTAACGGCGGCACCAGCGCAGCATCCAAACCTGTCAGAGTGAGTGTCCTCCACATTTACAGAGTATTGTTCCGCCTTTATGTGGTTCTGCAGGGCTGAGCGCTGGAGTTGTAACCTGAGACCGAACCGGAACCGAATCAGCCTGACCGGTTCTGTTGGATTTGGGCAGTGAATTATTTTAATTGAGCGGGTTGTCACGCGGCACGCTCTGCTTGCTCGATATGTGTGTGTGTGTGTGTGTGTGTGTGAGAGAGAGAGAGAGGGGGGTGGGTCGAATCGGAGGATGCTCCTCCAAACACGCATTAATATTTTCATAACTTCATTATTATTTCTCCTGGAAGCGCTCAGTCAAACCGAGTGTTGTGATGTCGGGAGATCCGGTCTTGGGGAGGGGCGGGGTCAGTGACGGCAGCTGCAGTGTAACTATCCGTCTCTTTTATTTAGGGACACGGAGAAGTTAAAAGGAGAGAGAAATAGAAGATAGAAGTTCTTGTTTCACTTTATTCTTTTGTTTCATGATGATAAACTGATGTTAAATTCAGCTGAAAGAGAAAATGGGAGGAAACTTTGGTTCATTTTAAGTTACAGGAGGTCTTGTCTCCTATCTGCTCCTCCAGAGACAGCATGGACATGAGGGTTAAAGGGTGAGGGTCCCACAGGACAGGTAAGTGGAAAGGTTTGTAGTTAGCTGGTTAGTGAAGGAGATCCATCAGCTGGGTAACTTAATCCTAATCCAGCCCACAGCCTTCTGCTGGTGTTATTATCAGAAAAATAAAACACACATCTTAAATATTATTGGAAGTGTAGAATTTGTTTTATTATTTTCTGCATCAAACAGAACTTGATTCATTCTCCAGCATTTCAGAAATGAACCACTAGGTTCAAATCATCGACATAAATATAAGGTTCAAATAAAATAACTAGGTCAAACATTTCATGTGCTTTTATTTCTGACAGACTTGAACTGCAGCATAAATATTTGACTCTAGAGCTGCTCAGAGACATTAAACACTCATATATGAACCCATTATGTATTTTATTATTACATTATGTGTCCTGTAGGTTTTCAGTACTTTTTTAGATTTTGTGAGTTTTTGCAAAGCGTGTTTTTCTCAGCCTGAGGCGTGGTGTTGAACGAGGAAACAGATGTTTTACTTTGTTAAATCTTCTTAAATGTTTAAAATGTTTTGTCCTAACCTGTTGTGAACGGAGAGCTTTTGAGGGATGGCAGGCTGTGTCAATTACATTTTTGATTAAAAAATAAATAAATAAAAAGCAATTATCTGACAACTTCTATTTATCGATGAAAACAAATCAATATGAAATAATGGTGATGCATCGGCATATCGAATCAAATTGAATCGTTGACCCAATAATCGTAATCGAATCGGGAGACAAGTGAAGATTCACACCTCTAGATATTACATGTGATATTAAAGTGGTAGCAAGCTGTGCAAAACAAATTTTGTTAACTTAAGCAGTTCTCACATCCACCAACAAGTCACGAATTTCGACTTCTTCTGCAAATTGGCACTGCCGAGTCAAGTGTGGAACTATTTTTATCCCTTTCCTGCTCTAGTTATTAATCATCTTTGGTCCGACTTGGCTGCAGCTGAAAGCGAAGCATAACCTGCGTTCTTTTTTGTTGGGCGAAAAACTCTAGGATCATTTGTCTTCGTTTTCCAGGAGTTAAGCTGAGCAGCCTGCTGGGTAAGAAAGGCAGCCTGGACAAGCTGCAGAGTTACTGGGACGTGGGCTTCTTTCTGGGTGCCAGCATACTGGCCTGTGACAACACCAGGGTCATCCAGGCTTCTGAGAAACTCTTCAAGCTCAAAGCCCCCGTCTGGTGAGAGCACAGAGAAGTCCTTCTTTGATTGAAATGCAGAAACGGCTCACTCTGAAGTCAATTGCGCTGGTGTTTTTGTGGTCTTAAACTTTTCCTTGCAGCCGTCGGAGGCTGATGTGTAAGCATGTTCTGCAGATTACTAAGGGCCGTGTTTGCTCATTTGGAAAGCACAAGTTTTGCGTCTCTTCATCTTTAAAACAAACCATTCCACTGTTTTTGTACTTAAGGTACCTGCGCTCTCTGGTGGAGACCGTCCTGATCTACCAGCACTTCAAAAAGCCCGGCTCCGAGCCGCCGGCCCCCAAACAGGAGCTGGTAGACTTTTGGATGGATTTCTTGGTGGAGGCGACCAAAAAAGACGTCTCCTCTGTCCGATTTCCTGTGAGCCACCGATGAATCCCAGAATGATGCAGCTGAGTTTAAATCAAGTCGATAAATGTTGAAAAATGCATTTTCTCCCCCCAGGTGTTGATTTTAGAGCCAACAAAAGTCTACCAGCCCTCGTATTTGACTATAAACAAAGATGTGGATGGCGATACGGTGTCTATCTGGCACGTTGCCCCTGATGACAAGGTTTGATTTTTAACTGTTTGAATAACCCTTAACCTTTCACATTCCTCCTCCAGAATTCCTACAAGCATTTTCCCTTTCTTGAGTAAAATAGCTGCATTTTTGTCAGGAAGGGAATGTGACAGTATAAATCATGACTAAACTACTGATTAGCTACGATTTCTGGTGGTTTTACAAATGTTTATTTTTTTTAAATAATTTTTGAAAAATATTGATGTTTCACATCAAACAGAAGCTAAGCTAAGGATAACAAAATGTGTTAAAATAGTAAATTTAGCATATTTAAAACTAATCTGATAGATAATGAACAAAGACTTTATTATCTTTTTACCCAGTTGGACAAATAACTGTTGCAGTTTTTTTGCCACTTTATTGTTTCATTTGTATTTTCACTGGAAACCTTTTATCTTAATGTTTTTTGAAAAGTGCGATGATGTCATGTGTTTTATTTTATTTTACTTTTGTGCAGAACAAGGGGATACATGAGTGGAACTTCAACGCTACGTCTGTTCGAGGTGTCAGGTCAGCTTCTGATGCCTTCATTTTAAAGTAGTGGTTCACTCGTTTAATCAGTACAGTTGCAGTGGTCTCTAGTAGGAATGAATGTCTTGTAAATCGTTCTCGGGGGACAAAATATACCAGTGCACCATTTCTCAGATCTAAAAGTTGCCCACATCCCCGCTGAGCTTCAGACGGCAGGTTTTGGAGTTCTGTTTCCTGATATTTGGACCTCTCTCCCCAGATTGGACAACAGCAACGTGACTCTACCACTACACATGCCTGGAGGAGCTTCGGCTGTGTGGTGAAGTTGCTAACAGTTTTCCGATCCTAAAGTTTCACAGTCTATTTTTATCAGGATCTAACACAGCATATAGGTGTAGGAGACTATTTTCATGTTCAGCCTGCATGAAAAACTCAGTGGCCCTTTATAATCAGAAATAATCATTAAAAAATTTTTTTTAAGTGAGCCACACCTTTAAATTTTATTCAAAACTGACAAAGCAGGTTTTTGTTTTTAAGACCAAGTTCACTGAGAAACAGTTTTTCGCTAGTTATTTTTTAGATTTGGTCTGTTGAACATGCAGGCTGAAAGTGAAAATGTTCTACTCCTATTTCATGCTTTAGCCACCAATAGAAAACAGACGTGGATCTACGCCACATAAAAAAATAGCTCCCATCTTGGCTTGCGACGGGGAAGGCTGCTCGTGTCCAGTAGAGAGCAGAGTACATCTCGGCTAGCAGAAGCGAACTGTTAGCATTAGCAACTCCACCACACAGCAGAACTCTTTCAGGCTTATGTTATTTGTGGAGAACAAAGGCAGCAGAAGAGTCACACTGCTGTTAGCCAATCAGAGAAGAGACGTGTTAATATGAATAATGATGAGTCATTTTCTGCGCCCCACTCCTCCGGCTCATTTCTACTTCCTGAAACAGGAACAAAAACGTACTTTTACCACAGAAAATGACTCACAAGGTTTTTGTTCAAATGAAAGACCGCTGCAGATGGATTTTTACAAGCCAGCCAATGAGAGCTTTAAGAAGTCATCAACAAAAAGTGTTTTGAAACTGTGCAAAAGTTTTTTTTTTTTGCAAATTTCAACTTTGCACTTTTTCAGTTTTTGGTGTATTTTTTGCGGAAACGTTCCACGTACAGGCGTAGCTACTACAGCAGTTAGGGGTGTTTTCAGAATTTCAGCAAACATTTCCAAGTTTACACGGATATTTTTAGAAGTGACAAATGAAAAGATTGTTTTGGACAAGCTGTGTTTCAGAGTGAACAAGGCCTAAAGCTCGAATGCTGTGTTGTATTTGGTGTAACGTCAACCTACTTAGTGCAGAAACAAAGTTGGTATTAAAAGGCCTTAGTAGCATTATCGTTTTTGCTAATGCTGCTGAAATTTGCAGAACTTTATGATTTTTGTTTGAATTATTTCTGCAACGGAAAAGCTAGGATGGATGTGATGCAACTGTTGCAAAATAACAAAAACTACCAAAATATTTCTTACAAATAATCAGAGTTAGAGAATGGGCACGTTTTAATGCAGACTTTGGTCATTTTCTGCAAAGATGTCCACCATCAAAGAAGTTTTTGTTATAAATTCTGTAAGTCCTGTCACGACACGAGTTTGCCAATCAATCAGCAAACCCTTGGGAGTCACTGCACCTTTCTGAGCTTCTGGCATGTTGGCACACATCCCAAAATGTCAAACTGCACAACACAAACCATTCACTGGTTTGTACTCCTCTGTTGCACAATTTGACGTCTTGTGTTCACTGACAGTTTCTGCTTAGCATTGTCTCCCCAAAGGAGAGTTGAAATAAATGCCAGGCTGAACAAACCTGCCAAGCAGATGCATGTGTTTGTTGCAAATATCTACTTAAAGCAGTTGCATTAAGGCTGAAATGTTTTATTTGCAGACATATTTGAAGGCTGCAGGTTTCAGACCTGCCCCGTCATTTATCCTCCAGCACGTATCTGAGCACTCAAATCCACAGTCGACTGTTTTTGTGATGTCTTGCTTCATGCCAGTTTTTCCACAGTCCTCAGAGGGGTTCAGTGTCAGATCGCAGAGAAGTGGAGGGCTGTGCTCACATGTTGCTAGGGAACGACTCATTCTCTGTGCCCACTCAGCCTGCAGACAGTCAGCAGGACACAATAGCAGCTCTGCAAGCTAAAGTATGACCACACACACAGACGTTCCGTTGTCTGGCTCAGCAGATCTGTCCTTAGCCAGCTCAGAAACGGACAAATACTGATTTAACAGGATAAAAATGTTCCATTCCTTGTTTTTTTGCAGAGTTGAGCGTGATTCTGATATTTAGTTTGAGATGGAGCACCTTCATATTAAATATTTGATGTTGAATGAACGCCTCCTTCACTCTGAGCTATATTTTGTACTTATGTGGTTAAAAGTTCAGCTAAATGTGTGTTCTCCCTCCTCAGCATCTCAAAGTTCGACGAGCGCAGTGCCTTCCTCTACGTGCTTCACAATGCAGAGGACTTCCAGATCTATTTCTGCACAGAGATGCACTGTAAAAGGTTGGTCTGTCTCTTCAGTCACTTGTTATGTTGGGCCCTCGTTGCTTTTAAGAAGCCAGTTAATGTAATAAATCTTCCCTAAATATCATTGCGGCTGCTTGGCTGCCTTCTCTTACTACTCTAAAATTAACATGTTGACGTTTATCATTGAAGAATTCAAAGCTGGGCTTGAAACTAGAGCATAGTTATCTGATTTATTGAGAACAACACAGTACATGTTCTGTGGTGTCGTATTTATTTTCAATGACGCATTTGGACAATGGCAGTTGTGGATTCTGGGGATCGGAGCGCCACAGCCTCCATCTTAGCTATCACAATGTACCGGAGCCTTCATGTAGGTGGTGGGTCCGGCCACTAGGCGCTCACACAAAAGCCCCTAACCACCGGTCTGCCTCCAGGTTTGGACCCTAGTTACTCTCTGGGATGGGTACTCGGATTTTACACTCATAAAAGGACTTTTGAACCACTCTTTGTCTTGCTATGGGTGACTCTACCAGGGCTGAACATGGCTTCTCAAACCACGAAAAGGTGGCGGCTCAAAGAGGAGCCAGCTGAGGTGGTTTGGGTATTTAGTGGGGATGCCTCCTGGGCGCCTCCAAAGGGAGGTGTTTCGGGCATGTTAGGCTAGTAGGAAGCCTCTAGGTTGTCCCACTGGAGGGATTACATCTCCAGGCAGGTGAGGGAACGTCTTTAGTGTCCAACTGGTGAAGCTGATGGAGATGTGGCCCCGTTGAGAAAAATCCAGCGGAGTGCAAAAAAAACCCATCCATTCATTTTCCGGTAAATATTTCTCTTTGGTATCCATCACTGGTGGGTGATTCCCCAATGCTTGAAGTAAATTAGATTTTTTTTAAAGTGACTGACACTTTAGATTCAAAATGGGGGTGAAAATATGACATGTGTCTGTCAGACTCGGCGCCCGTTTGAACTGTGACCAGAAATGGCTTCGCTGACACGTGAAGCCTTGAGAACACATTTCAGCTCACTGTTAATGTGAAAGACAGGAGCTCTTGATGTCAGTGTCAGTTTCCCCATAAAGCCCAGGCAGGCGCGCGGTGCCTCAGAGTGCTCAAACAGAGTTAAAGTCGAGTAAACAATGAGGCCGAGTCATGCTCCAGACGGATCACTACTAATGGCTTTTTTGCTTTCTTGAATATAATCTCACTCATCATGCATGGCTAGAGCTATGCCAGTTTAGCAGATATCGAGATAAAAGCAACGATGCTGAGTGCTAACGGGTCTTGTGTGATGTTGCACGTGGCGTTATTTTCAACAGGCATCTATGACTCCAGATGATATTAGTTCAAACTCTGACATGAAAAACCAGGTGCATTCCTTCAGGGACTGATAGAACATTGAAAGGTAGCTAGCTTCATCCACCACCGTCGTTCTGATTTGCACCTCTTTTACGTTTTGGCCCATCCTTAGCACATCTTGACCGTTCCCATCAGCTCTGCAGCTTCGTGGGGACTCGCTTCCCCACTCGGCACGAGCGCACCTTCCTCAGTTTCATCCCCGCCCTGTCTCCTCTCCAGCTGCTCTTTGAAGTGGTTGCGTTCCGACTTGTGGCTCTCGCATCTGAGGCTTCCCGTGCCATTATCCAGAGTGTGAGAGTGAGTCATGCCTGCTGCTGCTATTGTGCTGCTCTCCATTTCTCAGGAGTGATGGTGAGAAGAGAGGGGTAAAAAGGTAAATCTATAGATGAGAATGCAAGGTAGGACGGCGTGAACAACAGACCCAGAGTGATTGTGTGCACATGAACAGTTGCGTCATAGAACACCTGCAGGCATGCGGCGAGAGGCAGCATGGTGTTATGATGTGTTAATTCACAGCTTGTGTGCAGCGCTGCTGGTAAAGGTCATTGAATGCATCATGTAGGAAGTGTGCATGTAAACACACTGGCATCCCTTCAGCATTGGAGCAGCAGCTATGACTCAGATTAACGATAATATGTTGAAATCCTCTAACATACTATAATCTGTATCGTTTTTACCCAGATTTGTCGGCAGCACGTCTGAGTTTTATACAAGTGACACCAATGTGCATGAAGTGGTCTCTCGTTATTTTTGTACACTTTCACTGCAGACAGTATGTCCAACTCCATTTAAATATATCAGCATTAACACCATTTGACTCAAACATTATAGGGATTATGTTCCAGCCATGTCATATACTCTGGGAGTAAATCTGCTTTTACAGACAAATAGAAATTTTAACGAATTCAGTATTTTTATAATGCATACAAACTTCACCAAAATAACTCAGAATTGGAGTAAAAATCTCTTTGTGCATGTAAATATTTAATAAGGGGTATTTGAGTTAATAAGATGCTCTTTTGTACAGTTTTTGTGTGTGTGTGTGTGTGTGTGTGTGTGGTTTTGCGTGTAATCTCTGTGCTTAGAGACTTAAATCTACCATAAATGAGCTATAATTCTGTCACTCAGGCTACCGTTTAAATTATCTGGATTTGAGATTGACCCTGCTTTATTTTTTGTCAGATTTTGTGATTTGGTGAACAGCATAACAGAAGAAGCGGGAAAAGGTGCAGAAGAAGGAGACTGTGATGCAGATGTCTTAGAGGTGAGACGATAATCAGCTGAGAAATCCTTTATTTTTATTTAAAAACACAAACTTCCCCCTCTTTGGGTTTATTTCAATTGTAATTACTTTTATTTTGTGGGGAAGAAAAGAAACCCTACCTTTTATACATGTTTACCGTCATCTGAAGCTTTTTACATTGCTACCAAATTCACTTCGGATTCCATAACGTGACGCAAAGAATGTCTTTTTGTTTTGTAACTTCCTGTTTCTGCAGTGCCACGTGAAATGTGAGGGGATGTTGATGTTTGAATCAAAAACAATTTTTTAGGAAATGTAATTCATGCGCAAACTGACAGGAAGGACTTTGCTCATCAAGTGTTTGATTTTACGTCATAATGGCTGAATGGAAAAGCAGCTGCAGGTCTTTGGAGATTAACAAAAACCTGCTGGGATGAGGCCTGGATTTGTCCTCGAGGGTGTTTTATGTTTTCGATGCTCGCTGTTGCATTCACCTGCCTCTCCACCGAAACTGAAGGAAAAGAAAAGATCATTGTGCTAAAAAAAACAGCCGCGCCCTCTTTGACCCGGCGTGGAGCAGATCGAATTTCTAACTGGTTTCTCTCCGAGGGCTGTGTGTGTGTGTGTGTGTGTGTGTGTGTGTGTGTGTGTGTGTGTGTGTGTGTGTGTGTGTGTGTGTGTGTGTGTGTGTGTGTGTGTGTGTGTGTGTGTGTGTGTGTGTGTGTGTGTGTGTGTGTGTGTGTGTGTGTGTGTGTGTGTGTGTGTGTGTGTGTGTGTGTGTGTGTGTGTGCGTGTGTGCGTGTGTGCGTGTGTGCGTGCGTGTGCGCGCGCGCGTGCGTGCGTGCGTGTGTGTGTGTGTGTGTGTGTGTGTGTTAGTTAAGGAGGTTGATTATTAAACCCACTTCCTTAAACTGGAAAGGATATCAAAGTTTTTTTGTTACGACAACATTTTTGGGACTGAAAAACTAATGTGTTCGTGTTCGATAAATGACCTGACTGAGTAGGGTTGCAGGGAGCTGGTGCCTACATCCACAGGTCATCAGATGAGAGGCAGGGGACACCTTGGACAGGTCTACAGTCCATCACAGAGACACACGGAGACAACGAGTCCCACACTCACTCACACCTAGGGACAATTTAGAGTCTCTAATTAGCCTCAATTACGTGTTTTTGGTCTGCATGAGGAAGCTGGGACACTTGCAGTAAACCTGCACATGCATGTGGAGAACATGCTAATTCCGTACAATCGTAGCTGGGATTCGAACCTATGCCCTTCTAAATTTACCAATGCTCTTCAATTTATTTTCCATAAGAAAACAAATGATATAAAAAAAAGTATGAATATGGCAGAAATTGTAGTTTAGAAAGAATTTTTACTGTAAAAAAACTGTTAAATGAGCTGCATGGTAGGATTGTTGCCTCACGGCAAGAAGGTTGCTGGATCGAACTTGGCTGCTTCCTTTCTGTGTGGAGTTAGCATGATCTCCCCACTCATGTGTGGAGTTAGCGTGATCTCCCCACTCATGTGTGGAGTTAACGTGTTCTCCCCACTCATGTGTGGAGTTAACGTGTTCTCCCCACTCCTGTGTGGAGTTAACGTGTTCTCCCCACTCATGTGTGGAGTTAGCGTGTTCTCCCCATTCATGTATGGAGTCGGCGTGTTCTCCCCACTCATGTGTGGAGTTAGCGTGTTCTCCCCATTCATGTGTATAGTTGGCGTGTTCTCTCCATTCATGTGTGGAGTTAGCATGTTCTCCCCATTCTGTTGAGTTAGCATGTTCTCCCCACTCATGTGTCAAGTTAGCGTGTTCTCCCCATTCATGTGTGAAGTTGGCGTGTTCTCCCCATTCATGTGTGGAGTTAGCGTGTTCTCCCCATTCATGTGTGGAGTTAGCGTGTTCTCCCCATTCATGTGTGGAGTTAGCATGTTCTCCCCATTCATGTATGGAGTTGGCATGTTCTCCCCATTCATGTGTGGAGTTAGCGTGTTCTCCCCATTCATGTGTGGAGTTAGTGTGTTCTCCCCATTCATGTGTGGAGTTAGCGTGTTCTCCCCATTCATGTGTATAGTTGGCATGTTCTCTCCATTCATGTGTGGAGTTAGCATGTTCTCCCCATTCTGTTGAGTTAGCATGTTCTCCCCATTCATGTGTGAAGTTAGCATGTTCTCCCCATTCATGTGTGAAGTTAGCGTGTTCTCTCCATTCATGTGTGAAGTTAGCGTGTTCTCTCCATTCATGTGTGAAGTTAGCGTGTTCTCTCCATTCATGTGTGAAGTTAGCATGTTCTCTCCATTCATGTGTGGAGTTAGCGTGTTCTCTCCATTCATGTGTGAAGTTAGCATGTTCTCCCCATTCATGTGTGAAGTTAGCGTGTTCTCTCCATTCATGTGTGAAGTTAGCGTGTTCTCTCCATTCATGTGTGAAGTTAGCGTGTTCTCCCCATTCATGTGTGAAGTTAGCGTGTTCTCTCCATTCATGTGTGAAGTTAGCGTGTTCTCCCCATTCATGTGTGGAGTTGGTTTGTTCTCTCCATGCATGTGTGGAACTAGAGTGTTCTCTCCTTTCATGCGTGAACTTGGAGTGTTCTTACCATGCATGTATGTGGTTAGCATGTTCTTACCATACATGTGTGGAGTTAATATGTTCTACACATGCATGCATGAAGTTGGTGTGATCCCGCCATGCATCTGAGTTTTCTCAAGATATTTTGGTTTCCTTCCACAAACACAAAACATGCATGTCAGGTTATTTAGAGACTCTAAACTGCCCTTAAGTGTGACGGGTTGTCCCTGTAATGGACCGGAGACTTGTGCAGGGTGTCCCCGCCTCTCACCCGATGACTATGACCGTTAGACACCAGCTCCCTGTGACCCTACAGATTAATAAGTGGTTAGGGTCCACAGTGCTGCTTGCTGAGAGATCAATACCCTATTCTGGACCAAGATCCATGGGGGAACATCAACAAAAGACACTTCCATGTGGAACAATGTTTTATAGACAGAGGAGACCAGAGAAAAGCTTTTTGGAGACCTGCAGTGAATAAATTTCAGTTTTGCCTTTAAATAGTAAAAAAAATCCATTAAAACACTGTCAAGGTTCAAAGAGTGGATGAAAAGTTGGAAATTCTTATTGCAGTAAATCTGATGCAGGATTAAATATAAAAATATATATACGTCTAAAGAAATTTTAGCATAAAATTGCTTTTTTTGTGTGGTGTACTTGGCCGTAACGACTTGTGTAAATCAGTTTCCAATCGCTCTGCTGCGTTTCCTGTGCAGTATGACTATGAGTACGACGAACACGGAGAGAAGGTGATCCTGGGAAAGGGTACGTTCGGAGTGGTGTACGCGGGCCGTGACCTCAGCAACCAGGTGCGCCTGGCCATCAAAGAAATACCAGAGCGAGACAGCAGGTCAGAAACTAAAACATCTTCATTTGTCTGATTTCTTGAACATTTTTGCTGTTGTCTTTGTTTTCCACATCCACAGCTGTGTTTCCTGAATAAACTGTAACCCTTTTACTGTAGTGTTGGAAAAGTGCAGAATCCCGTATTTGCTTGAAAAATATCTAATGATCTAAATGGTAGTGAAATAGGTCACCACATGTTCATGTTTACGGGGGGAAAGAAGCTACCCTCAGGACATATTTGACATTTTAGCCGTTCTTACTGCATCCGTTTCCGTCCTCTTGCACAGAGTCTCATTCTGAATGTCTCAGCTGTTGGTCTGATCTTCTTCAGCATTTCTGCTGAGCGCCGTGAGGGAAAGAGCTGCAACTGAGAGTGGAAAAGAAAAGGAGCAGATTAGCACTGTCCCTAGTGGTTTTGAGCTTTCAGCAAACTGGCCTCTGGTTGATTGACTGGTTTGTGGAGAGCTGTGAAGGCAAATTCTCCCCTCCCCTCTTTCATTCCCATCAGTGTTTCTGCTCCCAGTGCCCGTCTCCTCATCGTTCCACCTACTCATCTCAGACTGCAAGACTCCCTCACTCTCTCACAGACTACACAGATTTTTGGGTGCCTGGTTCCATCTTTTCTTCTTCTGACACCTTGAGGAAGAGGCACAGTGACATGACATCTCTGCAAAGCATTCCTGCTCTGCTGAACAGGACGGTTTCTGGTTCACAAAAGAGCTCCTTGAATGAGCTGTAGCAAAACAAGTCATTTTAAACACAGTTAAACCAGAGTATTTAGATCTCAGCTTTTGGTTAAAATATCCAAAATGCGAGAGAATTTTTCCTTGTTTCCATCTATCCGTCCATTATTGTCCTCTAATCGGGTCACGGGGGCAACGCACTTAGCAGCGAGGCCCAGACCTCCCTCTCCCGAGCTACTTTAGCCAGCTCCTCCGGGGGAATCCCAAGGCGTTCCCTGACCAACCAAGAAACATAGTCCCTCCAGCATGTCCTGGGTCTTCCTTTAGGTCTCCTCCCAGTTGGACGTGCCCGGAAAACCTCACCAGGGAGGCGTCCAGGAGGCACCCTAACCAGATGCCCGAGCCACCTCAACTGACTCCTCTCGATGTGGAGGAGCGGCGGATCTACTCCAAGCCCCTCCCAGATGACCAACCCTCTCACCCTATCTCTAAAGGAGAGCCCTGTGGAGAAAGCTAATTTCACCCGCTTGTATCCGCAATCTCATTCTTTCAGTCACTACCCAAAGCTCGTGACTATAGGTGAGGGTAGGAACGTAGATCGACCAAGAGCTTCACCTTCCGGCTCAGCTCTCTCTTCACCACGACAGACTGGTACAACGTCCGCATCACTGCAGACGCAGCACCAATCCGCCTCCATCTTTCCCTCACTCGTGAACAAGACCCCGAAAAAACACCTAAACTCCTCCACTTGAGGCAGGACCTCATCACTGACCTGGAGAAGCCATTCTACCTTTTTCTGACTCCAGACCATGATCCTGTATTCTGTTTCATTTATCCGTAACTTAATGTCTCTAAAAGATGTAATGCGAACCTGCTTGTGACCTATTTTATACGCAGATATTCCCAGCCCCTCCATGAGGAGATTGCCCTCCACAAGCACCTGAAGCACAAGAACATCGTCCAGTACCTGGGCTCTATCAGCGAAAATGGTTTCATCAAAATCTTCATGGAACAGGTGCCTGGAGGTAAGACCTAAGACTAATTCATCTAGAGTTTTAGCCATCTTGTTCAAATCCCATACAAAATCAGTTTGTATCTAAATCATAACGAGCACACCATCACCAGCATTTCACTTTGTGCACAAAAAAACTAATTATTATTATTATTATTGGTGTTGTTTTAGTTTGGTTTACTATTAACCGTCTTATAAAGGTGTTGCTCTCAGATAATCTGTGAGAGCAAACCGACACAGAATGTTCAGACCAATCGGCCATCGGGCGCTAATCTCGGGTCAAAGTGAGCATTGATCACTGTTGCACTTTGTCCCGGCGTGTCCAGGAAGTCTGTCGGCGCTGCTGAGATCTAAATGGGGCCCTCTGAAAAACAACGAGTCCACCATCGGCTTCTACACGAGGCAGATCCTGGAGGGGCTCAAGTACCTGCACGACAACCTGATAGCACACAGGGACATCAAGGTGACTCGGCACATGTTGCTTGGTTCCTGTGTGTTCATTTAAGACTGTGCTCAACCAAAGCATCACTAGCACATCATAGCTCTGTCTTTCTGCAGCCTGCTGGGTGTTTCTACTCTAACTGGTGCTTTTCTCTGATCCACAGGGTGATAATGTCCTTATTAATACCTACAGCGGCGTCCTGAAGATATCAGATTTTGGCACATCTAAGAGATTAGCTGGAATCAACCCCTGCACCGAAACCTTTGCAGGTACCGACCCTATTTCTCCCCCTGTGGCCTTAAATAAATCCTAGCCTGTCTCTGTCTTTAAGCTTTAATCTAGTCTTTATTCTTGACCTTAAAATAGCTGAGTGTTGCTTTTCAGAGACGTTGGGTTTGTGGTCAGAGCGGTACAGGTTTAAGGTCGTCTAATAAACACCAAAGCCGTGGGGTGTGGCTCGATTCGACATCACGAATTAGCCCGTCTGACGGCTTGGAGCAGACGGGGCTAACCCTGAAGGGTGGGGCTCTTTCAGGAAACTGGGCTACTCCTTAAAATAAACCACACACCTGCTAAAAATGCACCAGTGCCCTGCTTTTAGCTTTTTACTCAGGCTCCTAAATGCAGCTAATAAAGCCACTAACAGGGTATGAATAGAACAAAAGACCCCTTTCATCAGAGACTCGTGGTTGGGCTTTTGCAGGAAGTGTGTGTGTGTTTACTTTAGAGCTCAGTGAGTTTATGAATACATCTAATGCTAACTATTTTTAGCATTCACATCATGCTTCTTTTTCCTGAGACACATTTTGTTCCTTGGCGACTGAACATCTGAGCACACTTTAGATCTTTAGTTTTATTTGTAATGTTGGAGCAGGGATGCCCACAATTTAACACCAGGACCGAAAGTGTCAAATAAAAAATCTGATTATCTGCATTTTAAAATGCAAAAGTTAAGTTTGTGGTGCTTTTTTTATTTGTAGTGCTCAAGGTTTTGTGTGGGTTAAGGAAAAGATTAAACTGTAAAAAACGTTTTGATCTACGTCAAAAGCCTGCTGGAGACAAAACTCTAACATTCTTGCAATAAGCCACAAAAAATGACTCCGAAGGCCGACACTCATCCACATATTAAAAATATGGACACATACCACCCATTGTTCCGCAGGGGGCAGGTTGAAGCCAAAAATGGGAGGATCCCACCACTGATTTTTTTTTTACCATGTCACACCCAGACAACCCAAATATGAGAAAAGAGGTTGTTTGCGGCAGGTTCCAAGCATCTTCCGTCAGTGCCGCGGCAGGCTCAGCGTGGGTTCATTCTAATGACGCGCTACAATTTTCAACTAAGTTTACGTCTTCTTCATTCATTCCACATCAAAACTGTAACATGATAATGGATCAGCACATGATTACACAGTATTCAGGTGAACGGTCAATGAAATTGTTTCACCCAAGCTCACCCCGCCATCCTCCTTCCTGCCATCAGTCTCTGCTCAACAGGCGACAGGTGAAGATAAGTAGCTCAAGGACGCAGCCAGTGATGCACCCACTCCCAATATACATTAACAAAAAAAAAACCAACAAAAACATCCTCCTTTTTGGCTCCTACAGAGGTGGAGCTGAGGCTGTTACTTTTGAAACAGGGTGGGAACAAATGAACCAATGTAGCTACTAGCTAACTTAGCTAGCCCAAGAAGCTAAGAAGGTCCCCGGGGTAGACCACCCGCATGGCCGACTGGCTGCCGTGTAGTCATGCTAGTCGCCTGTGGAGATCTAAAATGGACCGGGACTGTTAAATTACAAGCAGGGCCTCAGATCGCCTTTTACATCAACTCATGCTCCACGGTTGGAGATCAGCAGACATTAGCTATTTACTAACCCAAAGCTAGAGTTTTTTTTGGGCGTTTTAGCAAGAAAAACGCAGTAGAGAAACTCCAAAGAGAAGGCACCTCCGGCCTGCTTTTTAACAAAATCATAACTAGGAAGGCTGAACAAGGATATCAGGCTTCGCTGGTCAACCGCAGTCAAAGATCCTCGAGTCCGCTGTTGTCTTTTTTTTTTTTTTTTTTTTTTAACGTGTCCTGTCTGGCTGTGAAGCAAGCAGAATTGATGTCTGAATGCTGGTAACAAGCCTTACAGTTTTACTCTCAGGTGGAGCATCAGAGCATCTGCTTTTAATGTCTCAGGTGGAGCATCAAAGAGTCTGCTTTTAATGTCGCACCTGATATTTAAAACTTTATTGTTATTGTTTTTGAATGCTTTGTAATTTCGACCAGACACGGAGACAGAGGCGAAAGAGAAAGGAAAAGAGAAAAGGTGGGGAGAGAGGGGGTTAGGTGGGGGGGGGGATTCAACAAAAACAAACAACAATGAACAAGAGTCTGCTTCCAGACCTGCAAAACGATACGAGAAAAAAAGCAAAACATAACAAAAAAATGGGACACAACACCAACATAACAAAATCAAGCCATCACTGCGTCAACCTGATGAAGAAATACATAATCAATCATTGTTTAACTAAACAGTCACACGATAATATACCACAGTGCATTGAGTGCCCACCACAGTCCCAAGACATGTGTTGAACGTGCCCAAGCCCATACCCATGAGAGCACCATGTGAGCACCTGCGCGTGTACACGCGCCCGTCCATGCAAGGTTTATCTATAGGAGCGCCCAACAGAGAGTGTGAGGGACCACAGATCCGCCCCCCAAAGACGCGCAGGAGACGGGGGGGAGCTCCAAGTCCCAGAGATCCAGGCGCTGCCCCAGAACACAGGAACCCCAAGGAGCCCGCAACCAGAAAGGCCCCCGCCCCCCTCGAGAGGCACAGAGGATCGCCCCGGGGGGCCACAACCAGCAGCCGGCAGAGCCCCGGGAGATATCAGCGGCAAGTCCTCAGGCCTGCCCGCAGCCTCCCACCCCCTAGCCGGCCGAGTCCGGGACCCAGTGACCCGGGACCCAGGGGCGACCACCCCCACCGGGGACCCAGCAGAGCCCAGGGACCCAGACCCCCCCAGGCCGCCACCGGGATTGATCAGGCAGATGCCAAAAATCTTAAACTCCCTGACCCGGGATCCACGAACACTCAGGCAGACCAAGGCATCACACCCACACCAGGTGTGACAGGGGGGAGGGGAGACGAAGATCTATATCATCAAAGGAGGTCCCAGGAGAAGGGAGGAGTCAAAGGCCCCACCTGACATATACAGTCATACACAAACACAGTCACACACTCCCTCCCTCATGCTCACACATGCACATACAACCAAAGACTTACAAAAATACACGCCGGACACCCATTCATGCTCCCCATACACACCCTATTCACTCTGGTCCCGGTAATGCTGCACATGGGGTACAACCACCACCGGTTACCAGAGTTTGACCCTTACATCAAAACTGTAACATGATAATGGATCAGCACATGATTACACAGTATTCAGGTGAACGGTCAATGAAATTGTTTCACCCAAGCTCACCCCGCCATCCTCCTTCCTGCCATCAGTCTCTGCTCAACAGGCGACAGGTGAAGATAAGTAGCTCAAGGACGCAGCCAGTGATGCACCCACTCCCAATATACATTAACAAAAAAAAAACCAACAAAAACATCCTCCTTTTTGGCTCCTACAGAGGTGGAGCTGAGGCTGTTACTTTTGAAACAGGGTGGGAACAAATGAACCAATGTAGCTACTAGCTAACTTAGCTAGCCCAAGAAGCTAAGAAGGTCCCCGGGGTAGACCACCCGCATGGCCGACTGGCTGCCGTGTAGTCATGCTAGTCGCCTGTGGAGATCTAAAATGGACCGGGACTGTTAAATTACAAGCAGGGCCTCAGATCGCCTTTTACATCAACTCATGCTCCACGGTTGGAGATCAGCAGACATTAGCTATTTACTAACCCAAAGCTAGAGTTTTTTTTGGGCGTTTTAGCAAGAAAAACGCAGTAGAGAAACTCCAAAGAGAAGGCACCTCCGGCCTGCTTTTTAACAAAATCATAACTAGGAAGGCTGAACAAGGATATCAGGCTTCGCTGGTCAACCGCAGTCAAAGATCCTCGAGTCCGCTGTTGTCAACGCACCCGGCTGTGGGAGCATCGACTCTGTTACCGGCACTGTGTTGACACGGAGCCAGGTCGACACTCCAAGAATACGGTGGAGCGACTCAAAAGTGAAGCAGAGTCAACTTAAAGAGCTGCTGTGTTTCTTTGGCAATCAGAACAGCCAGCTGACTGCTCTAGCAGCTGTTCCCAGGCAGGAGACGGGAGAAGCCGGGCACCCGCCCAAGTTGCTTATCCAGCCAGCAGCCCCACTAACATGTTTGACCAAGCAGTTAAATGATGCAACATTTCCCTCCATTCAACCTGCCATATTAAGTACAGAAATATAAATTTACTTACTGATAAAAAGCAGCAGAAACTTGGACGATCTGTTAGTAACCACAGATTGCCCTCTGTGTCCAAAAATGCCATGATTAACATCCAAACACGAACACGCACAGCGGACACAATAAGGTTCAGAGAGTTGAAATGGCCAAAGCTCTATTAACGTGAGGCCCAGCCGGAGGTCTTCCCCTGGAGCTAGCTCTGAAGTCACGTGGCTCTGATGCTCATTAATGATTCAGAATGTTGAGCATTTCATTCCACTTAAACAGATAGTTACAAAAAAAAAGCCACCCCCCTCAGAGTTGTCATAAAAGTAAACTAGTTTAATTTAAATGGTTAGCAAAAACCCGTGTTGGCTTCATTCTGCTCTTTCTGCTTCTCCCAGGGTCCACTGTTTGCCTTTTCTTCATTTTTGTTTTCCCTTCCCTCACATCTTTTGCTTTTCTCATTTGATGATATTTGTCGTTTCTTTTATTTTTTTGTTGTTGATTTCTGTTTTTATTTTTGTTCCCGAGCGAAGTTTTTATATATTGCAAGTCATATCGTCACCGCAGAATTAAATCACATTTATTGCGTATTGCAGGTTTTCCTAAGATCAGGCAGCCCTTATCCATACCATAAATAATAATCTATAAATAATCTGACATCAAGAGTCATCCATAAAGAGTCTACATCTAAAATTCCCCCAAAACTTGTTTTTTTATTCATTTATATCAGGTTCCCCAAAGGTTTATTCCAGTATTCCTGATTATTCCTGTGTGTTTCTCCTCAGGCACACTGCAGTACATGGCCCCTGAAATTATAGACAAGGGTCCGCGAGGATATGGCAAACCAGCAGACATCTGGTCTTTGGGCTGCACCATCATAGAGATGGCAACTGGTAAACCCCCGTTCTATGAACTGGGAGAGCCGCAGGCGGCCATGTTTAAGGTGAGACATGCCAGCAGCAGCTTAATCCACAGCTGTAGATAAAGGATTTGATTCTATAAAGTAAATTATAAGTCAACAGTATCAATAGAAGGCTGCATCAGATAAGATTATGGTTTAGTGTTTTCTCTATTCATGCCTTAATTTTGCTTTGGTGTTATTAGACTAGGATGTAAATCCTAAAAGTGGGAGAAGATGACTTTCTGCTGTAGATCAAAAGTATCTAAAAGTTGTAAAAAAATAAATAAATAAAAATGGAGCACATAAATAATTCCATGAGATTCACTTTGGTGGTGCAAAATGATCATTTCATGTGTCACTTTATGTTATTTTTATTTTTACTGATTCAGCTGAAGAAATTTAAGCAATTTTATGCTTTTCTGACACCAGAGTGCATACAATTTTGTTTTTAGTGGTTTCTTAATTAAATTTGGGGCTCATCCCATTCACTTTTGGAAACTTTTAAGGCTAAAAATGGTCATAAAGTAGAATAAAGATAAGTGGAGATCTGCAAAAAATTCCAGGAGAAAACTTTAAAATACAACAAAAAAAAAAGAGTCAAAGTAACACAAATAATAATATTTTAAAAGAAAACTAAAAGGATTACTTTTACAAAGCAACATTTAAAGATGCTAATGATGCTAAACCATTTTAATCCAAGCCCAAACTATGATATCACCACCACCGTCTTTAACAAATGGTTCATAAAAAGATTTTTAATTCATCCAAACAAGTTTTCTCATTTAAATAAATAATTATGTTTCTGGGTCTAAAATATCTTTTAACTGTACTTTATCCTGTACTTTAGGGACTTTTTCATCAAAGAAAGAAAGAAAATGATCTTTTATGTAGCACCTCAAGATAAAAATCACAAGGCGCTTCACAAAAACAAAACAAAAACATTTAAACATAAAAAATTGTTAAAAATGTGTTTAAAATAGAAAGAAATAAAAATTGTGAGGAAAGGGAAAGGGAAAATGAATAGGAAAGAAGGAAATCAGTGGATCTTGGGAAAGGCGGAAAAAGCAGAATAAGGAAAGAGTGACAAAAGTCACGCAAAAGCCAACTTAAACAAGTGAGTTTTCAGCTGCTTTTTAAAGGAAACCACTGATTTACCCCATTTTATTACTTCCTTCCTGTTGTGTTAGATTATTGCACCTGTTGAAGAAACCAGATTATCTGGTCCTGTTAGAAAGAAGAAAAAGAAGAAAATATCATTTCTATAGCACCTCAAGATAAAAATCACGAGGCGCTTCACAAAAACAAAAAATGTAAAAATATATAAAATAATTTAGAAAATGATTAAAAATATATTTAAGATGAGCAAAAAACAGACAATTGTGATTAAAAATGTAAAGAAAGAGAGAGAGTGAATAGGAAAGAGGGAAATCAGTGGATCCTGAGGAAGGTGGAATAGGTGGGGAGAGCAGAATAAAGAGAGAGTGAAGAAGGTCATACAAAAGCCAGCTTGAACAGGTGAGTTTTCAGCTGCTTTTTAAAGGAGACCACTGAGTCCACTGATCTCAGGCTCGGGGAGAGAGGTCCAGAGTCTGGGGGCCACAGCAACAGATGATCTGTCAGCTTTGGTCTTTAGCCTGGTGCTGCACAACCAGTAGGCTTTGATCACTGGACCTCAGGGACCTACTGGGGGTGTAGGGACTGAGAAGATCACCAATGTAAGATGGTGCTTGTCCATGTAAGGCCCTATAGACCAGAACCAGGATCTTGAAATGAACCCTGAAGTTGACTGGCAGCCAGTGAAGCTGGAGGAGAACCGGGGTGATGTGGGTGTGTTTGGAGGACTTGGTCAGAAGCCGAGCACAGGCATTCTGAACCACCTGTAGACGGTTCAGGGAGGTTCTGCTCAGACACGTGAAAAGAGAGTTACAGTAGTCTAAGCGTGAGGAGATGAAGGTGTGGAAAACAGTCAAGTTCAGAGCGGAACAGAATGGGAGTTTAGCATTGTAAAATAATTGACTGTTAGCAATCAGTCAGTCAGAATAATAGTGATCTCACAAAGTCTCATAAATATTATTCTCCCCCAAGCCTCTGTTTTATATTAAAAACTGGATCAGCCATTGTCCACCTGCACCTGTGGGCTGCAACCTGAGCCTCTTAATACCGTCCGCACACGAACATTTGTTTGAACACAAACACGGGTGAGATCCACCCTTACAGTGTCTTTGTTTGGATTATTTATCCTGTCCGTTTATGTGGCACGAATGCCATGGATGGAATTTTTAGAGCGCCACACCAGCAAACGGCTCTTCTTAACCACATGTGGTCCATTACAGGCGGTAAAAAGGAGTGAAGGGACGTCTGGAACGTATTATGGAGTTCACGTCAAAGCTTCCAAACATGGGATTTTTCCATATGATTTAATGAAAGGATTGGGACTCAGACAAGAAAGTATGTTATTGTACCCTAAGCATGTTTTGTTTAGAGGACTTTAACGGGGAAAGACTTGCACTCACTGTTAGAGCCAAGATCAGACAGTACAGGGTGCAGTTACAGATCCCATGTCTGTTCTTTGAAAGAAACACGGAGTTCTCTTATTGAATAAAAGGGCCTCGATGTTCCTGTCCTTAAGGGTGGGGTATTGTCCTAATCCTAAATCGACAAAGCTTAGCCTTAGTGACAGGAACGTCTGTTGTTCCTTTAATCAGGAGATTTCTTTTTTCTCAAACTTTGTCCAAGTTGCTGCTGCTTGTTTGAACGCTGTTGCATTTTTCAACTAGAACGTCTGTTCTGATTGGATTTTGCAGGTGGGAATGTTTAAGATTCACCCAGAAATCCCAGAGTTAATGTCACCAGAAGCCAAAGCCTTTATTCTGCGCTGCTTCGAACCCGACCCAGATCGGCGCGCCACCGCCTTCGACCTGCTCACAGACGAGTTCCTCACCGTGACCAGCCGCAGGAAGAAGAGCAAGAGCAACCTCAGTGGTGGGTTCAGTTCAGAAATTACCAGCATCTTCGAGATAAAAAGTCCTGGAAACTTGTCCTGAACGCAAAGTAATGGGCCATTCCCATCTGTACCGGGTCGGCCCGGGCCGGGTAGCGTAGGTTGTTTACATATCTGGGTGGCCTGGTATTTTTCCGGGCCAACCAAGGCTCATTCTCAGCCCTCTTCTCGAGGGGGTCTGCTTCAGGCCGACCAGGGCCAACACACCCACTGCTGACAGCAAATTCACACCTTCCATTAGAGCAAGCCTCTGATTGGTGGGTAGAATCAGCCCACATGGGCTTAAGACAAGGATGTGTGGAATCAACCGGGCCAGGCTGGGGCCGACTGGGGCTACCCGGCCCGGGCCGACCCGGTACAGATGGGAATGGCCCATTAGATTCCTCACCAGCCCTGCCCACAAAATCCAACATGGCAGCCATGCAGTTAAAAAGGGGCGATAACTTCGCCACAGCAATCAACTTTATTTGCACCATCAGGCGCTTTTCCATTGTTGGAACTTCAGGGGAAATTCTGGATGGGGAAATTTACCGTGAGATACGACAGCATATTGTGACTGCTTCGGCAGGAAGTGACGTCACTGATCAGCGCCACAAAGCATCCACAGTTAACTCTTTCACTGCCAATGACTTAAGTCGTCATTTGCATTTTTATTTATTTTTTTTACTGTGTGGGTGTCGGAACGAGCCCCCGCACCGTGAGAACGAACATCCAAGCTCTAAAGCAGATCTTCATCCACGTACGTCACACGTCACGTGATCAGGAAGCAGAAAACCCATGTGTTAGGAGATCTTTTTGGGCCGCTACTGTAAAAAAAAAAGTGAGGCGCGAACCGGAAAAGCTTCTGACGATACTTTGGACGTGCCTGAAAATGTCCGTTAAGTGGAGACACGCACATGCTGGAAAGTTCCTGTAAATTTATCCTGAAGTTCCGACAGTGGAAACGCACTTGTTAGTTTGGAGCAAGGCTCTCCACTCTTTGTTCTCCAGGTCCACTATCCAGCATGTTTGAGTTGTTTCTCTACCCCAACACACCCGATTCAACCGTTGCATCAGGTGTTCAGCAGGTCATGAAGATCTGTACAAGCCTGATATCTGCTGATTAAAATCAAGTGTGTTGGAGCAGGGAAACAACTAAAACATGCTGGATAGGGGGGATCTTGTGGACTAGGCTAAAACGTCTTAGCGCAAAGCTAACATTTAGCTTGGAGTTAAAAGTTTGCAGAAATGGTATTTAAAGAAAAAACAATCTGCATTCTGCACCTGAAAACCACCACGTATCACTTAAATAACAGCAAACTAGCTTGATGGATCGTTTTATAAGTGGGGAGGCAAGTTCAAATACTAATTTCCCTCCCGTTTGAGCCACAGCTCTCAGCTTATCAGTTTCATTGTGCTTTTAAGTTTAATCTTTAAAGCTCTGAAACTAGTTTTATACTTAAAGCACTAAAACATCATTAATGCATAATGATGAAATTACTAGAAGTTTTGCAGCTTTAATTCCAAAAAATAATAATTAGTAATGGTTCACTTGTGAACTCCTCGTCAGTCTGGACTAATTATTTTATCACACAGCTTTTAAAAGACTGAAGCCACATCCTTCCTGTTTTTCGTAACATGTGAGCATGCTCCTCATGGGGTTTGCACCCCACAGCGCTGATGCAATCATGTGCTCCGGCACCAGTGCACTGCAAGCTGCTTGCTCGGAAACGTTATCCTGCCAATCGTACATGTAAATCCTGTTGTTTTTCTCTCAAAAAACTGCTGACTCTTGGTTTTTTTTCTCCTTGCAGCTCCTTCCTCGGGTGCAGGTGAGTAACTCAGCCCTCTGAACATGTTTTTCAGACATTTCTACCACTACTTGATGGACTTTGTAAATTAAACTTCAATTTTACAAACTCCTCTACACTTCACAGACCTCTTTTTTGTCAAAGAACTCAAAATAGATGTGTTTATATTCTGTTTTTATAAGTCAAGGACAATTCTTCTTATTTGTTGCCCAATAAAATAATCAAGCTCTTCACCTTAAACACAAACTCAGAGTAGTTTGCTTTAGTGAGAAACATTGTCTACCTCAGGTTAGAATTATTGTGCGTGTGTGTGTGTGTGTGTGTGTGTGTGTGTGTGTGTGTGTGTGTGTGTGTGTGTGTGTGTGCGTGCGTGCGTGCGTGCGTGCGTGCGTGCGTGCGTGCGTGCGTGCGTGCGTGCGTGTGTGTGCGTGTGTGTATGTGTGGTGGAAACCCTTCTGCTCAGAGTACCTCCGTAGCATCTCCCTGCCGGTGCCGGTGGTGGTGGAGGACACCAGCAGCAGCAGCGAGTATGGCTCCGTCTCCCCTGACAACGACCTCAACACCAACCCATTCATCTTCAAGCCCAGCGTCAAGTGCTACAGCGAGAGGGATGTCAAGGGGCCCAGGTCCCTCTTTCTCAGGTAGAACACTTGAAATGGACAGAGTCGTGGCTGCTGCTTGCTGCAGACGAGTTTCACGCATAGCCTCACGACTGTGAAACACTAAACCAGTTGTCAGTATAAAGGCCAAAGCAGGTTTATTTCAGATTAAGGTCTGAGAAGTCTTTAACAGTGGATTTTCTAATGTAAAAATGATACAAAACAGCAGAAAATTTTGTTTTTGAACAGATTTACGAATTACGAGCCATCTAACTAAATGTCCATAGGTGTCCTTAAGACTTTTGCATATAATAAAAGAACGCACTAAACCAAACCGCCGACTATTTATCTCAGCATTCCAGTGGAGAACTTTGAGGATCACAGCGCTCCTCCGTCTCCCGACGAGAAAGACACAGGCTTCTTTATGCTCCGCAAGGACAGCGAGAGGCGAGCCACGCTGCACCAAATCCTGACCGAGGACCAAGACAAGGTTGTGGCCAACCTGATGGAGGCCCTCACACAGGTTGGGAATGGAAGAAACTAACAGGAGGGCCAGGGAGACGCAGTGTTAAAATCTTCTGTGGTTCTCTGACCTTCAGGGCTCTGAGGAAATTAAAGTAAAACCGCAGCACATCTCCATCCTCGTAGTGAGTCTGGCTGACTTTATCCGCATGGCCGACAGGAAGATCATTGCCAACACCTTGTCTCAACTCAAACTGGACCTGGACTTTGACAGCACCGCCATCAGCCAGCTGCAGGTCATACTGTTCAGCTTCCAGGATGCTGTAAGTTCATCACTACAACAGGGAGGTTCGATAAATCCTCCTCTAATTTTCCCTTCTGGGAATAATCAGTCCATTGAAATCCTTGAAATGACTTTAAATAGCACCAGATTAAAACCCAAACATCACTCCTCCTCCATGCCTGAGTCATGTGACTTCCTGTCTGTTACATCCCTGTAGAGCTCTGGGTGTTTTGTTGTAAATGTTTTACGTCAGGCAGCAGAAGCCTGTCTGTTTCCTTTTCCTCCTGCGCCGAGATAATAAAGTAAAAATGATTCATAAGCTTTAAGAAAAGAGGTCTTCAGACAGGAGGAACTGCACATTCTGCAAACAGGCTCATCAGAAATGCTAAACGAATAACATAAGAGAAAATGGTTGTTAGTGTATTGCATAATCTGAGGTGGGAAAATTGAGTTCTGACGCCCCCTGCTGGTCATTGATGCACCCAGAGGATTTTTATGTGTAGTGCACGACTACTTAGAAGTGTAAATATGAAAAGTTTGTTTTCCTTTATGTTTATAGGTGAACAAAGTGCTACGAAACCACAACATCAAGCCTCATTGGATGTTTGCTCTGGACAACATCATCCGTAAAGCAGTGCAGACCGCCATCACCATCCTGGTGCCAGGTAGTATCATCCATGTTTAGAGCAGAGCACCTCTAAATGAATTATCCCTCCCTCCAGCCCTGGGCCAAACTGGCAGGATAAATCCAGGGATATGAAGAGGGAAGAATATAGAGCTAAAATGCATTATAGATGCATACTTTTTGCATGCTGGCTGTGGTTTTTAGAAGTATTCCTTGGCCGACGCCACGACTCTCACCTGAGTGTTAAATTGTTCATTAAAGTGTTTCTCTTGGTCACGTTATCTTTGATTTAAAAAGTTGTATTTTGCACATTTGGAAGTATTTGCAAGTTTTTATCCTTGCTTTGAGTAAAGTTATAATTAATTACAGATTAGCCGTGGTAGATGGCTTCCTGAATGGCCTCTTTTTGGAGAAACAGATTAGCATCCGTTAGTAGAGATAGGCTTCTTAGTGTAATTATTTATCATCCTAAAGTAAAAAAATCTCTATTTTTTAAAAATAGTGATATAATTTCTAACAAAAACAAGATGACCAAGTAACATTTATAACGATATACAACCGATGAAATGCTAGAGTTAGCAGGCATCGCTACCACTAGCTTGCATGGTCATCCATTGTTGCCCATCCAGTTGATGTTTGCAGACAAAACTTAGAGAAAGTTGTTGTCAACATTAAATGTGTGGTTTACTCGTTTATTCAATACATTTGCAGTTTTCTCTAATGTAAATCAATGCCTTATGAGTCATGAGATGCAGATGTTTGCTGGTGCAGAGGTGGACTGAAAACAGCAGAATTGCTCATTATTATTAATGATATGCACAGACCTTGCTTTTAATTGGCTAACAGAACGTGTTCAGCCATGTTGCACAGGCACTATCACCAACACACTCTGCTCTCTCTCTTTGCTGCAAAAAAAATTTTTTTAAGCCTTCCAGTGGGCAGACGTGAGTCAAGATGGGAGAGGCCATGAATGCAAATTCACAGTGTGACATCACAGTGTGAGGATTTTCAAATCCTAGCATTTCACCATCTATTTTCTATCAGAAGCTAACAGAGGAGATTAGTGTGGGAGATTGTTTTCATGTTCAGCCTGCATGAAAAACTCAGTGACCGATTATAATTAGAAATAGTTTTAAAAAAATTTCAGTCAACCACACCTTTAATCAAAACCTTTGGGTTAATATTATGTCCTAACCTTTACACTCGGCCTCACAGTTATTGATTTTCTGGGGACATCCGTTCATGTTTCTGCAAGGTTTTCCACCGTGATTGTCCATGTTGTCGTTCCTGAGTATGGTGTCGAGTCGGGCCAAATCCCCACTCTTAATCAGCAAATGGGTACAGCAGCTAAAATACCTAAGAAACGTATCTTTCCCTGCTCGCTGTCATGAGTGAATATTGTGAGATTCGTGCCTTGTTTGCCTTTCTAACTTTAATAAAGCCACGCTGTATGGCCCACATGAACAGAATCCACTGCATAGTGGATACATTTACATCATGGTATCATCATGATAGGTTTTTTCTAAGCAAGACATAATTACTAGTGGTATTGTGAATGACCTGATACACCCATCCCTAGGTTGAATTTAAATTGTTGTACATGAATTATAAATATATATTAAAAATAGTGCCTTTGTTACCTTTTTGCCAGCTTTTGATACAGCTCTAACAACTTGATAGATAGATAGATGGATAGATGGATAGATGGATAGATAGACTCCATGTCCAGATTAAATTACAAAAACCATAAACAAGCTACATAAAAACACACTTTAAAAAAATGTCGTTTCTTATGGTTCCAACAAAGATGATAAAAAGCTACTTGTGCCTTAGACAGCTTGCCAGTGTTTCCAAAGCTCAGACTGATGGTGAGCGGCACTAAGGTTAACGTTTAACAACTGAATCAATATATGTTTGATGCATTTAATCTGCTGATGAAATTCTGTAGACAATGAATCACATCTTGAAGGGGTTTAACTTGTAAACAATTTACAGGAAGAAAAATATTGAGACAAATATCATAAATCAGAATTTTGCTCAAAGATACTGGATTGTAAGTTCTGGTCCATATGGCTCAGCACTACTTTTAAGTAAAACTTTAGTTTCTCACACTTCCTACTGGTTGGAAACAGTATTGCAATTGTTGCAAACAGCAGCCTGCTATAGCTAGCGCTAAAAATGAGCTAACGCTAACACAAGACTACTGATACTAAAAAGGCCATGAAGTAAAAAGATCAACACTTTTGGACAAAAAATGATTACTCACAAGTCCATTAGCAACAAAGCCAGGTCACCATCAGGCCGTGATGTTGTAGCTTCCTTTAGCTCCCTCAAGCTAGTGTAGGCCACGCTGATGTTCACTCTGGTTTTTGCTCTTTGCGCCACTTCCAAAGACATTAGTCTTTTACTTTTAAGTCCAGGTGTAGCACATTTCAAATTGTCATCGTAGGTAAGGAGGAAGACTCAGGAGACACCAGTCTGGATACTGGAGACATTGGTGCCAACCAGAACTCTGGGCAAACCTTTAAAACAGTGGCAGAAGGCACAATTTAGTAATACAGCTCTATTTAAGTGCTAAAAAATGTAGGAAAAAGTACATTAGCACTATTCAATGCATTTTTACTGACAAAAATTGTTCTGATTCATATTCCTCGGTCATTTACATATTTTCACAGCTTACCAAGTTATTTTTGTGTTTTTAGCATTTCATTTTAAGTATCAGAGCTTAAACAGGTGCTAATTTAAATCAAAAGAAAAAAAAGAGGACCTCAGTTTACCAGCATACAGGCTGCTTATCTCAGCTAGCAGGCTGTGCACATGGCGAAAGTGTCTGTGTAACACTAATTATGCCCCCTGTGCAACAGTTACCAGAGAGGAACTATAATATATCAGCACCACTAAATGTATGTATGAAAAAAATTTAACGTTACACAATGACCCAAAACCATAGATGACATAAAAAAATCATTACTGAAAGTTTTGTGAAGGTTCATTTCACCAACCAGAAATATAATCGTGCAACACAGGCTCCGCCATGATGCCAACAAAGAAGGAAACAACTTCTTCTTGTGCTTTTTTATTGGCTGTCTGCAAACTGAAACAGCTAACTGCTGCTAGCTATTATATGAGCTATCAGCAGAGTGAAGAGCTGTTGCTGTAAAGCAAGAGAGTCAAGAGTCAAGAGTCATTTATTGTCATATTCTCCACATGTGCAGGACATACAGAGAAATGAAATTCAGTTTCAGCACACACAATTCAAAGATCAGACATACGTGGGTAAGACACATAACAAGAATTGGTGACTGCGGTCATTCGCAACATGAGTCGCGCTACCTTAATAGTTAGATGAAAAGGGTGTTACATGAGGAAAGTTCAGGGAGGGGAAAAAAAAGGCATTAACAGGGTTACACCAGCAGGGTGTAGCACTCCAATGCAAAAAAACACCCGACATGGAAGCACAGACAGCACGTGTACAACATCAGAGTCCAATGGGGAGGTGGGGGTGGGCGGGATCCTGAAGCCTCCAATGGGAGCTGCCACTGCGGCGCATCGACCAGCTGCAGAACAACAGGTGGGAGGGAGAGATAAGGAACAGAGAGCACATTGAGGTCCCTGCAGACATGTCAGCCTGAAGGGAGAGGGTGAAGGTCGGGACACAGCATCTGTCGGCATTCCTCCTTTTGTGGGGGTGTGTAGAGGCAGCCGTGAGAGGCTGCTATGGCGTCAGATGAGGATAAACATAACTTTGTTTAGGGCAGGCAGAGATAATCTTCGCCTCCGTCTTGTAGTCTCTAAGTGGTCATTCATGTCCACCAGTGAAGCCAATTTTACATTCCACATCCCCGCATCGTCCGGCGACCCTCTCCGAGATCAAATCCATCTTGCGCACTAACACAGGCAACGCCGCAAGGACATTGTCCAGCTTACGGTTCACCTCGAGTAACGTCCCAGTCTGTGAGGTCACCGCACGAGCGGCACATTCCGTGGGTACGGGTCGCACTCCAATCGCTCCCGTCTTCCCAAATTTCCAGAAAACCAGATATCCTCCCACTCCAATCAGAAGAAATCCAGTGATCATTAGGCCGAATATCCACAAATCTTCCACGTCCTCGATGGACAGCTGAGAGAGGCACACGATTCGCCAGACCTCCCAAGAATCGAGTGCATATCCCGATGCGAATGTCCCCTCGGGACAGGTGGGAGCCCCCTTCTCCGTTCTCATCGTAGAGAAAATTTTGTCAATCACGTTGAATGACCAATTAATTAAGTCCATATTTCCAAAAAAGAGTAGTGGTTTCAGGAGAAATGCAGAGAAGTGCTCTGTAGGCAGACAGGACAAGAGCCTTGGGGAAGCCGATAAGGGAGCTGAGAAAAAAGCGTCTGTACTCTCTGAAGGCTGGAAGAGACTTTTTCCACCGGTGCCAACCAAAGCCATGAAAGTTGTTAAAGTAACAGTGAGTAACCTGTTCTAACTCAACAATCAGTCAGACCAATGTTAAAACTATCAGGTGTTACTTCAAAGGCAGTTTCTGGTCTAACGTTAAGTTACTCAAGTCTCTGGCTTAAGAACCACTGGAACCAGTTATAAAGCAATAGCTCAAAGTGTTAAAAGCTGGCACGTTCATTCATTCAGTTTAACTGTATTATCACTCATTGAGTTCATCTTGTATTTACTTTCTGACTCTTTTTTTTTAAGCGTGACTATGTGTGTGTTTTCAGAGCTGAGGCCTCACTTTAGTCTGGCCTCAGAAAGTGACCCGGCCGATCAGGATGACATTGGCGATGACGTTGAGCCTTGCAGGAATTCCAACCACCAGAGTCGTGCGCCCAACATCACCGCTCACGACGACACGGTGGCCACCTCGGGAGTCAGCACACTCAGCTCCACCGTCTCCCACGAATCATCCCACAATGCACAGCGCTCTGTGAGCATGGAGCTGGGCAGGATGAAGCTGGAGACCACCAGGTAGACACTGTTTTATGCCCACTGCTTCATGATTCACCATGCTTTTTTTGTTCATGTTTGGTCATCTGTGGAATAATTTCAGGCTGCTAGAGGAGCTGCTGCAAAAGGAGAGAGAGTACCAGGCCATCCTGCAACAGGTGCTGGAGGAAAGAGAGCAAGAGATCCGACTGCTGAGGATGAGATCTGAACCTGCAGGTCTGTTCTTTCATGATTTATTTGTTTTTAGACACTCCCTAGTGGCCACTTTTGGAACTGCTAGTTTATTTATAATTTTTTTTTGTGCCTTAAATGGTTTCCTTAAAGATCAAACTAGATGCATACGTTTTTTATTATTTTTTTTTATTTTTGTGCATATATTTGCTGGTGGAAAATTCTGATTATTTGAGTCTTCATTTCTATTAAAGATACCCCTGCTACATCAGAGGACCTGCAGCATCCAAGCGGCCAGTCCGCAGAAAGACACGAAGACCCAGAGCTGACCAGCTGGCTGAGGCGCTGTGGTGCTGACCAGAACTCTATAGACATGGTGAGTTTCCCTCGTTCCCAGATTGGAACATCGAAGCGGTTACTGCCGTTTGATGACTGGTTCCATAATAGCGTTTTCTTTTTGTGTCTCTAGATACTGACCGAGGAGTACACCTTGAATGACATCCTACATTATGTGACAAGAGATGATCTGAAGAGTTTAAGACTGAGGTAGTTAAACATTAAATACATTTAATTTTTTATTCTTTATGGAACAGTTTCACTTCTGTTCAAAGTCATACACCTGAGCAGTACAGGAATACAGAAGTGAAATATGCACACTTTAACTTTGTTTCTTTGTATTTTCCTCATTGACATGTATGATAACCAGACACAGAAGTAAAAAGATGGAAATTGTGGTCAACACCATACAGCAACCTGGGCTTCTGTTGCACCTGAGTGTTACCACTGGCCTCTGTCACACTGCAATGATGCAGGAAAATGTTGATTGCACAGAAATAACAATACCTTTTCAGAAACCTGGCATTTCTCTTTAAATTATCATTTTTGATTTGCTTACATATAATATTCACAATTTCTGAGAAATTAGAATTTTGGGTATAAGCCACAGTCATCAAAAATACGAGAATTAAAGGCTTGAAATATTTAAATTTATATGGAAATAATCTTTATAATATAAAAAATTCATGTCTTAAAATGAATGACACAAAATATTAAACTTTTTTCAAAAAAATGATCTAATTATTTTAAAGTAACACAGAGCAGTTTCCTGCTCCTCTGCCCTAGTGGTTGAAAATGGGATTACAACTATTGAAAACAACCGTGCTGCAACCTGCTGTAGCTAGCGCTAACAACGAGCTAACATGAGCAACTAATACTAAAATAAACCACAAAGTAAAAAGATCCACACTGTTGGACCAAATATAGTGTTACTTACAAGTCAAGTAGCAACAAATCTAGGTCACCATCAGTTTGTGATTTTGTAGCCTCCTTTCGCTCCCTCAAACTAGCGTAGGCCACGTCTATGTTTACTCAGATTTTAGCTCTTCCCCTCGAAAGACTACTCTCTTACTTTTACTTCCAGGCTCCGCCATGATTCCAACAAAAAAGCAAACTTCCTTCTTCTTGTGCATTTTACTGATAATCAGTAAACTTAAAATGCTAACTGCTAGCATTACAGCTAACAGCTGTAAAGCAGGTAAAGAGCACCCCCTAGGACACATACCCATGCCACAAAACTGTCTAGTGCTCTTTTTGGCCAGCAGATGGCTGCAGAGTGGTGTCAGATATGAAACTAGTCAAGTTTGTTACTCAACAATCACTGAGATCAATGTTAAGGCTCTAGCTTAGTTAATACAGTTTAATGTCACTTTAATCAATCTGCATGTGTAAAGAAAAACATAAAAATGAATGTTTATTTGGCACCCCTAGTGGGTATTAAATGATGGAAGCGCTTACATTATCTATATATATATATAACTCAGAAGACAGAAACACTATTTTATCATGTTTTAAATATAACTGAAATAGTTACTTCCTGCTTTATTGTAACCGCCTCTTTATTGGTTGATCTTGCCAGGGGTGGAGTTTTCTGTAAACTATGGAAGGCCATCACAGACCACAGGCAGAAGCTGACCTGAAGCCTTAAGTGGAAACGTTCCCTCCCAGAAGCCAACCGTTCGGGATGCTTTTGGGTTTGTTTGTTTTTTACCTCAGTATTTATAGGAACAAGACTTTCCGGAGAAGCGCTCGTGTTTACTGTAAGCACAGGGCCGCTTCACAAGTCTCTGCAGGAGTATTTTGTCATTTAAAACACAGATTTTGGATTCCAGATGATTTTTGAAACAACAATTACTAAAAAGTGCCACAAGTTTGTTTTTTGCCTGTTGGATATGATGCATTTTTGTCACAGGCGTATTTAAAAATACATTTGATGTGGGGAAAGTAACTGAATCTTGTCAAATAAGAAGACACTTTTTTCTGTTTTTACAAGATATAACGTTTACCAAAATGGGGGCAAACCATTTTCTAACAAGCCTGAGATATAAAGTACTACATTCAACGTCATTCTTAAAAATCTTAGTTTCTTATCACTACTTTATTTAAATGGATTTTATTTAATTGTTGTAATCTGGAGCATGTCGGTGCATGCTTTCTCTTTTTAATATTTTTTTATTTAAATGTGGTTTCTTTCTTACACATCTCCTTTTACAGAACAGACCTGCGGGTTTATTGCTAAGAATATTTTTTCATGTGAATATTGTGTTATAAAATTCTATGAGAATGAGATTTATGTACTTTATAGAAGATATTGGTAAAGGTAGTCAAGTCTCATGTCTTATTAATACGTGGGAAAACTGATTGTATATAGTTGTATTTTTTAGTCTCAAATCACAGGAGATGGTATTTAGTTAATACTGAATTAACATTCCATCATGAGATTATTTGCTTTTGCTGTTCCACCCTGACTAAAATGTGTTTATCTTGCTTGTGTTCCTTCAGTCAGACGTGCACTGTGGTGGCAAATGTGTGATGCAAAAAAACGTTTGTCATTTATGAGCCTTTTTTAAACCATCTTGTCAGAAATGGAGGAAATATTCATGCAGTTTGTCCATTTTGGTTTTATATCTAAAATGTTTCAATATTTTTGTGTCATTATAATAAAAAACTGTTGAAAATGAATGAAATGTCTCATTTTCAAGTCACTGAATCAGCAGCACTAAAAACTACACTGAAAACACCGGTCCACCTTCACTAGTTTCCTAGATTTTTTTCTAAGGATTTTACCTTGAAGGCAGAAGCTGATACTAGGGCTGCCTATGCTGAGCAATGAGCTAAGTTTAGCTTAGAAGAGCGACAAGAGGGAATTGTCACCCTCCAGTGGTGAAAAGCTAGAACTAAACTGGGTTTGATAAACCATTTGAGAATATTTTATGCTCCTTATAGAATAGAATAAACTTTATTGATCCCACAGTGGGGAAATTCATGTGTTACAGCAACACAAACCCTTAAGAAAATAATTTGAAGAAAAATAAAGGTACATGTATGTACACAAAGACAGTAATCTAGAACTGTCACCTTTGACCTCTGAAACCACTAATAAAAAAGAAAAAACTTGGATTTCCACCACTATGCAGCATACTGCAAGAGACACAGACATACTATGTAAATCTGCTATTGCACGATTATTGAACACATACTGAATATTGCATTGGTGTTATTGTGTAACAGGATGATGCCAGTATCAATGAAGCTGGAAAAAAAAATACGACTTTTTTTCCTCTTGTGAATATTAATATTTAGGAGGAGGAGAGGCAGAATAAGAAACTACAGAATCTGTAACCATAATCAGAAGCTAACTTGAGAATTAGCATGTCATCCCTTGGTTCCTTGTCCATTTTTGTGGTTTATATGAACTCCATCATTTAAACTGTCGCATTTTCAGGTTGGATGTACAAACCATTTCGTTTCAAAACTTCCATTTGCATTGTTAGCATTTCTATTTAGCTTGTTTGTGTTGTTGTTGGCTTGTTTTGTTTATCCTTCATAGCTGAAAAAGTTACCAGAAGTCTGGTAGCATTTCAATTACCAACGAATGATAATTACACCCAGGTAAGCTACAAGCTTACATTTTTGTTCTTATTAGTTAGTGGAAACATTGGAAACGCCGGAGATTCCCAACGGAACACACAACGCCCTGTTGACTGGCGGCCAGCCGCCATCTTAGATGGGTCTCCATTCACCCCCAGTGTATTTATTTCTACTGAGGAAAGTGCTTACCGAACAAACACTTATTGCCTTCTTGCTTTTTGTTTGAACTGAGAAAAGAAAAGGGCAAAAGCAACCATCTGATACCAGGAGCCTTTTAGGATCTGATGACTCAATAAAAGACACAAAGGAGGAGTTTCCCAAAAATCGGTGTTGCTGTTAAATACAATTCTAGTGTTCATTGCTTTGAAGTCGTAATGGAGGTGGAACGTTTGGAATTGTTGCAAAGTTCAAAAAACCGGGAACAAAATTGAACGTGGACATAGAAATACACAGAAGAACGTTTCTTTGAAGAGGAAGTGAAAATGATGAACATCCAGACAAAAACAACTTCATGAGGTTTATTGATAGTTTCCCCAACATAAACTGCTTTTTTCTCATTTTTGAGACATTAGTTTTAGATTTTATTACATTTATGAAGAGTTGAGTTTTTAAACCTTGTCTGAAATCAGACCTAATGCTCACCAGATGTTTGTCGCGCTGGGAGCTCTGAAAAGCCTCGGCGGTTAGATATAAAACCAGATATCATGCTGGTAAATCATGATATTAATCCCTTTAGAGGTAAGTTGATTGACTTGGGGTTGGCTCGTGGAACAGAAACGTTATCAGTACATAAGCCACTAACAAATACACACAGGCTCACAACGACATTGTGACATCATATGGTACCAGCTAACATTGTAGGGTACCTCTTAGCCAATAGCGATGGCAGATTTAAATTCAAATGCAGGGCAGAGTTTTTACCTGACAACGGCACAACAGTGACAGTTTTAGGCAGAAATTTTACATTTTAACTGAAATGCTTGTTTGGCTAAACAAGTGCTAAACTATTGACTACACGTGTCTGCAGCACGATTAGACACACATTTATGTAGTTTATCAGAAAAACAAAGTTTGTTTGGGGGTTACTTGCTCTTTAACCATTTGGGTATTCTTATACAACAAAAACTACTTGATCAAATGGATTGACTGTTTTATCCAAGAGGACAGTTTCTGCCTTGTTTTTGGACAATGTTGGAAACCTCTGAGCATGGATGAAATCAGAGCCATTGCTCAGCAGACCCTGGTCTACTCAGAGAGGCATGGGTGTTACTCATGCAGACATAAAACCAAGTAGCATCATGCTATTACATCATGACTGAAGCTGACTGGTATTGCGTTGGCTCATGGGACACAGAGTTTGAAAAGTGGCAGGCTGTGGGATACAGGGCACCCGAGGTACATATGGGCGTCCATATGATGAACGGATAGACATGCGGCGTCTTGGCTGTACATTGGTGTACATCTAGCCAAGCATCCGTTTCCAGAAGATGAATACAAAGTTATAAGGTTCATTTTAAAGTGCTGTGGTATGCCTGACAAAATGGACTTCAGGGTACGCACAGCAAACACTTAAATTAGATAAACGTGGACCTATCCCTAATCGTTGGAAATTTAAAACCAAAAATGAATGCGAGGAAGCCATCGAAAAGATGATTCCTCCGTTTAATAAACATTTACTGTCTCTGGATGACTTGGTGACAGACATCAGGTATAAAAACTCACGCTGAACAAGAAGACTTAAAGGCTTTTGTAAACCTTGTTAAGAGGAGGCACTGAAGAAACTTTAAAAGGGACCTGCTAGCTGGCACAAGATGCCACGTGCCATGGAGGTCAAAGGTGACGCTGGGTTGACCCAAAATGATAATGACCTTCAACATAATAATAATTTGCAACTTACAGATAAGGAATAAAAACTGGCCACGTTACAGCAGAGCATGCTGGTAATATTCAGCTGTAACAGGTGAGATGCTCGTCGCCATCTTTGTTTACCACGTTACGTCAGCGCTTCCTCCTCTCGCGCCGCTCCCTCCCTCACCATGACAACGGCAGATTTTCTGCATCGTCAGAAGAGCGGGACCCGTCGCTGCGGATGCACGGGCGATTTAAGTCCAGATAGCGTGTCCTAACTCAGCTACGAGGAGATTTTTTACATGTCGGAGGGTCTCCAGGTCTGAGAGGTACTCCCCATGAGCGGGAATCCGACCGGAGGAAGAGGGAGAAGCCGCCTGACTGCGTGACTTGCCACCAACATGGCTCTGCTTCATCAGCATCCCCGGCTGCTGCTCGCCTCCGTCGTCCTGCTGTTTGCCGCCACCCGCATCTCCGCTCGGTCTTCTCAGATCTCAGACCTGAAATCTAAGATATCTGGAGTAGAAGAGCTCTTGGAGGAATTCAGAAAGCAGCTCCAGCAGGACCAGGCTTATCGGGCAGCCGAGGTAACCGACTCCTGCGTGGGCGACTTCAGCTCCTCCGGGGAGCGCATCATCCGGACGAAGGCCTCCATCGAGCAGGGGGCCGCCTTCCTGCTGGCTCCGGATAGGGTGTACACCTGGATGGACTGTCTGCACGCCTGCTGCTCGCAGCCCCACTGCACGGTGGCAGTGGTCCAGGAGGACATGAGCCGACCCGGAGGCAGCCTCAGCTGTTACCTGTTCAACTGCACCTACAGGAACAAAAACATCTGCTCCTTCGCTCCGCAGGAAGGCTTCACCACATACAGCCGGGCTCCTAACAGCACGCATGGACACCTCCCCGTGTCACCCAGCGTCTCAGCTGGGAGGCCAGCAGAACCAGGACCAGCACCGGAGGATTATGCACAAGGTCTCACTAAACTGTTTTAAAAATGTTTTTAACGCCATTTAAATGCAAACATTCTGGGTTTTTTTTTTGTGTTTAATCAAAAACTGGCTTAAAAGTCACATAATAAGTTTTTATTAATGCAGCAGGTAAATAAAAACTCATATCTATTTTATTATAAAGAAATTCGGTATTCATGATCCATCCATCAATTTTCTGAACCTGCTTTGTCCATGGGGGGGGGGGGGGGGGGGGGGCTGGTGCCCATCTCCAGCTGTAAACGGGCAATCAGGTGGGGTACACCCTGGACAGAGAGCCGGTCCATCGCAGGGCAACACAGAGACACACAGGACAAACAATCATGCACACACACACACTCACACCTAAGGACAATTTGGACAGACCAATCAACCTAACAGTCATGTTTTTGGACTGTGGGAGGAAGCCGGAGTACCCGGAGAAAACCCACGCATACACAGGGAGAACATGCAAACTCCATGCAGAAAGACCCCAGGCCGGGAAGCGAACCCAGGACCTTCTTGCTGCAAGGCAACAGCTCTAACTGTGCAGCCGTATTCATGATTCTTTTATAAATTACATTGTAGCATATGTTCAGTTTTCCTGTATTCATAAAAGAAGTAGGAAACTTAACAGGTTGAGGTAACGTCTACCTTCTACATTTACCTAAAGGGGTGCTAGTTTTTTATGGTGAGGTTTTCTTTTTTAAATAGTATATTTGTTTTTAACTGCATGTTGACACACTGGCTCTAAACAAAACCAGACTTGGCCTTTCCTGATAAGACAGCTGGATTAATGATTGGCCTTTCGGTTTCCAGAGCTGCAGAGCAGAACATGACCAGATGTTTTTATGACGTTACCTGTGACACCAGTTTCTAGTTTGATCACCTTTGCATTCAATTAATCTTATCTAAACCAGAAACAAAAACAAAAAAATCTGAATATTATTTTTCCACCTTTTTTCTTTAAAGAGACAATGTGTTGTTTTTACCGTTAATCTCTGGAAATATCGATTGAAAAGTAGAAAATTAATAGAATGATGTCTAATTGTTGAAAAATATTGGCGACTTCGTACCATACAGCCATAAAAGTCAGGTTGAAAGTATGTAGGGTGTTGGTCCTGCGCCTGTCGATGACATCACACTAGATGATTGGCTAAACGTGCGGCTTAGGAAAGTTACGTTTCCACGTTCAAAAACATTTAGGCAGAAAGAAACACAAATTTAGTAACAAACCTGCTAAACTCTTTCCAAAACCTCTGTGAATCGAACAGAATCGAAAAACAGATGCAATATATTTTGGCCGAGCAGTGTTGCCGTAGTATGATGATGTCCTCGGCAGGCGCAGGACTACGAGCAGATCCAGAAACTACAGCGCCAGAAAACTACAATCAGCATTGCATTCTCTCCATGGAATTAACTAAAGGACCATCAAAGTCTGAGGAGTCACGCCAAGGTCGCATGCTTTCTGCTCCACAGGCAACAACTTTTACCGTAATGTTTGTAGCAGCAGTCATGGTAATATGGTAAAAGTACCCTGAAATGTATATACTGCCCCCTAGTGCCAGGAAACTACACACAGCCACTTTAATTGTACTCAAATAACATAAAAGTTGTCAGATCATCCATGTTGTCTAACATCAGTATATCAACCTCTTCCCAGATGCGGACGAGCCTCCTCGCGGTGACGCTGGACAGGATGTGGTGATCCAGTTACCCACGGACTGGGCCGTCCTGGATGGGAGGGACAGCGTGGACGACCACGGGATCACACACTATGAATGGACTCTTGTAAAAGGGGACACAGCCATCAATATGAAGGTCGGAAACACAAAATGATGCTGAGAAAACTGAGATGATCTCTACTGGACTAAACTTTTTTGGTGTGTTTCTCTGAAGGCGACTCACCCGGGGCTGCTGAAGGTCAGTGGTCTCCAGGAGGGCGTCTACATCTTCCAGATGACCGTCACCGACACAGACGGACAGAAGAGCTCAGATAACGTCTCTGTCACCGTCCTGGCGCCAAAGCACCGCGCAGAAGGTGACACTGTTCTGCACTCATTTTAAAACCCATTTTTCCTCTCTGACCCTGATGAAACAGGTAGCTAGCTATGAGAGAAGATTTGCAGTCACACACTTCTTTGTCCACAGTGTGCACTGGGGACTGCTCCAACTACCAGTTTAAGTGTGATGACGGCTGCTGCATCGACATCTCCTATGCCTGTGATGGGAGGCAGCACTGTCCGGACCGCTCGGATGAGGACTTCTGCACAAACTGTAGGAATAATTCTTATGAGCTCATGAACTTGGCTAAGATTTTCCCAACTTGTCGTGTTTTATCTAGTTGATAGCAGCAGAAAGTCGGTGACGCACCCCGTGGACCTGCTCGGCCCCCAGAGGCCTGTCGCTCAGACGGAACCAGCCGATGATGCCGTCATGATCCCAACTGGATCCAGGAAAACTGTAGTATCAACAGTGGACAGGAGCAAACCTGCTTCTCCACAAAGCATCAGTGAAAAGGAGGCTTCTGTTAGCCAAGGCAGGTTTATTTACACCCATTTATGCTTGCATTAGCCGTTCTGTTTGGTAAACAAAGAGCAGCACCAAAATAAAAGCTCTGTTAAAATGTTTGCTTAGCAAAACGACCCGGTGTGAGTCATTACTGTGGTGGCTCTTGGATGCTAGCATGTGTCGGAGCAGATGACGCCTGTAGGCAGCCGCTGAGTCATGGCGCTGAGCACAAAATGCTGGCAAAGCCAAAGGGACATTCAGCGTTTTGCCTGGGAAAGCAGCTCTCCACTTGCATCCCCTCTCAGTGGCAGAACAAAGCTCCTCTGTCCCTTCTGCCATCTGATCTCTGAATTAGACGGAGACCGGCCAAAAGTTCTACTCACCTGCTGCTGCTTTAAGGATTATCTAACAGGAGCGCCTTTATTTAGTGCACAAGTGCAAAACGAATGAGATATATCACTTATAGATAAGATTCTAATTTAGGAAGCAGCTGCACAGAATTTACTTCCTGCAGCACAGCGGCCATTTTTAAATCTGGAGTGTGCACTAAAGTGTTGGTTCTGGTTCTGCAGATCCGTGTGCTGCAGCTCCCGTGGTCGGCCCGTGCAAAGGCACCTTCCCGCGGTGGTACTACGACCACAAGGCAGGAGAATGCAAACACTTCCTGTACGGCGGTTGCCAGGGTAACCATAACAACTTCCTCCAGGAGTCTGACTGTGTCAGTGAATGTATACAGAAAAGTAAGAACCTGTTGTGCGTTGTTTTCTTTTTTAATTATTATTATTATTATTACAACATGTTGATTTGAACTTTATTTACGTTTTTTAGGTCCCGCTTTCAGGCCAACAAGTGCATCTGCCCCAGTCACCAAGCAGGCTGCGACAGGTAAACACGCAGTCGCTCCACAGCTACAAAACATGCATGAAAAGCAGGTTTATTAGTAGTTTCACTTCATAATAAATAATAAATCAACTTTAAAGACGTAGCTGTTCCATCCTACATCAATGTTTGTGATTCACCAACTTTTAAATATTAAAGGATCTAAATAATCTAGTATGGTAGATGGCCTGTATTTGATATAGCGCCTTCTAGAGTCCTGGAACCCCTCAAGGCGCTTTACAACACAATCAGTCATTCGCCCATTCACACACTGGTGGGGATGAGCTACGATGTAGCCACAGCTGCCCTGGGGCGCACTGACAGAGGCGAGGCTGCCGAGCACTGGCGCCACCGGTCCCTCCGACCACCACCACCAGCAGGCAACGTGGGTTAAGTGTCTTGCCCAAGGACCTCGACTCCTGAAAGAGGTGTTTCCTTTAATTAGCAATAACGTGCTACGCATTATAAATTGTAGCTTGACATTGGCTGAAGTTCCTCGTGCCTTTAAACACGCTGTTCTACAACCAATCTTGAAAAAACCCGGCCTCGATCCCACCGATTACTCTAATCTACGACCAATTTCCAAATTACCGTTTTTATCTAAGGTCCTTGAGAAAGTAGTCTATGCACAGTTGGTGAACCATCTAAATGAATATCAGGTAATGGACACCTGTCAGTCTGGTTTTAGACAACAGCACAGCACTGAAACTGCTCACGTTCGGGTGTTTAATTACATTTTTCTGGCTTTAGATTCAGGTTTCCATGTGGTTCTGGTACTTTTGGATCTATCTGCAGCATTCGACACGATCGATCATGACATTTTGATCACAAGACTTCACACTTGGGCTGGCACTTCAGGCACTGCCCTGGATTGGTTTAGGTCATACTTTTGTAACAGGTCTGCTAGGATCACGTTGGACGGCTGTTCATCAGAGTCACAGCCTCTACGTTGGGGTGTCCCACAAGGTTCAATTCTCGGCCCGTTACTGTTCAACCTCTATATACTGCCCTTAGGAGCCATTTTCAGAAAGCACGCTGTCTCATACCATCTTTACGCTGACGACTGTCAAATCTACTTTTCATTTAAGCCAACTCAGTCAACGCAAGTTCTGTCTGATTGTATCCTCGAGGTCAAGCAATGGCTAGCTGACAACTTCCTCCATCTCAATGACTCCAAAACTGACTTAATCGTTTTCAGTCCTAACAGTATCACGGCAACTCAACAACCTGACCTCAACTATCTCTCACCTAATGTATCCTCTGTAATCTCCAACCTTGGAGTAAAAATGGACCAGGCTCTGAAGATGGATGCCCAGGTCAATAACACAGTTAAATCATGTTTTTACCAACTAAGACGCATCTTAAAACTAAAGCACATCCTGAGTGTACGTCTTCTGAAATCGGTGGTCCACACTTTTATTACCTCAAGGCTGGATTACTCCAACTCCTGCTTATATGGCATCAGTAAAGCAGCTCTTTCTAGACTTCAGCTGGTCCAGAATTCAGCAGCTAGGTTGCTGACTGGAGCTGACAGATGACAACACATTTCTCCAATTCTGAAATCTCTCCACTGGTTGCCCGTGCAGTTCAGGATAAACTTCAAAATTACACTTCTCACTTACAAATCCTTGAACCATCAAGCTCCTCCATATCTGTGTGAACTGGTCCATTACTACAACCCGCCGCGTGCTCTCAGGTCTGAAGATAAGCTCCTCCTAGCTGTTCCCAATGCACGTTTAAAAGGCCGTGGAGAGAGGGCTTTCTCTGTCTGTGCACCGAAGCTGTGGAACGCATTACCACTGCTAGTGAGGCAAGCACCAACAGCTAGCATTTTTAAATCACGCCTGAAAACTCACTACTTCAACCTAGCTTATACAACATAATTATGAACCTCACTGACATCTGCACTGTTTATAAACTGACTCCACAATTATCGACTTCCGTATTATTGAGGTTCTTTGTAAAATGTTTTTTTTTCCTATTTTTACTTCACCCTGTGTCTTAATGATTTTTAGCTGTTATTTTTGGGAATTTTGTTGTATTTCCTTTTTATCTTTTATCTGTGTTCGACATGTTTATATAACGCCTGTTTAATTAACCAACATTTTTAGTGTACAGCGCCTTGTTTGGTTGTAATGCCTTGTAAATGCGCTTTATAAATAAAATTGGATTGGATTGGAAGGACACAACGACAGCGACAGACTGAGCGGGGCTCGAAACTGCAACCTTCCGATTACGGGGCGAGCACTTAACTCCTGTGCCACTGTTGCCCCAAGTAATTTACAAATTTCTTCTGAAGATACAGAAACTTAAGCTTGTATTTTTCTAATTAGTAAAATCATTTGTCAGATTGTTTACAGAATATCTTATTTTATGGTCTTGCATAAGTCAGTAATGTGTGCTTGACCACTCCAGCATCTGTGCTTGGTATGTTTTTAAATTAAAAGCTGAATTAAAAGGAGTAATCTGATAGATCAGAGACTTTATTAACTCATTTGAATAACAGACAAGAAAGCAGCTAATAATGTTGTATTTGTTTTTGCTGAAGCTGCTCCTAAAGTCTCCCAAAGCCGACCAGAGGGCGAATCCCCCATCGTTAAGCCGTTTCTAGAGATGGGCGGACATCCAGGACCAGAGTCAGGTTAGACCTGTTTTCTCTGAGAGCTGAGGATTGTTTTGGTTTTGTTTTAGATGTCACCCTGCTCGCTTTCTTTGACCTCCAGGCGCGATTCTTCCTCTGGCTCTCGGCATTCTCATCACCGCCCTGCTGCTGCTCATGATCGGCTGTCGTCTGAGACTCGTCCGCCACAAACTAAAGAAAGCTCGGCCCCTCACCACAGAGGAATCGGATTACCTCATCAACGGCATGTACCTGTAGCCCGAGTGTGAGGAACAAACTGCTACATCTGATCCAGATGCATCAAACTTTGTCCTCATATTACAAGCTGCTTCCTTCAGAATCACTGAACCCTTTTTAAGTGTCTTTAAGAACATTTGTGAACCAACATTTTCTTGATTTTTGACTTATTTGTGACACACTGTAAAGAAAAATGCTTTCTGCTGCTGCGTGTCATGAGTTTGTCGTTTGCAGCATATTTTCCAGTATTGCAGTGCCTGTCAAACCAACAACCGCCATCATCTTTTCAGGTCAGAATCATAAAAGCCATAACATATCCTAATAGTTCATTTACATCCCAGTCTTACGGTTTCCTTTAAACAGCAAACACACGTGATATTTGCACATGTTTAAGCAGCAACGTCTTTCATGAGTTTATTTAAGAAAACTAAATAAAAGTGGAAAAAGTTGACAAGGGACTTACGATAATTGATGTGGTTTCTTCCCCTGCATCCTTTAGATGTTTTGACATCTGACTGGTGGCATTGTGCGTTACCATGGCAAAGTACAACCATCATTACTCAACAGGTCTTTTAACATTTTTGAAAATCGTACAAAATTTATTAGACCCAGTAGCGTCTATCCATCCATTTTCAACCACTTGTCCGGGGTCAAGTCGCAGGGGCAGAAGCCTAAGCAGAGAGGCCCAGACTTCCTTCTCCCCAGCCATTTGGGCCAGTCTCGTCCGGGCGAATCCTAAGACGCGTCCTGGGTCTTCCTGGTTGGACGTGCCAGGAGGCATTCCGACCAGAAGCCAAAGCCACCTCGACTGGCTCCTCTTGATGTGGAGGAGCAGCGAATCTACTCCAAACCCCTCCCGGATGAACAAGCTTCTCCCCCATCTCTAAGGGAGAGCCCAGCCACCCTGTGGAGAAAACTCATTTCGGCCGCTTGTATCTGCGATCTTGTTATTTTGGTCACTACCCAAAGCTCATGACCATAGGTGAGGGTAGGAATGTAGATCGACCGGTAAATCGAGAGCTTTGATTTCTGGCTCAGCTCTCTTCACCACGACAGACCGGTACAACGCCCGCATCACTGCAGACGCAGCACCAATCCTGTCGATCTCACGCTCCAGTTTTCCCTCACTCGTGAACAAGACCCAGAGAAACACCTCCACTTGGGGCAGGACCTCATCCCTAGCCCAGTACAGTGGCCTATCAAATTACTTAGCAGTTGGTTTAATAAGTAACTCAATTGTGACTGAGTTACTTAACTGGTCTAGTTACCTTGTTGCCAGAAGATCAAACCAGTATATTTAAAATAAATTTAATTGATTAGATCCTTCACACCCTGGATTTCAAACCTGTTCTCTTACTGCTTAAAGAGCAAGTCACCCCCAAATCAACTTATTTTTTCTGATAAACTATATAAATGCGTGTCTAATCGTGCTGCAGACATGTGTAGTCAATAGTTTTGTACTTTAGTGCATTCTAGTTACAATTTAAATTTTCTGTCTAAAACTCAGTGTTGTGCCGTTGTCAAGTAAAAACTCTGCCCTGCATTTGAATTTAAATCTGCCATCGCTATTGGCTAAGAGGTACCCTAGAACGTTAGCTGGTACCATATGATGTCACAATGTCATAGTGAGCCTGTGTGTGTGTGTATTTGTTAGCAGCTCCGCCCTCTCGGTCTGCTAGGCAACCGCATTTGTTGCATTTTTCAAACAGGAAGTGGGAGTGGAGTAATACTCTGGTAGGGGGTGACTTGCTCTTTAAGCCACTGAACCCAAACAGAAATGAGCTATCGTAACCTTGGTTCAAAAATAATCAGAAACTCATGAGATGCCCATTTACATTGATTTTCTGTTCATTTTAACTATTGGCAACGAGTTATCTTTTAAATGAAAATCAGGAACTTTTCAATAAGCTCGAATTTGTTGGATTGCTTAGTGTCATTTACCGCCGTGTTGCGCGTCTCAGCTCAATCTGAGCTCTGAAATTGGAGTTTGCTTGAATTTTGTTACATTTTAATAATCAAAACATTTCTGTTGAACATACAGAATAAGTGAAATATTTAACTGAAATCATCCATTACTAGTTTGGGCTATAAGATGCATTGTTAAACATTTTTTCACACATCAGAAAAATATCTAGAGGTTAAATCCAATTCATAATTTGGTAAATTTGCCAATTAACTCTTAATTTTCATCCCATCCCAGATATAAAATCTCATTTGGATCACACAAGATAAAATGTTCTTTATCTTCTCCAAGAAAACAGACATTCATCTGCTTGATATTGTTTTATTTTGGCAAAGCGACCATCCCAGTTAGCGTCAGTCACCCGCCGAGCCTGCAAAGTAGTAAACGGAAACCAGCGCCAGGTGGAAAGCACAGCCCTGAATGTGCATGCTTGTTGGCGGGATAAGAGCTCTGCTGTCTGCAGAGGATGTTCGGTGGGCCGTGTTTTTAACGTGTGACCTAAAACGCAACACATCAAACGTGTTGAGTGGGTTACTTCAGCCGCTGTGTAGCTGTATGATTCTAATACTGCTGGCAGGGAGAGAAAGCTCATATTTTATCATCTACAGTTACATGACACACACACACACACACAGAGTAGCAAGGTGAATTATCTAAAAGGCTCGAGCCTTCTTCGTTGCCATCCTGCGTTCCTCCTACATTCAGCTTTGTTCCTGCTGAAAGGTAACTCCGCAAATCTGACTGTAATTCAAACGGTGAATCCTCAAAAAAAAAAAAAAAAAACTGCTGTTCAAAAGAACGTAGAACCGAGAACGTGTAGGCCTGCAAAACAAAAACACAAAAAAGCCCATCTTGAATATTTCTTCGCCGAGCTTTGAGCAGCCTTCCCTTGCCGCCCAGTGGGCCGTCATCGGCGTGATTCTCAAGTCCCTCGCTTTGACTTAAACCAAAAACCAAAAAACCCAGCATGTTTTGTAATGCTTTAAATGAAATGGCAAGGCCTGTATGACCCCGCCCCCATCCAGGTCTCTTCCAGGTTCAAACGTAAAGGTGGCTTATGGTGCGTCTTCTTCAGAGTTCATCCCTGTGGAAAACAGATGAGTGTCAGAAGAGCAGCGAGCGAAACGACGTTCCGGCTGTGAAAACAGTGAGAAAATTTAGATACAAGTCAAAGAGTAGCCGGCTTGTGTCCGGATCTCACATAGACTAAATAACTAGTTCAACAGTTGGGTTTTATACTCGCACAGCAAAGCATCAAATCCCACGACATGCCTTTAAAAACCGAGTGCTGTTTCATGAAACTATACTAGTACAGCAGTTTGTATAGCAACATTTTGTAAGTAGGTGTGAAAACGACAGAAAGAAACGTGCAGCTGGTTGGTATGGTATGGAACAAGCAAAAAATAAAGAAAACATGTCAACAAGCAGCAAAAACGCAGCCGTTTCAGCTCCTTTGCCTGCTCCAAGCCACACCATTTCACCTTTGCCACTGTGAGAAGGAGAGAGGGGGAGGAGAGGGAGAAGGAAGTCACTTCCACCTGGACCACTGCTTGTCTTTGTCTGTTAAAGGCACATAAATCACCCCCATCAAGGGCTTCATCTTGGTACTGCCATCCTCCATCTTGTCATACTGCTCCAGCATCTGGTTTCCTCCCGCAGGACCGACGGGGAGAATCAGACGGCCGCCGGGCTTCAGCTGGTCCAAAAGCTGGAGAAGAACCAAGCGAAGCGAGTTATAAACAGGAAGTTATGCCCTTTTTTGGTTAAAACTAAACGTTAATAGAAATGCTATTAAGTATTTAGTCTGCAGAAATTGTCTTGAAATGTTTTATATTCCCCTTAGTGAGCAACTTTGTACCTGTAAACAAACCGATTTCTAGACATTTTTTGTGTTTGCTAGCACTGATTAGCTGTGGTGGCCATCTTGGATTTAGTTAATTTTCTAACACGTCACACCTTCCCCTAAGGCTGGGTAGCTTCAGGTTTTAATGATATCTGGTTTTCAGTACCTAGATTGTTAAATCTAGTTAAAAGAGAAAATTACTTAAATGTTTTCTTGGTTAATAAAGTAAACAAAAACACATCTATCCATTTTCATCCGCCTATCTGGGGTCGGGTTGTGGGGGCAGCAGCCTAGGAAGAGGCCCAGACTTGCCTCTCCCCAGCTACTTGGGCCAGCTCCTCCAGGGGCATCGTAAGGTGTTTCCTGGCCAGCTGAGAGACAAAGTCCCTCCAGCGTGGGCAATCAGTTGGTAGTGGGTGTGTTGGAGAGTGGGTCTAAAACAGTCAGATTACCCAGATGTGAAAGCTCTAATAGTTCCTCCAGCATGTCCTGGTCTCCCCGTAGGTCTCCTCCCAGTTGGACGTGCCTGGTAAACCTCACCAGGGAGGCGTCCAGGAGGCATCCTAACTAGAGGCTCGAGTAACCTCAACTGGCTCCTCTCAATGTGGAGGAGCAGCGGATCTACTCCGAGCCCCTCCCAGACGACCGAGCTTATCGCCACCCTGCAGAGAAAACTCACTGTGGCCGCTTGTATCCGCGATCTCGTTCTTTCTGTCACTACCCAAACGTTAGGGCTGCTCAATTAATCGAATTTTAATCACGATTACGATCTGCGTTTTGAACGATTATAAAAAACAAAACAAGCCGATTATTTGCTCCTCCCGCTTGCGCTGCCCTGAGTAGCAAATGAAGCGCTCCTTACAGTGTTGCCAACTTGGCGACTTTGATGCTATTTCTAGCAGCTTCTCAGACCCCTTCTTGACTTTTTAAATCTTAAAAGTACCAGAAACATCTCTGGTAACCCTTAGCTATTTTCTGGATAACTGTCGTCGACATTTCCTGCAGGTTAGCTAAACACTCCGCCTGCGCTCCGGACCGTTCTTCAGGACATTAGGAAAGGGAATGATGTAGTGATGTGTCGGTCGCTAAAGAAACAGCTCTCGGAGCTGGCTCCCTGTTGGAGTAACCAGAGTGAGTGACACACACACCGCACCTGCAGACTCCTGAGCCGCTAAAAACGGCTAAATGTGCGCGTGCTGAACACACGTGCAGCTTGCCCCGTTTGCTGTGAGAGCAGGTTGGGGGGTGGGGGGTGCAGCTGTGGTTGGGACAATTATTACATCAACTGATGGACTTGTAAATAAATAGTTTATAAATAAGGTAGAAATAAGTTCCTCACGCTGATAACTAATAACTAATCTCTCTGAGGACACGGTGCTAGTGCACTCTCCTACAGCACCTTGACACGACTCAATAAATGTTATGCAACATTTTGTGAACATCAATTTATTTGCATTTATTTGTTATAAATGCCACTGTATCATTTTTGCTGTCAGTATTTGCAAGATATTGGTATTTGGATCTGTACTGGTTAGACATAAATGAGTTAAACCAAGGTCTATAGCCCTTGGGTCATAGACTATGGGCTAAAAGTATATCGGTCTTTTTATACTGGAATCAGGAGTTATTTTAGTGATCATCTTGTTTCTTATTTATTTTTGTCCTGATTGTGCCCTGAGCAATTTTATGACTGAATAAAAACAAATAAAATCAACATAAATAGAAAAATCGTCCTAAATAATCGTGATCTCAATTTCAGTCACCATAATCGTGATTATTATTTTTGCCATAATCGAGCAGCCCTACCAAACGTCGTGACCATAGGTGAGGGTAGGAACGTAGACTGACTAGTAAATCGAGAGCTTTGCCTTCCGGCTCGGCTCTCTCTTCACCACAACAGATCGGTACAACGCTCACATCACTGCAGATGCAGCACCAATCCGCCTATCGATCTCACGCTCCATCGTTCCCTCACATGGGAACAAGACCCTAATCAACTTTTTTTGGTGATAAACTGTACAAATGAGTCTAACCGTGCTGTACACACGTGTAGTCAATAATCTGGCACTTCAGTGCATCTTAGTTAAAATTTAAATATTCTGCCTAAGACTGTCAGTGTTGCGCCCTCTTCAGGTAAAAACTCTGCACTGCATTTGAATTTAAATCTGCCACCGCTAGTGGCTAAGAGGTACCCTATGACATTAGCTTGTGCATTAAGATGTCACAATGTCGTGAATCTGTGTGTGTATTTGTTAGCGGTTCCTCCCTCTCGGTCTCCCAGGCAACAGCATTTGCTGCATTTTTCAAACAGGAACTGAGAGTTGAGTAAGATTCTGGTAGGGGGTGACTTGCTCTTTCAACTCCTCCACTTGGGGCAGAACCTCATCCCTGACCCGGAGAAGGCATTCTACCCTTTCCGACTCGACCATGGTCTCAGATTTAGAGGAGCTGATTCTCAACCCAGCTGCTTCACACTCGGCTGTGAACCGCTCCAATGAGAGCCGGAGATCATGCAGAGATCTGAACCTCAGGCCACCAAAACGGACCCCCCCCACCCTCCACCCCCACCCCCCAACACCTCGGCTGTGCCTAGAAATCCTGTCCACAAAAGTTATGAACAGAATCGGTGACAAAGGTCAAAAGAGCCCGACTTCCTGCTGACAATATGGACCAAGCTCTGGCGCTGGTCATACAGAGACCTGACAGCCTGCATCAGAGTGCCTGGTACAAAAACACAGCTAACAGTAAACTAGTTTAGTAACCATCACACTTTTTAGAGCATGAACAAATTATAAATATTTGTATAAAATATAGAGAATGTAGAATTTAGTTTAGTGCAAAACAAAAGTGCACTAATATTATCCATTAGATGCAAAAAATATGAAACATCTACTCTAAAATACTGAAAGAAAAAATGTTTAGATCCCAGATCTTATAGGTTTTAGACGCTTTCTGCATCAACCTCAACTATAACTGATCTTACAACACAATAATAACAAAACAACAATAATTATGTCAATGCTTCGGGTAAACCTCCAGCGTCATGATTCCAACAGAACCTAAAATATTCCGAATGACTCACAGCTTGGGGGACGTTGGAAGCTGCTGCACCAACATGGATGGCGTCATACGGCGCCTCCTCTGGGTGTCCCATTCGCCCGTCTCCCACTGAAAACACACCGCAGGGTATCAGTTCCAGGCTGCCAGCCTCGACACAACACGGACAGATTCGTCACTCGTCCAAAAATCTGCTGCCGCTGCTGTTCCTAGAGCTGGCGACTTTTCACCAATTTAAGCAGAGAAATCTAAATAACCCATTTCTTTTATTAGCTACTATCTAGAATCTTCTGTGCAGATTATTGCTGCAAAACAAGGTTCCCCCGTTACCTACTTTGCGGTGCACACGAGGGAATGTAAATGTGTTGTGATGTCATATAGAAGTCACTTCTGATTCGTCGCAGCCCTACAGAGGAACACGAGTGTCTGCCTGCGTTGGTGAATGACCTGGCTGTAAGAGCGCTTCAAGCCTCCTGCTGAGAAGGTGAAAGTAGGAACTCGCTGCTCTGCTCAATTATTTAGCGCTGCAGACGGCCTATCGGGCAAACGGGAGATTTTCCACCGGTAAGGAGCAACGCACGCTCTTCAGCAGGTTCAAAAAGTCCAAATTAAACTCTAATCCTGAATCCATCTTACCTATTAGCTTGACTCGGCCTGACGTTATCAAGCTGGGGTCATCTTTCTTCACATTGTTTATAGAATCGTCTACCAGCTCTTTGATGTGATCGATTCCTACAACTTTTCCTTTAGGACCTACCTAGAAAAGGAAAGAAAAGCCCAGAAGACGACAGTGTTAAGCTCAAAACGTCAATTCGAACCGTCGTGATTCTTAAATCCTCTACAGCGATTGGTTCAGCGAACACATCACAGCGCTGCCAAGGAGAACTCGTATGTGTTTACCCGTCATGTGTGTGGGCTCACCATTCGTGCAAAGCAAACAGACAGGATCCCGCTGCCGGAGCCGACGTCCAGAGCTTTGGCGCCCTCGCACAGCTGATCATGTAGGAGCTCCAGTGCATAGGCGTGCTGGGTGAGGGGTGGGGGGCAAGCACAAATGAAGTCTCGGTAATTTAACTAAAACAGAAGATTGAGAGTGCAGAAACAGCCTACCATGTGCGGTGCGCTGATGGTTGCTTGATAGCCTGTTGATAAAAGAAGGAAGGATTAGTTTATCCTCTGATGTCCGACTGCCACGCGTCGATGATCCGTGAACACACCTACCTATAGACTGTGGCGAGTCCATGTATGCGTTACACCTCGAGTAGTGCGCTCGGTCTGTGGCCAGCATGACTTCAAACACCTTGTCGGACTTAATAATGCCATTTTCTGAGGATGCAAAAGAGTTTGTGTCACGGCGTGTTCTGGAAACGCGAGCAGAGAGACGTTACATAATCCTGCAGCCGAAGGGCAGAAGGGTTGATGCAGAAAAGAAACAAACCACCACAATTACTGCTGCTGCTGCTTAGAGGGCGCTGCAACACGTTCAACACTGCGAATTATCACCAACTCAATAAGAACGACTGCATAGCGCCAAACTGGATGTGTTGTTGTGCACACGTTTTCCCCCATTAAAAAAAAACACCCGATTTGTGTTGCATTATATAAATGAATACATAATGTGGGAGAAAGCTCTAACCACAACACCTACAGCAAAAACCCCTGGTGGCTAACGACAGTCAGGTGAATCTAAAACAGAATAAAACATTTATAAAAGTAATAATTTAGATACTGAAAAAATGCAAAAATTGAACACATTTTCACTAAAATACAATAAGATATCATTGCTTTATTCTTGAAAATTGAGGGGGAAAAACTATGAAAAGTCATACATTTGCATATTACAGCACCCCCAACTAGAAACCAAGACCATTTCTTGTGGACATGTCAGATAAACTATAAACAGCAGCTAAAAAACAGGCTGCACCGACCACACAAAGTTAATAATCCGTGTTTGGAGCTGAAAAGAAGCCGAAAGGATGCAAAAACTGTTGATTAATTCAAATTTGAATCCATCCTCAATCACTGCAGCACCTTGTGCCAAAAACAGAAAAAGCCAACAGCAGGCGGTTCTCATTCCTCGCTCCCCTCACCCACGGAGCAACGCGCAGCTTTAGGACACACTCCAAATAAAACTGCCAAATAGACACCCACCACTGATTTCTGACATTTAAATGATCAATAAACCATTTGAGCTGCTTCCTTCCTGTCGTTTTCTTTCATATTTACAAATAAAAAAATAACACGAATTTATTTGCTGGCTGTCCACCATGATTTTATTTATGTTAAAATTTGGAGGCAGCCCAGTGAAACAGGTGAGGCTTTGGAGACAGTCCAAACTGCCTTTATTTACCAGGAAAGTAAGTTAGCGGTGAATTAGCATGCGTTCTGCATGTGACCTCTTTAAAAGCATCTTATGCAAACTCTGGGTTAAATGTCTATACAGGTCAGACCACAAGAGGCAAAAAAGAGAAAAGAAAAACTGATTACTACGAATCAAACCTTTTATTTGTTTATTTTTATGCTTCTGCTTTTGTAAGATTAACCAATTTGATTTAAAAATTATCAAAGTAATGACTTTCTTTTAAAGGCTTTCAATTTAATAAATGTTATTTTTGCACAGCTTTGCAAACTTGTGAGCTGCTAAAAATGTAAACTCTGTATAACTTACGTTAATTTCCCTATAAATGAAAATATAACACAGTGAATAACAACGCAGCTTTTGGCAAACTTGCAGCTTGCAATAACATCCCAGACTGCACACAATACAAACAGACCTGGTAGATACTTAAGAGTGAGAATTAATTTGCAGTATCGCGCTTGCAGATATCCCATCTTCATTTGCTAAATGCACTAGAAAAAGAGTCTAAAGATATTTTTACAGTAGTCATCATTGACTGACTGCAGAGGAAGCCATGATGTTGATTATAGTGGACTCTGGACCACGTAACAGCTAAGTCATCCATCTTTTACTGATGTACAGTATTTTGCAAAGGCAACAGAAGGTGTTAGGACATTTTTTTCTTTTATTTGATCACAAAAACACCATAAAGACAATTGTCAGGGGTTCCTCTTGCACTAGTTGTGTCCAATCCTGGTCTTCCTGGAACAATAACCAGGATGCTTTTGCTATTGTAATGATTTTCAGTGGTTATATTACCTATTAGACATGTCATCAAGGTCCAGAGAAACCTGTTAATCAGGTGTGTTGAAACAGAAATGTCTAAAATGTGCTGGATTGTTGTCCTGGAGAACCAGGAAATGACACTGTATGTCTTTTAGCATACTTGGGATCCACCGATACCACTTTTGTCCAAACCGATACGATACTGATACTTGGATCTGAGTACTCGCCGATACTTCTACCACACAAATAATGCAATGAATTGGAATACAGGTTTTATTTTCTTCTCTGCTTTCAACAGGAAAAGATTGTGAGGTAGATAAAAAATAAAATATATTCATAGAAATGATCACAAAACTGAAATATTAGGTGAACAGAAATGACAAGTTATGGTGAAGCCACTTTCAGGCAACTGCATTGGTATCGGTTCCTGGTTTCGGTTGACTTTTACATCCCTACTTCTATGCCAGCATTACAGTTTTCTTTACTTCATAGTTTGTCTTTTTGACAGGCTGGTTACATGAATAAACTTTTATTAATTTAGAATATAAAAAAACAAGATCTGAACTGGTAACTAGATATAAACTGGAAAAATAGGTCGTGTCTATAAGCCCAGAAAGCCAAGCTGACGCTAGGCACACCCTCCTACAAAATTCTCAAAATTACTCTGACTTTTTTGTTTGATAATTTAAAACACATTTTGCAGGTTGTAATGTGTGCAAACAATAAAGAAACTGTTTTGATTTCTGCAGATCGACTAAGGTTGATCGATTTCTTATTAAAATATTGTGAAAGGATATTAAATGTCCATGGAAAGACATCAGCTAAAATATATGCACAGAAATTTGAAAATGTTCAACAATCAGGCTTCTTAAATGGAAATGAGTCGTGGGCTTTGGCACAGAGCTATGTAGCTAACAGCTGCAGTGATACAGCAACTTGTCATTATTTAAATGTATCCGAGTATTAAAGCTCAGCAGAAACTATCCGGACATGTACAGCTGTTACTGTCATTCATACTGAAGTCCAGTAGAAGACACAGACATCAATGACAGTGGGCAGTAGCATAAAATCTCAAATGACGCACATACTGCTAACATGCTAAGCTAACTTCCCACAGGACACCACTCTTCTGCGATTTACAACAAAACGGAAATGTCATTTCTGCTGGGTTTTTCCCCCCTGCTGTGACAAAAGCGTTGCCTTGTCCCACACATGGTCCCACAGCGAAAAACGTGGTTTAGGAAAAGGGGTGGAGAGGCGGGAGGAGACGCTGGGTCACCATAAACATAGCTTGCTAGTAGCTACCGCTCCTAAGCTAACCCCAGCCTCCAAACTACAACGTTTTCTGGCGACGCGGCGGTGAAGTTCATCGCTGCTGCCGCTTTAAACCTGCAACCGGACTCACTGCGAAGGTTGTTGACAAGCTCTGCGTGGCTGGCTCCTCCAGATTTCCAGGCCATTATTAAGCAGACTTTACGGAGTAAGTAGACAGCAGCTGTAAGTGCCGCGCCTGCGCCAATAGTTTTACCAAAGAAGCTGACAACCTCCAGAGCAGACGGCGTAGCGGCGGATACGTCACTAGACATCCAAATGATTTTACAGAGCAGAGCCGCCTCTCAGATGCACGACCAAGCAGAAAAATATGTCATTTTAGAATATAATTAATCTTTTCATGATGCATCAAAGTCAGCGTCAGACGAAAGGGAATAAAAGCCACGTTCCTCAGCCATGCAGTGCTTTATCAGGTTTTTGCCGCAGTAACAACGGAGACGACCGCTAGGTGGCGGAATGTACAAATTCACATTTCTTGCGAGAAACGCAGATCAGATTGTTTGATCCTGTTGAGCCACCGTACTTACGTTTAAAGCTAGTGGGCGCGTACATAGAGCTAAGCTAACATCAATAAGAATATTTTTCGTATTTAGGCAGCAGAAACGTTGGTTGTTCTCATGGAGAGTGCTAAGTACGTGTCCCAAAAAGTCAGCAAGGCCAGATGGCGTCCTGTGTCGTCTTCGTTTTTACAACAACCAGAAATCTTTGCGACGGGATCGTGGGACAACGAGGTTGGCTAGTTGAATATTTTTGGTGAACCAAATTTACCCAGTTTTTCAAATGTTCTGTGTTTCTCCTGATTATGCACACTTACACGTTGTAACTGTCAAAAAGGATTTAACACTTGTTACACATAGTTTGCTTTTTTGTGTGTCTGTCAGGTTCGTTTTGGTCTTTTTTTTTGCAAGGATGTGGCCTTTATTAAAAAAAAATTATTTCTGTAGGAAAACAAGATATCTATTTGGTCCGTGGGTAATTACGAAAATTCGGGCCTGGAAGATGGATTTGAAGGAGATCCGCAGCTTATTTGTGAAAACAAGCACGATGGAGATGTTCTTGGCCTCCAGGTAAGACGCTGTAACAATAATGTCATAACATACTAATAATGCAATTATTCATCACCATCAACTTTATTTATAAAGCACTTTACATCGACCAGAAGACAGACCAAAGTGCTGTACGCACTTTAAAGAAATTAAAACAACAATGAACCCTGCAGAGATGCACATAAAAACAAATAAAGTACATTTTCTGCGCATTTCAGAATTTTGCTAATACAGAAGGCAAATCTGTTGTTCTATGCATCAATAATTTTGTTTCTTTGTAGGTCTGCAGGATTTCTCAGTGCACAGCCTTGTTATAGTCAGCAGGAGGATTTGCAACACAGACTCATTTGTTTTGCAGCCATTCTGTTGAAATTTTGACACGTGCGTGGGACATTGTTTTGCATGACTCAGTTTTAGTCGAGCTTCAGCTGTCCCAATTCCTCCAAATTAGACTTGATTATACTACTTGATTATAGTTCCTGGATCAAGAGAGAATCGTCACGGCCTCATCAACGGGAGCAGTCACCATCTTCCGCCACCATCACAACAGTCAGGTGCAGTAGAGCTTTCATAAAAGATGTCAACTCCTGTATGAAGGTTGTGTTGCTGCCTTTGCTGTTTATTTATAAAATCATTTTTTCTTCTTACCTCAGACAATCTCAGTTTCCCAGCAGTGGGTGAAAGCGCACCATTACCCCTGTGACAATGCTCCCTGCACTGCAGTTGTGTGCAGCAGCCCTGAGATCATCACAGTTGGGGAGGACGGCAGGATTATTGTCCTCAGAGCCGACCAGGATTGTATGGCTCAAGTCATAGGTGAGATTAAACCACCCCATTCAGAACTCTGTACACTTTAACTCGGTGTCAAGTCAACATGCTTTTGCGGGTACATTTGGTAGAGAATGCTGACAGCAGCACGATTCATGCTGTGACTTACCTGAGGACGACGGAGATTTTGACTGTGAACTCCATCGGACAAATAAAGCTATGGGATCTAAGACAACAGAGCAACTCGGCATCACAGATTCTGTCCTTGTAAGATCCGCTTTAGCACGTTTTCCCCATTTTTAATTCTACTATTTTGCTGATGTATGTGGATTTTAATTTTCCTCCAATCAGGTCAGGAGACAGAGTTCCTTTGTACTGCATTGACAGACATCCAAACCAGCAGCACATTGTAGCCACAGGAGGCCAGGATGGAATGCTCTGTATGTGGGATGTGAGGCAAGGCAGCATGCCCTCATCCCTCATGGAGGCCCACTCAGCTGAAAGTAAGATGTACATTTTTAATTATTTAATGGACATATAATTTACACACATATTTAAATATTTTTCACTTTTTTAATTCTTTTTGTCTAACTTTCCTGGCAGTGTGGGAGGTCCACTTCCACCCTACCAACCCAGATCACCTGTTCACGTGTTCAGAGGATGGATCGCTGCTGCACTGGGAGACGTCCTCCCACTCAGACATGCCCTCCTTTCTACAAGGCAAGTCCTATTCATCATAATAATCATTATTATTATTATTATTGGTATTCAGTTTAAAAGGCTGCCTATGTACTTCTTCTATTTTCTTAATTATAAAGATGCTATGGAAACACAAAAGCCATAATCAAGAAAATATCCAGTTGAATGTTTTACTGAAAGTTTACATTATTTAGGGTTAAATAAACAAAGAATTTCCTGATAATGTCCAACACCAGGTCAGTCTATTAAACATTGTCATGTTGTACTATTTGTCGTAATTTCACTGTAAAAAGTGTTATTGTTGTGTTTCCAGGTAGCAGAAACAGCAGCGTGACCTCTCGCAGTGCGATGGCCCTTGCTGGAGGAAACCAGTCCCTCATCAGTGCCTGGCTCAACGGAGACTCCAGTAAAAGCCGCCTGGAGACGACCCACATGCTGCCCAGCCAGACGCTGTCTGTCAACAGCTTGGATGTGCTTGGACAGTGCTTAGTTTGTGGAACTGATGGAGAGGCTATTTTTACCAACAAACAGGTCCCAGTTTAAAAGATCTGGAGGTGACTAATAAATACATGAATGCAAATTTTAATTTGATGTTTTGTGACACATTGGAAGACTTTTTTTTTGTTACACAAAAAGCCAATATACCTACGCAATGAAAGACCTCTGTGTCTGATGCAATGCTTCATTCTTTGCAGTGACAGAATATGGATTAGTGTTTTTGTATGTCATTCTGTACACAATTGTTCAGATTAATAATGTTTTGTACAGATTACTTAAAAAACAATAAATAAATAAAATGTAACTTTCTCAAATTGTCTCAGGATGTTACGTTTTTTATACTGACAAATCAAGTAAAATTGTAAATCAAACCTACCAACATAAAAATGTCAAAGTCAGCCTTGTGAGCTCTTATGTTGCTCTGTAAATTTACAAATAGATGTTATGTGCTCACCCAAAGGGAAATTGATTTATTTTTATACATATTAATGCTCTTATTTTTTTATTTCTAAGATTTGTGCTGTGAAATGTGTTTGGACTTCATTAACAGGTTAGCAAAAAAAACTTATAAAAAAAAGCATTAAAATTTTCTTCATTAGTTTTATTAGTGTTATTTTGTTCTAAACTTAGCAAAAAAGTAATTTCTCCACTGACTTTTATTGTGAAAGTCCAGCGTCTGATGGTGCGTCGTTAGCTTAGCTGTTGTACTTGTCATTCAGATATCCCAGGAATTCAACAAGACTAGGAACCAGTCGGCGCGGAACAACAAGGGCATTTTAACTTCAAATCGCGTCCTCGACGCCGAGGAGGGTCAGCAAACCACTACTGTCCGTTAATAATAGGAAAAGCGACAGCGGCGGACTTTGGTGAGTTGTTGTTATCGGAGCTAGCAGGCTAATGCGCAACCTGTTGTTGAATAGCATCAAATGGATTCCTATTACACACAGGCCGCTTGAAAACTGCTGTGTTGTTTGATTTTAATCCTTTTTAAAACTCTTAAACTCAGTATTCGCCCACTCTTTTGACTATCCTTATAAACGTTTAATTGTGACAAAAATCCGTACCCAACGCCGGAGAATTTACGTAAAATTAGCGTTATGTTAGCATAGAGTGCTAAGGAGGCTATACACACGGAATGGGGTCTTTTAATGAAGTCAGTTCCAATCGAGACATTTTTTACCTTAAAATTTACGTACGCCGAATTTCACTCAAAAGTAAACGATAAACAATCATAACTATTTTTTTTATCAACACATGACTTCCAAGCGTGACAGAAACAGGTTATTTATTTACAAAAGGATTGAGAGGCATGAAAAAGTATCTTATCTGTTTTGAGTATTTCCAGATCATTAATTATTGAGAACAAAATATAGAAAACGTGTGTGTTCCTAGACTTTATTTTCTGGAAGGTTTTAATTTGATTAAAAACGAATTGTATTGTAAAACTTTTCTAAATGATCACTTTCCACATGTTTCCCTCACTGTTTTCAACTTATCACAAGTTCACCCAAACATTTTCAGAGCTCTATGTTGATCTAAGTGGAAATAGCTTTAAATATACACCTGATCTTTAATCAAATTAGACTTTTTCATTAGGAATACAAGCTTATTAAAAACAGATAACTAGTTTTATTTAGGGGAAATTCCCAGAAATCCTTGTTGTTGTTTTGCACAGTCAGTGGTGATTGTTATTTATAGTATACAGACCTTGTTACTGTAAATTTACAGTAAATGTTCATATCTTTACATTTTAAAAATGGCAGAAATATCTTAACATTTGAGCTCAAGAATGAAAGTAGATCTGAAATGTAAAATATGTAGGAACGTTCTGGTAAAGAGATAAGTTGGGCTCTGTTAATTACTTCTCTCAATCTCATTTTGCTGAACCTGTTTGGTAACATTATGTGTACTCTGGTTGCTTGTTTATCTCACTTTCAACTGGCATCAAATATTTTCCGCTGCAGCACATAGATGTGAGGTCAGACATCGGGAAAACGTCCGCTATTGTCGCCACCCTGGATTGGTGATATCCTCTCCATCCCTTTTATCATCGTCATCATCATACATGCTCGTACATGAGGAGGGGGGAGAAACCCGAAGGATACAGACAGATGAGGCCCAAAATATTACCGGTCGGCAACTGCAGCGGCAACAGCCAGCAAATGCTGATGGAAATCCGAAAAAGTCTGCGCGACATGTCCAAACCTTCTGATTCTTCTAAAGTGGACAACGGCGGACACGGAAAGATGGCTCCTGAAGATCCAAGGCGCTCCAGCAATCCCAAGCACCATAAGGCATTACAGGAGATTCGCAAGTCCCTGGTGCCCTACGAGGTGAATGGTTCATCAAGCACTTCAGACATTAACAAACCGATGTGTCTGGAGCAACCATGCGCCGGGTTTGAGGAGGTAAGCGGAGTTATTAAGAGTTTATCCCTTTTGCCCTCATAAATACATTCTTAATGAGGAATTGTGACAGGTTCTCATTCTGTTCGTGCCTTTGTAATAGAAGATAATCACCTGCTGCACTGTGTTTAGAGGGCAGTTATTTGGGAAATGCTAGGTATGCAATGTGAAATAACAAGCGTCTGGTTTGCGTGAGTACATGATGAAAAGTATCATGGTAGGCAGCGCAGGTGCGCGGGTTCAACCGTGTTCAGAGGGTGAAAAGCAACAGTCTTGGGAAAATTAGATTGTTTTATTCTTTTAAATTATAAACATCTTTTGTTAATTTTCTAATCATTTTTATTGTAGATTAGAAATTATAAGTCATTGCATGAAGAAGGAATTTTTTAATGGATCTACTTTGGCCTCCGTAGCGTCGCGGTGCGACCAACTACCAGGACCAGATGAGGGAGCCGGTCATGGCTGCTAACACCAGCTCTTCAGGCCTGAAAGCTCCAGGTAACAGTCCTCTGGGATCCGTGTTAGTTTTCCTTCTTTCTTCTACATGACCTTTGGACTCAGCCCTCATATTGTTTGCAGGGATCAGGATGGTGACAGTACCTGCTTCCAAACATGAGTCACTGTACAGCTTCATAACAGAACAGAACGGAGGGTTTTGGTGCTTATTCATGCTCTCGCTGGTATTATATACGTAGAGGGAACACAGATGCATCTGTAGTATCGGTTGTAATTTCCACTGTTATGTGATACTGATAATATAAGTAATTGTGTAAAAAGATTCTTAGTCGCTCGGAAGTGCCTACACGACACTTATGACAGCTTCTTTACATGGCCAGGCCGCGAGGGGCGTCATGAGCATCTCTTCTGAGACGATTTGTAGAAAACTTTTTTTTTCTATATTTTTATGTATTTTCCTTTTGCCGCCTACAGTCACAGCCCAGTGAAATCCTAGTTTAAGTTGTCTTTGTTCTTCACTTAAATCTGACAAGATCTTTACTGTCGTGTAGGATCTTCTCACATGCAGCAGGTGGTGCTCAGGAGGCCTAGCTGGAAAGGCTCTAAGGAGGCCCTCGCTCCCCGCCTCGGTCCTCACATGGCAGATGGGATGGTGTACCGCCCCGACAGCCCCGGGTCACCTCCTGTCTACCCACCACTCCGCGGTGTCGCGGCTTCTAATTCTCCCTGGGACAACAACCCATCAACCAAGCGCTGGTCTGGGAATGTGGAGTACTTTGTTCCACGAATCTCTCCAGTTCCCCAAGGAGCTCGGCCTGATGGGTACCCAAATCCACCTCCTCAGAATCAACGCGGGGCCAACCCAGGGCCCGTAGTTCACCAGCCTATCATAATGCAAAGTTCAGGGAATAAATTCACTTCTCCTTCCACTCGGACTCAGAATGGCTCCGCTCAACAGGACTACATACCAGGGAGCAGTAGACAACCCCCTCCTCCATACCCAGTCAACCAGAGCAGCCGACACAGTCCCACCGAGCAGCCGGCATCCTCTCCTTCGTACGTCAACGGTGGAAACATCCCTCCTCCCATGCTGGTGTCTAACTGGAGCAACAGCAACCAGGACCTGTCCCCGTCATGGCAGCAGAACGTGCCAGTCCGCTCAAACTCATTTAACAACCACCAGCTCAACGGCAGACCTGCTCATCAAGCCAGCTCCCAGCCCTCTGCCACTACGGTCACGGCCATCACTCAGGCTCCCATCCTGCAGCCGGTGTCGAGCACGCAAGTCCAGAAACCAGAGCTACACACTGCCGTCGCTCCCACACATCCTCCATGGAAGCAGCACCTTTCAGCATCTCCAGCTGTGCCTGCTTACCCAGAACCTTCACCTCAGGTCCCTCAGATCCCCACAGCACTAGAGGCGCCAAACTATATAGGCCCTCCTCCGCCGTACCCTAAACACCTCCTACAGCAGCCGGCTGCACCCTCGCCCCCTGCGTACGACGCTGCAGCCAATAAGCTTGTTGCGGGTAGAGAGGAGAGTCCTGAGGAGGAGAGGAGCTGCAGCAGCGGCAGCAGTGGAGACGCCTCCAGGGAGAAGGTGTCAGAAAGTCTTGAAAGCACCACGGCAGCGGAGAAGGAGAGGAAACAAATCACAACATCACCTGTTCCTGTTCGCCGTAACAACAAGAAAGATGAGGAGCGCAGAGGGGAGTCTGGGAGAGTCAATCTGTATTCCCCCCAAGCCTTCAAGTTCTTTATGGAGCAACACATGGAGAACATCCTGAAGAACCATCAGCAGAGGATTCGGAGGAGGAAGCAGCTGGAGTGTGAAATGGACAGGGTGAGACCATCTATGAAAAGAAACTGTCCTTTTCTCTTTTTGACCTGGTTTCCCCGTCTTATCTTGGTAAATCTCCGATCTTTTCCACACTTTTAAGTTTTTCTTAGCTGTTCTTTCTCTTCCTTTCTCTCCTTGCTGTCACAAGCAGCTGACCTAGGAGGTTAAAGTATCTTTTCCTGTGCTGTGACTCAGAAAAGCCCAAACACACATCAGTTACACAAGTAAGGTGTCAAGTGTCTCATATCTGTATTTTCTCCTGCATCGGGTGAAAGCATGAGAAGAGTGGCATGCCATCCCGCAGCCGCCTCCGTGCACTGCACGCACATTTTTGTTTTGGGGTAAATTGATCATTAACACTTCAGGAAAGATAGATTTCACTTCGTTTTGTGGTGGTGTCACTCGTTTCCATTCATTACTAACGTCTCATTTTAACATGGATTGCATGAAAGCTGCATTTATTTATTTTTATGGTCCCCATCCTCAGGTGGGTTTGTCGTACGAAGCCCAGAAGCAGATGCGTATGATGCTCTACCAGAAGGAGTCCAACTACATCCGTCAAATGCGCGCCAAAATGGATAAGTCCATGTTCAAGCGGATCAAAACCCTCGGCATCGGAGCATTCGGCGAGGTGTGCTTGGCGAGAAAAGAGGACACGGGGTCGCTGTACGCCATGAAGACGCTTCGCAAAAAGGACGTGCTGCTGAGGAACCAGGTGGCCCACGTCAAAGCCGAGCGGGACATCCTGGCCGAGGCCGACAACGAGTGGGTGGTGCGTCTCTACTACTCCTTCCAAGACAAGGAGAACTTGTATTTTGTCATGGAGTATATCCCCGGGGGGGACATGATGAGCCTCCTCATCCGGCTCGGCATCTTTAAAGAAGAGCTGGCCCAGTTCTACATCGCAGAGCTCACTTGTGCGGTGGAGAGTGTCCACAAGATGGGCTTCATCCACAGAGACATCAAGCCGGACAACATTCTGATAGACAGAGACGGACACATAAAGCTGACCGACTTTGGTCTGTGCACAGGCTTCCGCTGGACCCACGACTCCAAGTATTACCAGAGCGGTGGGTGCTAAAGCTCAGTGTCTTGTTAGGTGTTTTTCTGTCGCTACGTCAAGCTTTTAGAATGAAAACTGTAAAACAATGGTAATGTTAACATTTATCCTGTCAAATTCACATACAAACAGATGAAAAAAGATTTTACAATAGAAAATCTTCCTTTTTGTTTTCAGATATCTTGCCGTTTGTGTCTCTCAGGTCAGGTTGAGCCTAAAAAGTAGAAGCCAGGAGGCTGTTGACATGTTTTGGATTCGTGCAATTCAACATTTCTGTTTATCAATGTACAGCGCAATAATATAAATCCAAATTACATCAACAAAAGCACATTTTAATTCAGTATTGCATCATTTAGCAACAAGGAATTATCAAATAAAGATGTCTAAGTCTTAAATTATGTGTCTGTTTATCTCTGCAGGAGATCATGAGAGACAGGACAGCATGGACTTCAGTAAGGAGTGGGAGGATCAAGCTAACTGCCGCTGTTCAGAGCGTCTGAAGCCTCTGGAGAGGAGGAAGGCCCGGCAGCACCAGCGCTGTTTGGCCCACTCACTGGTGGGAACGCCCAACTACATCGCACCAGAAGTTCTGCTCCGAACAGGTAAAGTTTTCCTTTAAAAATGTTCAGTTATGTTATTTTTGCTTCAAATCTTTGCTCTAATAATCCACATCATGGTAAATAACAGCTTTATTCTGTTTTTCAAAATAAAAGCTGAGAAACTAAATATTGACATCTTGATGAAAAAGAAAATCAATAACAAAAGTCTTTTAGTGATGTCATTTCCTGTATAACTGTAGGATACACTCAGCTCTGTGATTGGTGGAGCGTTGGGGTCATCCTGTACGAGATGGTTGTTGGACAACCTCCCTTCTTGGCGAGCACACCCCTGGAGACGCAGCTGAAGGTATGAGAGGCACCTGCTGTGAAATGTTCTGCAGCCACGGAGTTCCTTAAAGCCGCGTCTCTTTCGTTGAAACCAGGTGATAAACTGGAAGAGCACGCTGCACATCCCCCCTCAAGCCAAGCTCACCCCAGAGGCGTCGGATCTCATCGTTAAACTCTGCCGCGACCCAGAGGATCGCCTTGGTAAGAACGGCGCAGATGAAATCAAAGCTCATCCATTCTTCAAAAGAATCGACTTCTCCAGCGACCTGAGACAGCAGGTGGCACCCTACGTCCCCACCATCGCTCATTCCACAGACACCTCCAACTTTGACCCAGTGGACCCTGAAAAGCTGCGGAGCAGCAATGGCGAGGGCAACCACAACGACACGCTGAGCTGTTGGTTCCGCAAAGGAAAGCACCCCGAGCACGCCTTCTACGAGTTTACCTTCCGGCGCTTCTTTGACGACAACGGCCACCCTTACAGCTGCCCCAAACCCATCGAGTACGAGGGCTATGACGAGGACGAGGCGGACATGGAGAGCGCGGAGCACGAGGCCGGGAAACAAGGCCGGGATCTGGTCTACGTGTAGATCCTGAAACCCACTAAGCTGCTTGTACATAGAAAGTGTGTGTGTGTGTGTGTGTGTGTGTGTGTGTGTGTGTGTGTGTGTGTGTGTGTGTGTGTGTGTGTGTGTGTGTGTGTGTGTGTGTGTGTGTGTGTGTGTGTGTGTGTGTGTGAGTGTGTGAGAGTGAGAGAGAGAGAGAGAGAGAGAGAGAGGAGGGGTTTGCAATGATAAAGCATTTAAAACATAGGAGTGTGTGGTTATAGGAGCACTCAGAACGCTGCAGCACGAGATCACAGTTAAAAATGAAACACCTGATCTCCAACTATGAAACTGACCTGGAGTCAGTTATCTCTGCAGAGCATGAAGACTGAAATCTGCTGACTTGTGAAAGATGATTATAAGAAATGACGAGAGAAACCTGAAACGCACCAAATCTGGTTTTTTTTTGGGGGGGGGGGGGTAACATGTATAAGGAAATATCAAAGTGTCACATTTGAGAAGGTGGAACCACAGATTATGGATTTTCAGACTCTAATCAGGAAAACCGCTAGTAAATAAACATCTAATATTCCTGATTTCTCACTGGAAACCATGATTTTTCTCCATCTACCTGCTAGACAGATCTACTGAAAGGGATGATATGGCCGATTATAAACATGTTTCTGTGTAAAAGCTTCACGAACAGCCTCTGTTCAGACATAAGTTCACAGCTACTCCACAGAACCAAGCTTAAAGTGTAATACCGCCGTGAAACAATTCTAATTTCCTAAATTAATCTAAACTGTTATTCAAAGATTTAAACAGCAGAAGCAAAATGTTGCACTTTGATTATAAATATGAAACGTTTTGGGTCCAGGCTGCACTCAAGACTAGCTGTTAGCTTATCAATCCTGAAGGAAGTAAACATTTCTCAGTTGAGAGCATTTATAACTTTTACACAGAAACAAAACTTTAAAATGTCCAGAATGTCCCTTTAAAGTCTAAATGTAACTGGTGCGGTTTATGACGTGTGCTCTGGAGGAAAACACCCGACAACTTATCGCAGAACCCCTGTAGCGTTAATTTATTTAAATGAATCGGTGACGTTAGCGTAGATGCTGCTTGGACTTTTATTGGAATCACATTTACTGGTAACATTTTTATTTTAAGTCTTAATTTATATTTTAATATGTTGTTACGAGGGTATAGGTAGAACTTGCAGGGATACATTCTAATGATGTTGCTGTGCCTTTTTGAATGTTTTATTTTTCACCAAATATCACAAGGGCTATTAATCAGACTGGCATTTTCAATGAGTAGCAGTAGCTGATTGTACTACAGTAGGTTTTATTTTTCTAATTTATACCTAAAATGTATTTATAAGTTATGTTGTACACAGTGGATGTAAATACCCACCACCACTCTCTGCTGCTTCTTCCTGTTCATGATCTCCGACAATAAAAACTGATTAGATTTTACGTCTATTAGTGGATTTCTCCCAACCAAAGCACAGAATAAGATGGTTTCCACTCCCCTCACCATCCCCTGCCAGCGCCAACGATCACCACGACAGTTTATTCGTAGATTATTTTCGTCTTAAAGACTCAACGCTGTAACTCGGGTGAAAATGAGAGAAATTAGATTCCTGATCACGTTTGTTTTGTGCTGTTGTGTAGAGAAGATTTCTGAATGTAGTTCTGGATTTAATGACCACTGACACTGCACTGGTTTGTGTTTTGTGAGAATTTTTATTTTTGTGTACACTGTTGCTCTGAGAGGTTTGGGAAGAGGAAGATAAATAAACAATGATGAGAACTAAACTTAATATTGTTTGACTTCTGACCTGAACTAAAGAAAGCCCAATCTTATTTATATTTATGCTTGGGACATTTTGAAACATGGTTACTAAGGATGTTTCTGCTGCAACACAGCTGATTTTAATCAATACAAGACATGCAACTTTGTTTTGGTGCATAGAAATTCACAACATGCAGGAAGGAAGTCCTGGAGGATCGGGATTGGACAACACTGACCTAAGCAAACTAATATTTAATGTTATTTATGTCTTATAAGTGGAGATCCTTGTGTTTGTGATGTTCAGCAAAAGCCTGTAAATGAACACTAGTTACCTTTTTAATAGTTTACAATCTAAATTTAAACTGGGAAGCACTAGGGAAATCTATTACCAGTTTCTGCCACTAGATGTCACCAGAGACCAAACGCTGGTGACAGATCTTCATCCAGGGTTGGTGAAAAGTTATTTGGATTTAATCTCGATTTTTGAAGACGTCTTAATTTTTATTTGAAGAGCTTACTGGTTATAAACTTGGCACTTTCATTTTGGTGTGGAAAACATTTGCTGTGGTCTCTGGTAGGAACGAATGTCTTGCAAGCCGAACAAAAGAAAACCAGAAGCGCCTGCTGGATCAATAGGCAAGTTTGCTGCTGCAGAGTGGAAGAACTCAGCAGGATTTGGAGTTGTCTTTTGCTGATATTTGGATATCAGCAATGAAACTGTACCACTGACTTGCAACACCGATGTTTTATCTCCGCAAATAACACAAACCTGGAGTTCTGCTGTGTGGTGGAGCTGCTAATGCTAATGGCTAGCTTCAACTAGCCGAAACTTCAGTTTCCTAGACGCTAAACCAACAACAGCCTTCCCCGTCGTAAATCAAGATGGGTGAGTCCATGAATGTTAAGTGACCATGTGACGTACATCTGTCAGGAACTTTTAATTGTAGCGTTTCACCATTATTTTGTATCAGAAGCTAATGCAGGAGATGGATGTAGGAGACTATTTTTATGTTCAGCCTGCATGAAAAATTAGTGATTAACAGTAAAAATGTTTTTTCATTGTTCCACACCTTTACATTTAAAGTTACTCAGAAGAAACGCCAACTGTTGAAAAATAACTCATTCATTCCGTCTTTGACTCTTATGATCCCGAAAGAAATCACATTACCTGTAGATGCTTTAGCATTTCACCAAATTCCCCGTCATCGTAAAATCTGCCTAGAAATCAGCTAGGAACTCTGCTTTCCAACCGAAGCATCCATCTACACGCTGCACGTGATTAAAGACATACAAGTTAACTTAAACAAGCTTACTTTTAATGGATCTGCAAAACTGTTTGAATTTCCAAAGAGAACTTGTGTTCCTCCCGCCCACAGGTACCCAGGCAAACCTTACACAAATGTTACAGAAACTTTCCAACCCAAAAGAAATCTGCATGCAGAAAAAAAAGAGGAAAAGCCCAAACGGGGAAAAAAATTAACTCAAAAAATATAAAGTAAATTACACATACAGATAAAATAAACACGGATAAACAGGACCTACTGTATAATGCCGTTCTCTTGGCTGAAGAAATTCAAACGCTTTAGCTTCAGTTCTGCTTCTTCATGAGAACCTGAACCAACAAAACAATTCAACTCATTTAATTGGGTAGATGTGGCTCCACCCACCACCTAGCCCCGCCCCAGTCTTCCATATAAGGCACAGGACAAAATAAACCCCCACATACAAAAGGAGCTAGCCACGCCTGTCACTTGGTAAAGTGTAAATGAACACATACGGTTAGACAACAGAAAGCTCACTAAGTGTACAAAATGTTAATCCCATATTTGTCTTTACTTAGGTCTCCTCTGGCAGAGGGAGCGCTGTGGGTGGGTGGTGTTTGAAGGGGGGAGGGGGAAAGGGGGGGTCCAACCAAGTGAGCTCAGGCAAAGGAAATATTAAAAATATGAGCTCGTCTTTCCACACGTTGTTTTTTCCTTAACCCTTTAAACAAATGACAAGAAACGTGACTGGATTTCTCTTTTTATCAGAAATAAAAATGATCATCAGATGCAGAGTGAAAGAAAATGGTGCGGTGGAGAGAGGGAGGGGGGGTTAAGACAAGTGAAGTGTTTTATTGTTTTATTCTGAGAGAGAGAGAGAGAGAGAGAGAGAGAGAGAGAGAGAGAGAGAGAGAGAGAGAGAGAGAGAGAGAGAGAGAAAGAGAGAGAGAGTGTGTGTGAGTGTAAAAGAAAACTCATGACAGTTAGAGGGCGAGACAGTTAGCAGTTTAAGAGAGAATGTGTGTGTGCATGTGTGTGTCTGTTCGTTAGTGTGGATGAAACTGAGAAGTTGTTCAGCTGCAGCATTTGCTCTTCCAGCTTGTGACTCCGCCTCCACTGCTGATGTCCACGTTTTCACTGTTGGGCTCTTTAACAGGCGTCTGTGGACCAAAACAAAAAGATCTTGAAACACAAGAAACATTAAAAATGAACAAATAAAGCATCTTTACAGACATGTTATTTGACCTGATTCAAAAACAAAAACTGATCTGTCAGATTATAATTTGACTCCAGGATAAGCAGATTAAATGTTGGTGCTACACCGGCTTCCTCTAGTGTTGACTGAAATCCTCACCCGTCCACCTCAGGAGCTACTTTTAAAATGATCGCCGCTCCTTTAACACCAAATTAAAGTTATTGAGCCCCATTACTTTCAGGACAGCTAAAAGGTTTAAAGTGCAAACCCGAGACTGTTTTGCACGTTACTGGTGTGACGCTTCTGTAAATATAGACTAGTATCTGTAGGATGTGTTTTTAAACCGTTTCTTTCTACCATCATTAGCTTAAACTAGACGATGTCTGATGACACTTTAGAGCTTTTACGGATGATCTGTATTTATTGTCTGCAGAATGTCGATCATTTATTTTTGGCACTTTGTCTGCAGAGGAATGCGAGCGCTGTTGTCACCACGTTATCAGTCATCTGGGAAACAGAGACTTCAAACGTCCAGCTGGACAGAAAGTTAATGAAAAGCAAACACTAAAACTTTCTCCCAAGCAACAAGAATTACTAAAAACAAGGATCAAACTAATGGATCGGTCTGTAATCTCTGGACAGAATGACATCTAGTCAGACTGTTTGTGGCACGTCGCTCCCATCGCTTTTCTTTGTCCTTCGTACTTGTTGCATTGTTTATTTTTTCACTATAGAAGAAAAGTAAACACATAAAATATCAGCAGCAGCTAAATGAAAAGTGATGCACTCATGATGCACAAACCTTTTTGAGGATGTCTTCTGCTAATGTGAGGAAAGCTTTCTCGATGTTGATGTTGGCCTTGGCGCTCGTCTCAAAAAACCTAATGCCGTGCTCCCTCGCAATCTGCAGGCAAGAAACAAACCCAGTTAGAACCTGCGGATGTGCTCTGAAGACAGTCCAGTCCAGAAATAAAAGTTGCTGATCTTCTGCGCTGTGCAGGGATCGTGTCTCACTCGTGTGTGTGTGTGTGTGTGTGTGTGTGTGTGTGTGTGTGTGTGTGTGTGTGTGTGTGTGTGTGTGTGTGTGTGTGTGTGTGTGTGTGTGTGTGTGTGTGTGTGTGTGTGTGTGTGTGTGTGTGTGAGAAAGCAGATCCATATCGGAGTCATCACAGTGAGGTTGCTGCAGTGACATGGATCACATTTGAACTCAAACCCACGTTTCCATGGAGATGATTAACCGGGTTGGTGAACAGAGTAAAATAAACCATGAGAAGAAAGGGTTTCCAGAAGCCGGTCCCTCAGAGGAGGCAGAATCTTTCTACAATTCACCGACTGAACTACCAAACTGATAATGACATAAGGACTCATTACTTCTGAATAGCTGTGATGAAGAAGCAAAACACAAATAACTTCTTCAAAAACTTGAGCACTTATGACAGCCCAGTCTAGCTACAAGTAAGCACACCTTCTAAAACTAAAACATGATTATTCTTAAAGCAAACAAATCAGGTTAAAGTTGAATCTTCATTCAAACAAACCAATTGGGTCAATAAATAAACAATCTTGTCTTTTAGAGTGGAATTATCGTACAAATGTCGGATCAATGCAGATGAAATCTAATGTAAACCTCCTTAGAAGTCTTCAGGTACAGTTCTCACACCAAAGCTCATCCAACTACGGGTAACAGAAACTACAATTTACCTGAAAACTGTTTTCACAAGGCTCACCTTTAAAGCCACGATTATAAAGATAAAAACACTAATCTAAGGATGCATCATTAAAGGATTATTGTCTCCACATGCAGGTAAACACTGAGCTGCACCTAGAACGCTCTGCTCCTGATGTGGAGTCGACTGAAATGTGATCAGCTGGTACAGACTCACTGATCTCCCAAACATCACAGAACAGGATCCCAACTAACTCACCTGCTCCCCCTTGGTTTTTAGTACAACCCTCTTGTCCTCCATGTCACACTTGTTGCCTAGCAGCATTCTCTCCACATCCTCGTTCGCATGCTGAAAACAGAATATTTAAGGTGATGAACATACATTTCCAGAGGTCTCTAGTAGGAATGGATGCCTTGTAAGACATACTCTGGAGGGAAAAAGCTCAGATGTGCCTGAATCATGAAGTACAAGTCAGCTGGAAAAAGTAGCTTCAGACGGCGGGTTTTTGAGTCTTATTTCCTGATATTCGGACATCTCCTCCTCTGATTGGCTAACAGCAGCATGACTCTACCACTGACTGTTTGCTCTGCAACATTTATGTTTTATCTCCACAAATAACACAAGCCTGGAGGAGTTCTGCTGTGTGGTGGAGTTGCTAATGCTAACGGTTAGCTTCTACTAGCCGAGGGGTTCTCTGCGGTTTCCTGGATGCTAAACCAACAACAGCCTTCCCCGTCAAGATGGGTGAGTCCATGAATGTTAAGCGACAGTGTGATGTAGATCTGTCAGGCTTTTCTAATCCTAGAGTTTCACCGTCTGTTTTCTACCAGAAGCTAATGCAGGAGATAGGTGTAGGAGACTATTTTCATTTTCAGTCTGCATGAAACACTCAGAATGACCCGTTAGAAAGTTTAAAAAATGTTTTTTCAGTGTTCCAGGAAATATTGCAGAATAAATAATAGCAACAAAAACATAATTTCACATTTTAAAGCCAAAGCACAGAGGTGTGTATTAGCAAGAATCTTATGACACAATATCCATACAATATCGCAACACTAAAAGCCAGATGATATTCGCAATTTTTAAGACTAAATTTAACTGGAAAACTCCAATTAATTAATACAATTAAAGATAATGCTCCGTTTAAACCTAGATGATTGTTTTTTTGTCTTAAACTGCTGTCTCTGAAGGACCTTGGGACAAAAACACAGAGCTAAATCATTTGATACATTGTTCTTCCACCTTTATCAAAATTTCAGCTTCCGCAGATTCAACTGTACGCTTTTGGAGCAAAAGGTCCCATTTGTAGTCAACAGGAAAGTCATTGTGATTCCTTTCCTCTTTAAAACCCAGGGTGAGGAATTACCAATAAAACCTTTTCCAGACCAGCCGAGAGGGCGACTTCCCAACATGCAACACTCACCTCATCAATGTTGCGCAGCCATTTGCTGATGTTTTCAAAGCTCTTGGCGTTCGTGATGTCGTAGACCAGCATGATGCCCATCGCTCCTCTGTAGTAGGAGGTGGTGATGGTGTGGAACCGTTCCTGACCTGCTGTGTCCCTGCCAAACAAAAACATGCTTTTGTTTTTGTTGTTTTTTTTCTTGGATCAACTCCACCCACTGACCCAAATGATGCTAAAGCATGCACCGTACTAGTTTACCACGTAACTCAGGTAGACATTCAGCTGTTGGAGAATCAGGAAGGGCCAGGAACGGTTTTAATTTAAAGTTAATTAATATAATGAAATTTAGTCAAACATCAAAACGCTGATCTGTATTTTAAGTAGTCAGACCAGGGCTCAGATTAAACAAATGCATCATAAAAATATAAAAAAATTTACCATAAAAAATTGTTCCAGCTCAACTGAAGTAGCCTAAAATTCGTATCAATTTAAAAACATTTTGCCCCCCAAAAAAATCACAAACTTAAAAAATATGGAGTGGAATGTTTGTCCTAAGATTGAACATGTAAAATGTTTTCCAACCAATATTCATCAGTCCAATAAATGACGATGGGCGAAATATTTGCACAGAAGACATTTAGACTTTGTGGACCTGATTTGCATTTCACGCAGAAATCAGCCAATCACAATCATTCTTAACCAGTTTGCAGAAGCCAACCACGAAGGCTCCTCATACATTGTGCAAATGTCATTGGTTACTTGATGCGTCAATTAACAATAAACTGCACCACAATTGGTTCGAGCTACACACGAGAATTAGGGCTGCAACTAACAACTATTTTATCAGTCGACTAGTCATCGACTATTGAAACGATTAGTCGACTAATCGGATAATTATTAAATTTTTCTTGAATTTAGCATGAGATTGCTTTGTGTGAAAAATGATAATAAACACAAGAAAGATGGATACTTCAATGGAAAATGCATATTTTATTGAACTTTGCTGCTGATAGGCCAATTCATACTAACAGTAAATAAAAATGCCCTGTCTTAACACCAGTTAGGCACAGTCGGGCATAACATTGAATCCTTTTTTAAAAGTAAAAATACATTTAAAAAATGTACAACGTACATCCAAAACAAAACGTATTGGCTTTTGTGTTATTTAAGTCTTAACGAGGCGAGTCAGACTGTTTCATTCAACTGTCCGACGTGCTTTCTCGTTAAGTGTTCATGCATCAACGAGGTGCTGCCGTGATACGCGAGGACTGCTTTGCAAATAATGCAGGTCATCTTTGTATTGGCCGAATCCAGGCTAGAATGCTCCCAATCTTTAGATGTTTTGGTACGCGTAGCTGCGGTGTTGGACGCCGCCATTTCTGTTAGTTGGCGCTCAGCAGAGAAGCTATTGTGCATGTGCGACTCTCGGCAGAGATTGTAATGAAGTGAGATGCCTCACTCGGTCGGAAAAAACATGTCTGGCGACAACGTCGACAATGACATTCATGGTGTCGACTATTTCTATTGTCGATATTTGTCGACAACGTTGACGAATCGTTGCAGCCCTAATGAGAATAGGGGGACCTATCAGCCGATAGTTGAAGATTTGTCCTCAGCAGAGAGGGGAACTCTTCACCTGCTGGATCAGGTCAGATGTTGATCATATTTTTGAAGCTACTATGAGGACTCTAATGGAGGTTTTGGTGAGAAGGATGCATCTGGAGGAAATTTTGCTGTGATACAATCACGTGATTGGAACATCCCTAATGTAAACAGAGTGTTGCAAAAGAAGATGCTACTTTGGCCTGGAAGTATGAAAGTCCCATCCATGGGTCTAATACATAAATAAAAAATTTGCTCTTAAAAAAACTATTGTTTAAGGACCCCACCCATCTTCAACGGTCCACTAATTCATACAATCGTCCATCTATAGCTAGAACATGAAACGAAGACATAACAAAAGATCCTAAATTTCAGAATGAAAAATGTAAAAGAACAATATCTGCGTGTTTCTAATGTGACAGAGGGTGTAGACATGCAAGTGTCGGTTATCTAGATGGCAGTGCGAGATTAGCTTTGAATAAAAAGGCTACAATGGAGGTGTCCCTGTAACAAACACCCCTCCAATAATGTCCCTTTGCCCATTGATTCTAAACATTAGGCAAACGACAAAAAACACATTTTCCTCGTCTCAGTCGTTAAAATAAAAATAACTTATCAATGTTTTTCTGCGACTTGAAGGTTAAATATTTACATTATGAAATATTTGAGTTGGACCCTTGAACCGGCTGTTAGGGTGTCACTTCCAGCTGGGTTAACTCAGGACCACAATGACGGACTGATGACCACTTCCTGTTTTCACATATTTTAGTGCTTGAGGGAGTTTCGTCAAGCAGATGTGTTTTACTCTGGTACGCGAAGCAGAAAGTGAAGATGCTACTCTTGAATTCTCAGGATACCGAGCATTTTTTGAGTCTTGCTCCTTTGCGTCAGCCACAGAAAGTCTGGACAATGATCCACAAAGCTAGATGTCGCAGACTCACCAGATCTGTAGTTTGATCTTCTTTCCTTGTAATTCAACAGTTTTAATCTTGAAGTCTATTCCTGTAAGACACGATACAGATTATCAGACATTTTAGAGACTCTCATGTGAAAGAGAGTATGGCACAAGGGTTTAACCAGACAGCACACCAACAATAGTACTTTGTAGAGTTAGCAAGAGTGTAAAAAATAAATGACTAAAAAATTAGTTTGAAAGTAAATCTATGCTACTCTTAGCAGTAGTCAGACTCCTAACAGACAAAATCAAGGTTATTTCTCATTCTCAGACCGTGGATTTTACAGTTTCTTCTGGGCAATGTCAAAAAATATTTTAAACTAAGTTCAGCAACTTTGTCACCATGTCTAATGGCGCAGCAGCAGCTCAACAGGATGAGCGGGTTGTCCAGTAATCGGAAGGTTGGAGGTTCGATCCCGGCTCCGGATAGAGAATTCTGCTGTTGTGTCCTTGGGCAAGACACTTAACCAATCTTGCCTGCTGGTGGTGGTCGGAGGGTCCGGTGGCGCCTGTGCTCGACAGCCTCGCCTCCGTCAGTGCGCCCCAGGGCAGCTGTGGCTACATCGTAGCTCATCCCCACCAGTGTGTGAATGGATGAATGATACACTGTAAAGTGCTTTGAGTCCTTACTCTGAGAGGCGCTATACAAGTGCGGGTCATTTATCTAATGCCTCTTCAGACCCCTTTAACGACATTTTCTCTAAAAGTGCTTAGCGACATTTCTAACGCCCCATAGCTACTTTATGTTGAACTTTGCCGATATTCTCTGCAGATTAGCAAAAGTCCCAGCCTGCTCTCCAGACGCTCAGAGAGGGAAAGATCAACGCATGTGTGTGTGTGACATGACGTCACATCGACCGACTAATCATAAACCTCTCGGGTGGTGACGCCCACTCACAAAACAAGGTGTTATATACAAGATAAACACATTTGAGATGCAGGATGCCATAGGAAGCCTAATGGGCCATTCCCATCTGTACCGGGTCGGCCCGGGCCGGGTAGCGTAGGTTGTTTACATATCTGGGTGGCCTGGTATTTTTCCGGGCCAACCAAGGCTCATTCTCAGCCCTCTTCTCGAGGGGGTCTGCTTCAGGCCGACCAGGGCCAACACACCCACTGCTGACAGCAAATTCACACCTTCCATTAGAGCAAGCCTCTGATTGGTGGGTAGAATCAGCCCACATGGACTTAAGGCAAGGATGTGTGGAATCAACCGGGCCAGGCTGGGGCCGACTGGGGCTACCCAGCCCGGGCCGACCCGGTACAGATGGGAATGGCCCACAAGTCTCCTCCCTTTCTGGTCAGCTCATAGGTCCCCAGAAGAACGGGAAAATGAATGCAAGTCAACGGGGCTAAAAGCCATTTTCTAATCCGCTTTGCCTTACGCCCTGGATCGCACATATGTTGCTCCAATTTAAATGAAAACTAGTGATGTATGTTTCGACCACGCCAGTCACGTACTTTGAGATTTATCAGCTTGTAAAAGTTCGTAATTATGACTACAAATCAGACATCGTTACGTCGCAAATGTGACATCACCACATAATCTCCTCTCCCCTAGCGTAGCTGCTACTTACCACACGGACAGATTTATGGTGGTTCTTTCCTCCTGTGGGAAGGGTTTCAAGTTCACTAAACCTACAGCCATTTTCCCTCAGTTTTTCACCATGTCTGGTTCGGTGACGTCACTTTCGTGAAGCGCATTTGTCATCCTGGACTTATTTTAACAGAAAACCTAAAATAACCCCCCCTTAGAAAATAAGCGCTTTCTGGGTATCAAAATTCACAGACTTCATATGTGAAATCCATGGCGCATAACAAGCGGAATTAGAAAATCGCGTTATTAGCCCCGTTGACTTGCATTCATTTTTTTGTTCTTCCAGGGACTCATGGTCCAGAAGTAGATGGGCGTGATTTGGGCTCCCAATAGCCATACTGGGAAATGAGATCTCCACGTGACTTTTTCAGCAGTATGCCAACGTAGAGTGATGTGATGACATTGTTAACATATCTGTCAGAAGTTCGCAACACTGGAGTCAACGGTCCAGAAACCCCTGTAAGATTTGCATGTTTTAGTTATTTTTTCTTTCCTCTGAGGAATCCCATGTGCTTTTAGTCAGACTAAATAAATTGCTGACCTTTGAACTAGGGTTGTCACGGGGCGAAAATTTAACCTCACAGTTATTGTGGCCAAAATTATCACGGTTTTTGGTATCGCGGTATTTTTTAAACATGTTACATTTGCAGACAACTAAATAAACCCTGTATATCAGGAAAACATTGTCCTCAGTTTGTGTCTAAATTTTGCCTAAAATGTGTTATTTTGTAATTATGTTGTTTATTTGTTTACATTTTTCCCCTTTAGTCTTTAAAATACCAATGTTTGCCCATAACTTCTTATTTTTTGTCTGTTTGATGTAATAATTTTAAAAATATTAGATCAGATGATACTCAGTACTCAAGTAGCCTTCTAATCAGATACTTTTTTTTACCCTTACTTGAGTAATAAGCCCTATATCAGGTAAATATTGTCCTCGGTTTGTGTCCTTCCAGTGAGCTTTGCAGATTTGGGAAAATGTCATCAGGCAGTAATCATTGTTAAATTTATAATTATTCTCGGAGAGAGACCAACTGCCGCTGGGAGCCCCGTAATGCATAACATCATTTCAACATGGGGGTGTCCGTGACACTGTTTATATGCAGGTAGCGGCGCTGCGGCTGCTTTATATAGCAACTCGTTTCATTCTCCCTCAACCCAAATCCTCGGCTCACGCATTTTAGCTAAAACGCTAACGTTAGCTTGCCTTGCGTTGACTGTAGAGTTGTGGGTGATGGTCACGCAGATGTGTCATGAGATTTGAAGCGTTGCTGCCTTTCACAGACACTTTTCCTGCATGTGCTGCAAACAGGATAGCAATCTTCTATCAACTGTCCCTCGGCATTCTTCAAATATCCAAAAAATGCCCGTACTTCAGACTTTGTCTTCTTTGGGGGATAATAAATGTCCCGAGTGCTGCCGTCTCCTCCTTCGGCCATTATTTCAGCTTTAGCTTCAAGAAAGTTTTAGTTGTAAACAACAAAGTGTGCATGCCGCAGGCAACTTCAGCAGATGATACGGTGGCTGGGAAGGGTCACCGTGCCTACACCACAGCCACGATAATCCACCGAGATAATATATATTTTTAAAAACAAGACGGTTATTATTATTGTCAACTTTTTTACCGGGGTTTACCGCTACACTGGTTACCGTGACAACCCTACTTTGAACTTGCCTGTGACAGAGGCTGATTTTGTATATTTTGGACACTGAGTTTAGGCATCTTCAGATCTATTGGACTCTGAGACCAGAAGCCAGTTTCAGAAATACAAAAGCACAAAGTGGAATAAGTTTACATTTTGACAATAATTAGCTACGTTCTCATCCCGTGGTTTGAAGGTGACAAACACTCCATTAAACCTGATGATTCATGTCTTCTTGACTTTTGCTTTCCTGTTTAATACTGAGCTGTCAGTTCTGCTTTGGTCAGAACTTGAAGTCACTTTAAAAAATAAATACCAGAACTCCTAGAAACAGCTGTGCTTTAGGCGGGGTGGGACCATAGAATAATGAGAACTGCCTGCCAAAGTGTGACTCACTAAATATTATGGGTACCCCAGGGAGATGGAGGGGCTAGTTATAGTTGGAAAAGAAGAAGTAGAAATGACTAATATGCATTAATACAGGAGATGATGCATGGGCAAATAAGTTTGATAACTGCAACAAATTAAGGCCTTTAAATCACTCCGAAGGGAGGATGCTTATAGTGTGTGTTCTTCATAAAAAGTGACTTAAATAAATAAAATACAGTGAAAAGTACATAGAAGTGGTGAAGAGCAATCACAGGTCATTAATCCATTCACTAAATGGACACACTTCACCAGAAGACACTTTCCATGAAAACCTCCAGCTAAACCAACAATCTTCAACAGAAAGCACATGGTTTATGACCGGATCCCCTTTTCTTCCAAGAGGATCAATTCTTTACACACATATGAACAATGTGCTCACCATTTGCCAGTTTCCAAACACAAATTACGATTTCTTGAACACCAAATTTGGTCTGTAACTTTATACAGATTAAGCAATACCCATGACCTCCAATAAGTGCAGAGTAGAGCAGCCAGAGGGTCAGAAGATTAAAATGGATGATGATAGAGGGGTTTTTCCGCAGAGGGAATTTAAAGAAGCAGCTGTCTCTGAACGTGCTCTAAAGGAAGAACACATTCCTGTTTTAATGTCCCGGTTCTGCTTTTCCATAATGTTTTGGGTGTTTTTTTTTCAGATTCGCAACCAGGAACAAGAAGTTTATGTATTATACTGTTTTTAAACCTGCAGTTAAAATTTGAAGCTTATTTTGTTTCCTGCATTAAACAAGTGACCAAATTTCTTTAAATGCACATTTTTATCTCACCTGTGTCATTTTGGTTTGCACATTTTTGCCTACAGAGCTTCCTGCTGTTAGTTTGGACCTTTTTATTCTTGCAACAAAGATTTTCCTCTCTTACATCACTGAATCAGCATCTGTTCTTAGTTTAGTCCACTATAATACCTCGATAAATTCTCCACATTGATTTGGAAACATTTCTGATCTGTGTGACTAAACAATCCAAGTGTTTTAGTTAAAATATCTAACTTATTACTATTTCTTACAGCAAAAATGTAATAAATGTATCTAACTCACTTTCGTCTGTTAGTTTCATAACTTTACCTGAAAAAAATTTCAGCTCAACATTGGTACATTTTAGCCAGATGTAATCTCAACATCTTGTTGAAGCTATACTGTAATCAGTGAGACATCCAGCAGTAACCTCCACAGTGCAGCCATGTTTGCAGTTTGGTAAACTGCTAGTCTGAATTGTTTTTTCAGTTTCAAACCTGGGCAGTTTGATTCAGAGTAAAGCAGACTAAGCTTAGATAGCCCTGTTATTGCTAAGAGTGTATTTGTGGCACATTCGAGCAGGTCTGAGATCCGTCAATTAGTGTACTCTAAATGGAAACGTCCTCATAAAATGGCATTTCTCCTTCTTGAACTTAAAATTAGACAAATTCCTGCTGGGATGCCTCCAGTCATTTTTACAGAACTATTGCTTTGATTTTCAATTAAAATTGTTCCAACTGAACTCAATGAGCTAAGCACAATATCTGAATATATTGCCACTTAGGGGTGGGCAATATAAACGATATTAGGTAGAAACGATATAAAATTGGGTAATGATAGAGTTTTTGGCTATATCGCAATACCGCGAAATCGCAATAACACATGACATCACTCAGATGTGCACCCTGCTGACATTGGGGCAACAGAATGGCAGGGCCTGCAAGCATGAAGTGGGTGGAGGAGGAGGCCTATATGCCTCAAGTGGCATATATTTGCCACTTGAGGATATTTAAAAGCATGTCATTTTGACATATATAAACAGAGGAAAAAATATATCGCAATATATATCGTTACCGCACATGCTTCAGATTATATCGCAATATAGATTTGAGGCCATATCGCCCAGCCCTATTGCCACTTTCAAAATGAAAACAGAATACCTGTTGCTGCTGCCAACACTCTTGCACTGACTCACCGCCCAACATGTCAGGAGAAAAAAAAACCCTTTCACTAAGATCAGTATATGCTGAAGAACCTGTTCACCTGCAACTGCTGTCCAAGATCTCATAGGTTGGTGTGCTACTCATCTCTGCCTCGTTTGCCACTCATTTCAGAAACAGGACTGAGTAATATAAACACAAACACGAGTGCAAGTCAAAGCTGAACAAAACAAAAAAAAAGCCAACGTGTCACAGCTAGCTCTCCAACAAAACAACAGTTCATGTCTGTACCACAACAAATTAATCTAGCCTGGATGCCACTGGGAACACTGGTCCCCATTATGGCTGTGTGTCAGGGCAACTTGATGACACATTAGCTCCAAAAAGCTGGGCTTGAAATAAAACCGGAGTCCAAGGATCAGGGACATGTCAGAGATCTGCAAACACTGAGCTTTGTGGAGTCCAGGAACACAGCTCTAATGTTTCATTATTACTTAGAAATGATCTTAAGCAGCAGGTGTAAAAGGAGCCTCGACTTGGGCCATGCTGGGATTCAACACATGACTCGTGATCTTGGAAGCTTGTGTAATGGTTAAAAGGGTTGCTGCTGATGCCACCATGATGGATTGTTTAAGGTTCTCAGAGGAGCATCTGTAGCAAGTAGCCAAGTATGCATTTTATTTACCACAGTTGGAAGCTTCTTTGGTTATTTAACAGTGGCTAAACGATCTGAGAACAAAAGTAAAAAGAGAAACTTTAAAAAGTGTAAACAAAAGGAGGGCCTGGAACTGATTTGTGAATTAAAAGGTAAAACCTTGTTTAATGAAGTTAGGGTTGATTATGATGCACCAACAGATTTAGATTTCAATCATCCTGACTTTACAAATTAAACTAATTATTCATCTTGTTATGGCAACAGTTGCAGTGTTCAGCAGAAAAAAGTCCATGTTTTTGGTTAACCTCGCCCTTTTGTAGCCAAAATATGTCAACACAACTGACTTGTTTCATTTTGGGCAAAGCAAGTTTTATTTTTCCTTTGTTAAAACTCTTGTGTTAGTCCCACAAAGCCTCACTTCCAATTGGTGACATTATTATACAAACTGTATCTCAGTCAACTCAAACCATTACACCAGGTGGTTACACTCGAAACGGACTTTCATGCTAAATCTGAACTGATATAACATCTTATTTATTAAAAGGGTTGTCTAAATACTAATTTTACGAGTTAAAGGTAGAAACAAACCTGTTAATAAATCAAATTTACAGATATAATGAAAATGTAAGAATATTTTTGCTTTTGTTCATCGTTAATGAGTTGAACATGCAATAAAATTGGGAATGCTGAACGATTACTGGCGTTTACGGTGGATTTTACAGGTTGTTTTTATACTAGTAATAGGCTACAGCTAAGTTGAGGTATTTTCCTGACCCATAACTGCTTGGGAGGATCTAGATCGGTTTCCTATCCATCACTTTGAACATTAAAAGTCTAGTTCTTGTCAAGAAAACAATACACACTTCGTTTTTAAAGCATTTCAGCTGCATCAAGAGGCATCAACAGTTAGGTGTCACTGCGTTGAGCCAGGCCTTGTACCTACATGGAGTTTGTTAGCCGCTGACAAAGATAGCAACAGCTCAGTTTGATTCAGGTGTCGAACATAACTGGAGTTATTTTAATGTGTTCGCTTTTGAATTAAAATAGGACACACTATAGGAGGTATTGAGACGACACATTAGCTTTCAGTTAGCCTGTCTAGGCCTGGAGAGGCGATGCATACCGCTAGCATCCCAGCTAACTAAATATGTCCTGCCTCCCATTTCCAGCTGCATGCTGGGGTCCGAGGGATTTGACATTTCTAACAGAAGTTCATCAGTGTTACAAACACCTGTACAGACTCTGAAGTGAGTGTGTGCCCCAAACTTCTCGCCTTACCTATGGTAGAGATGAAGGTTGTGTTGAAGGCGTCGTCAGAGAAGCGGAACAGCACACAGGTCTTCCCCACACCCGAGTCACCGATCAGAAGCAGCTTGAACAGCAAGTCGTACGTCTTCTTCGCCATTGAGAAAACCAGTATGTGTTCACCCAGATACAAAAGAACAAAGCCGATAAACTAGCACGCCTATGTGAAGTCTAAAGCCAGCGCCTTGGCCAACCTGACCAGCCCGCTCCAGTCCGCTTTCTAACAGTTAACAATCCGGGATTTGTTTATCCTACCCAAATAACGTGTCCGAGAAGTTCAAAAATCCCCAAACCCGAATGTTTCCGTTCCCTACAACATGAGAACAAAAAAATCCCAAAATTAAAATCTCCTTCCGTTTGATTCCTCTTTTCCACTCTCTCTTCTCCCACACAGTCGGGACAAAATGGCTCCTCTCCGTCTCTACCCGGACTCAAGTCTCTTCCAACTAACGGCGAGCTAATTCAAATTCTCCGCACACGCCGTCATTCCAGAGCCCAGCCAAGAGCTCCAACGAGTAGAAGGGATAATAAGCTGGGCATGAAAGTGAGTCAAGTTCACTGTCTGTTGAAGAAATTTCGCTTTTCAGAGGAGGTTAGCACAGAAACAGACGACCGCCGTCGCCTTCGAATGAGAGCCACCACGGCGACACCCTAACTATAGACCACGCCTTCTCCCAGCCCTTCTGTCAATATGCTACTTTTTGATTGGCTGTTTGAGTTGCCAATCTTTACATAGGCGAAATGTCATTGGCTAAACTGGCTAACAAAGAGCAGTGAAGGGGCGTGTCTTATAGTGACAGAAAGGGCTAATGTTACTGCGCGAGTTCTTCGGACATTTAGGTGCAGAGGTCCCTTTGCTTCTCATTGTGATTTGAACTCATTGATCCAATATGGTGGCTGGTTTCCTGCGGCTCTGTGGCCGCTAGGGTGTGTTTCAGTTCTCATGGCAAGCAAAGACTTGATGCGGTGACTATCCCAGCTGTGAGTCAGGCAAAGTGATGTCAGTTTTGTGCTTGTTACGGGCGTTTCCCACATCCTCTGCCCGGCGACTTTGCAAACAAATGATCATTTTAAGACTTTTACAAGCAGAACACTCTTAAGCATTGATTGGCGTGTTCATATTAATACTTTTGGTTGCATTTCATTTAACTTTCGACTTTACTTCTTCCGCCTGTCAGAGTAGTTTGCCTGAGACACCCTCAGGAATGCTTAGTATGCCCTGCTTTCTACTGCCAAGTACAGACTTGACACAAACCAAGGAAGGAAAAAATAAAGGGAAAAGAGAATCGGCTGCCTCTAATCTGACACCACTGAGCTGGAAGAAAAAATTTCTAAACATACAAAAAGATTAGTAAACAATCCGATTTTGGAGCTGAAAACAAAATCCATAACTTTTAAACTGTATTCATAAAAAATAAAAAACAGGACATCGAGTCTTCATCCTGAGGATCTCAGCTGCCTTTCATTTTACTGGCAACCTTTCCCAACGGCAAGCACAGACAGGAAGGAAATGAGAGATTTTATAGAAAAAGAAAACACTCTGATACACAGAAAGTTAAGATACATTAGCATAATGAAGTCAAGTCATAAACACATCTACACTTTAGGATGGAAAAAATTTGCAAAACACCAAAAATTTTATCAATTTCTTGGTCACACAGGGTGAGAGTAGAACATTTTCCTTAAATCTTGTCCTCTTATTTTAAATAAAGTAAATAGAAATCAGTTTTCACTCATGTTCCAGAGTTTCACCGCACGTTTCCTCCACAGTTGAGCAACCTTTGTCACACTAATAAATCATGCATTAGCAGTGGTTTTTCCAGATCAGGATACATTCCTGGATGCTTTTTTTCCTCATGCATGGGGCCCCAGGGTTCATCTCACACTCACACAGTAAGTCAACAGTTACTTCTTATATTCCTTCAGCACTGACAATAACGTGGAGGGTCGTCTGAAACCATTTTATTTGAAAGCTCAGAGGGGTTAGGGAACCATGAGGGGCAGGGGGTAAGGGGTTGTAACTGGGCAGTAGTATGTGCTATGCATATAAATGGGTTCCTCCCCCAAACTCCACATTTAGCTTAAAGGGTGTAAAAAAACATTTTCACATCTTTTTTCTCCTGTTTGAACTGAAAAGAGCACATCTTTGCAAAACGTTGCACATTTTACCTTTTGACATCCTCATGATGGAGGGAATCATTTCTCAAAATGCTTTGAAATGCTGATTAATTAGAGCTTGCTGAAGAATGAACAAAACTGGGAAAAAATAGAGGGATGCTAATGTGGCAAGGCGGATGAAGGAGTGCCCGGGCGGGATTCGATCCCCAGACTAATAACTAATAATGTAAAACACAACATAAAGAAAAAAATAACTTAAATCCAAAATGGATTACTTTTTACATTCACGTCAAATTTCTTCACTTACGCACAAACATTGTTTTCTTCAACGAGGAAATCAATCAAGCAGGCATTATAAGATAAAGTTTTACCACCTTACATGAACATTTCTAAATGAATGCACTGTCCCTTTAAGAAAATAAGTGGTGATGTTAATGCTTGTGCCTTTTGTTCTATAGAGCTTCTGTAGCATTCATATATTTATGCAAATGTTCTCCAGAGTTCATTACAGAAAAAGTGAGACATTTAGTAAATTTGATTACAGAAATAAGGTGGTAAAACAAAGCAAGCAGCTACTACTTCCAAGATTTTCTCAAAGGTCTCGTTCCTTTGTTTTTCAAAAAATTCTGAAGGACCCGGAGGAGGTTTAGAAGGGGTTAAGGCAGCACATTCAGCCTTTGTTCCAGGCCCCAGCAGGGCCACCATTCTGGCCCAAGGACCAACGTCAAAGCAAGTTGCAGTCTAGAAATCTAGACCAACTAGCAGAAACAAAATGATTTAGCTGTAAATGTCAGTCTAGCCACACTCCATGAAACTCCTGCTGCCCTGGCCTGTCTGGTGGCGTGCCAATCACAGCACTCTATTGGTTTGGTGGGCAGGATGCTACCACGACTGGGCGAAACAAAGATGGCAATGGTTCATTTGAAACGGCTTTGGCATCAATTGCCCTGTCAGATGCATGGGTCTCACGCTTCTTGCATAAGAGTTGGATTACACAGTGGCCCGCAGTTGTGGTAAAACGCACAAGATAAGTGAATAAACAGTAACCGATCTCAGTTTCTCTGAACTGAGGTTGTTCAAAGAGCAATCCGTTTCTACAGGAACAAGTTATATCCTCCACACATTTCAAGACCATTTAACCTGCAAATGAATAAAATTAAATAACTAATACAACTCAAGGTACAAAACCTGTTAGACATCTTCATAGGGACCACTCATTTATTTTGGTTTCATCGTCTTATACCGTTCGTATTCAGTGATTGTTCCTGGTTTCCTTTTAATTTTGTACCTAAAAGTGTTGCAGAATTCTAGTAAATCACTTTAAAAACAACATTCAGGTTCGATTAAGTCGGTGACCTATCATCCTGAAGCTCTGACAGTTTTGTAACCAGATCACTAGATGGTGCTCTTTGCTATGAAGAGCACATGCACCACCTGATGGAAACCATCTCTTCACACAAAAAAGCCTGAAAATAAGAACTCAGTGGCTTGATTCACGTTGATTTTGTCACCTTTAAACTATAAAACTGCAGAACTTCCAACCCAGCAGGCACTTATAAAGCCCAGGAGCATAGAGTTGTTTGGTTTGGTCTTATCAATCCAGGAAAATATCAAGAAGATCAAAATATGCAAATATGAAGTTTGTCTCATTTAGAAACTTAATTCTGCTGACATTAACACATACTGTCAGAATGTTTGTGGGAAATCTGTCTTTTTCTGAGTTTGCTCACCCTCATTAATTATATTATCGTTACATATTTCATTCTCTGGTATCTGGTGCAACTTGAGGAAATGCACCCATCCATTTTCATCCGCTTATCCGGAGTCGGGTCGTGAGGGCAGCAGCCTGAGTCGTGAGGCCCAGACTTCCCTCTCCCCAGCCACTTGGGCCAGCTCCTTCGGGGAAATCCCAAGGCGTTCCCTGGCCAGGTGAGATAGTGCCTCCAGCGTGTCCTGGGTCTATGTTTAGACTTCCTCCTGAAACGTGCCTGGAAACCCTCAGCAGGGAGGCGTCCAGGAGGCATCCTGATCAGATGCCCGAGCCACCTCAACTGGCTCCTCTCGACGTAGAGGAGCAGCGAATCTACTCCGAGCCCCTCCCGGATGACCGAGCTTCTCACCCTATCGCTAAGGGAGAGCCCGGAAATGATTGAGGCAATTTTTTTAAAATAGAGGAACACTTAGTTGTTTCAATTTAAAAAGTAATAAATCAGTTGACTTTAAACTGTAAGTTACCAGGTACTAGCCTTGTGATAATAAACCATAATAAATAAGAGCATAACTGAAACAGAAGCTGCTTCAAATAATTTTCACAGCTATTTTAGCATTTAACTAAAGTACATTAAAATGTTCTATTATGAGTTATTTTAAATATTTATTTCATTCCTGGAAATCATCTCAAGACCCCTAAGTTAGCAACCCATAACGAGGTCTTGACTCTAACTTTGGGAACCACTGCTTTAGATTGGTGGACAGACCTCATATTCTCATAAATCAATTAAAATATTAAAAAAAAAACTACCTGAATAACAATAACATTCCATACATCCTCTTTCACCCACTTATCCGGGGTCGGGTTGCGGGGGCAGCAGTCTAAGCAGGGAGGCCCAGACTTTCCTCTCTCCAGCTACTTCGGCCAGTATCACCGGGAGAACCCCAAGGCGTTCCCTGGCAAGGCGAGAAACATGGTCCCTCCAGCGTGTCCTGTGTCTTCCTTCAGATCTCTTCCTGGTTGGACGTGCCCTGAAAACCTCACCATGGTACGAATCCAGGTGGCATCCAAACTAGATACCCAAGCCACCTCAACTGGCTCCTCTTGATGTGGAGGAGCAGCGGGTCTGCTCCAAGCCCCTCCTGGATGAGTTTCTCACATATGTCTAAGGGAGAGCCAGCCCCCCTGGAGAGAAAAGGTCTCATTTCAGTCACTTGTATCTATGATCTCACTCTTTCCGTCACAACCTAAAGCTTGTGTGTGACCATTGGTGAGGATAGGATCACCTTCCGGCTCAACTCTCTCTACACCGCGACAGACTGGTACAATGGCCGCATGACGCTGCACCAGTCTGCTTGTCGATCTCACGCTCCATCTTTCCCTCGCTTGTGGACAAGGCCCCGAGATACCTAAAGTTACCGTGTGTATTTTTCCTGGTGATAGGGGGCAGTACATACCTAAACGATTGCAAGCAAGCATTACTTTTGTGTTCAAGTAAGACCTTTACCAACAGATGGCCATTTTGGTAAAAAAAAAATCCCTGGGAGCACAACCTCCAGCAAAATAACAAGAGCATCAAATTCCCTTTCATTACTGGCAACAAAGAGGTAAATGTGTAAAACAACAACATTTAAGAATGACAAAAGCATTGTAATCATTTGTTACAAATCAGTAAATGCATTTTGTCCTCACGGGCTCCCGTAGAAGGAAACATGGAGTCCAATATGGCGTCGCCTAGGGACTTAGACCCGCTCCCATGTATTTTAGAACAGATTTCTGTTATGAAACTGCAAGTG